AGACGCACAAAGTATAGCAAAGGCCGAGGAATTACGAGACCAACTCAAGGCAGAAATGGACAATGAAAAAACTAGCCCTGAAGAAAAAACCAAAAAAGCAATGGACATCCTCGACCAAATGTACGCGATGACTTAACCCGAGCCCAAGACACAGGAACTTAGGGCTACCAACGAAGCCGACGCAGCTTCAGTCGACTCACAGCTCGCAGAGTACGACAGACAGGAACAGTATCTGCGGATTGACCTGAATACAGTAGAAAGTCAAGGGTGGACCCAATATACCTGGGAAACCGTTGACACCCAGGAATCAACAAGTGAGTCCCTGGGAACGCCTCAAGAGTCCCTACGACAGGAAATCGAAGAAATCCCAGAAACCCCACCGGGGGGGATACTGGATGAGTTATCAGGAGGAACGAGAACTTCGACGACTCTACGAAGCAGGTGGTATGGCCCCTGGAGACCCTCGTAGGTTCCTCTTTGACGAATCAGACAACGACGAACCAGCACCGTATGTTACTAGCGCGGAAGGAACATGCCCGTGCAACAGGGAAGATTGCGCTTGCATCGGATATGTACGACACCCCAATCACGGCCTAAGAGCTACAATTGGATGTTATGACTACGACTGCAAGATGTATATGCAAGGCAAGCTGGACTATGGAGGGATCGAACCCAAGCCATCGCCACGAATGCGACGCCCAGAGTGGAGACAGTAACTCGCAGCGACAGCATGGGGAAAACACATGAAGGTGGAAGCACTGATAACCTTCTACGGAGGAAACGAGATCAGTGCACGAGTCATGATTGACTCAGGAGCCGCAGGAAACTTCATGGATCCAAGATATGTCTTGACTGGTAGAGTACCAACCGTTAGAAAAGATTAGATTACTCCACTTGTTGGACTTAACGGAGAAAAGCTAAGTAAGGGAATCACTTACCATACCGAATGGATCGACATGGTCATCGGGAACCACATAGAGTCAATATGCTTTGATATCACCGATCTAGGAGGGTACGAGGTGGTACTTGGTGTCCCTTGGCTACGCCAGCATAGCCCAAGAATTGATTGGCGAAGAGACGAGATCTACTTCGAACACTGCGACTGCACGCAAACAACAACCAGATGGACTGGAGAAGAACCACCGAGCATTAAAGGGCCTAGCCCCGGGACGGCAGGTACCTATTGCGGCCCGCACGAGGTTGACCCTAAGCGGAGCCAGCAGCCCAGAGGCGGGGCATCAGGTAGGATCATGGATGTTGACGTTATCGCGACAACGGAACAGCGACCGGACATGTCGGACAATGAACTCAAGGACTACATCATGATACACCATGAATCACGACAAACCCTCTGCGCGACAGGGGAAGAAACACAGATACCTAAGGAGTACCAAGAGTACTGGGATGTGTTTGAGCCACCAAAGGATGGTGTGCTCCCAAAGTATGGTCCGTTCGACCATGAGATTAGGCTCAAGGAAGGAAAGGAACTGACCTTTAGGCCAATCTATCAGCTATCACCAATCGAAATGAAAACCTTGAGGGAATACATCGACGAAAACCTCAAGAAGGGATACATCCAACACTCATCGTTATCAGCCGGATATCCAATCATCTTTGTACCAAAGAAGGGGAATGAGCTTCGACTTTGCGTGGATTACCAGCAACTAAATGACATTACCATCAAAGATCAACACCCATTGCCTCTCATTCAGGAAATGCAAGACCGCATTCAGGGAAGTGTTTACTTTACCAAATACGACATCACTAACGCATACAATCGCCTCAGGATTAAAGAAGGCAACGAATGGAAAACAGCGTTCAGGACAAAATACGGGCATTTTGAGTATACGGTAATGCCGTTCGGACTCACAAATGCGCCCGCAGCATTTCAGCGATTCATCTTTAGCGTACTAGAGGAATACCTAGACATCTTCGTGATGGCATACCTCGACGACATCCTAGTGTTCTCCAAGACCATGGAAGAACACGTTCAGCACAACAAAAAGGTGCTACAGAAGCTTAGAGAAGCTGAGGTTACACTCAAACTCAAGAAGTGTGAGTTCCACATACAGGAAACAGATTTCCTAGGATACGTGATCAGCAAGAACGGATTCGGCATGCAGGAAGACAAGGTCAGAAGCATCCTAGACTGGCCAACACTCAAGAATGTGAAGGAAGTCCAGCAGTTCATGGGGTTATGCAACTACTACCGACGATCAATCAACGGGTTTGGTAAGATTGCGGTCAACCTCAACAAACTGCTCAGGAAAGACCAAAAGTGGGCTTGGGATGACCAAGCAGAAAAAGCGTTTAACGACCTCAAGAAAATGTTCGTTAAACGAACGATACTCGTACCGGCCGATCCAAGCAAACTATACACAGTGGAAACCGATACATCAGATTATGCACTCGGAGCACGGCTCACTCAACCAGGGGACGACGGAAAACCAAGACCAGTGGTATTCTGGTCTAGGGGAATGATAGCCGCCGAACTCAACTACAACATCTATGACAAGGAACTGCTAGCTATAGTGTCAGTACTTAAAGTCTGGAGAGCGTATCTAGAAGGGGCAGAGCATCAAATACTTGTTAAATCAGACCACAAGAATCTGACGTTCTTTACCAGCACAAAAGAATTGACAAGACGACAAGCAAGATGGGCGGAAACCCTGGCAAGATACGATTACAGAATCGAACATTGCCCAGGAACGGCCAACAGTCAGGCGGACGCACTAAGCAGGAGACCCAACTACGCGTTAGGAATCAAGGAAGCCGTTCCGGCCATACTCAAGACAAATGACAACGGTCATCTCAGTGTACAATCACCAGATATTGGCCGCCACCAGTCAGATCCAAGACAATGAATAGATCAACAGGCTAAAGGAAAGTCTGATCGATGACCCGATCCACAAGACAGGACCCACCGAAAGAATCACCAATGAAGACGGATTGATCCACATCCATGGATTGATCTACGTTCCACAGAAGCTTCAACAGGAAGCGATACAGCGACACCACAACGACCTCACGCATAGGCACATAGGAGTGGAAAAAACGGTAGAATTCCTATCAAGGAACTACTACATCCCAAGCATGCACAGAAAGGTCAGAAATTACATCAGGCAATGCGACACTTGTCAGCGAAACAAGCCATCGCGACACACACCCTATAGCGAGTTACAGAACTCGGAAGTACCAACACAACCATGGGAATGGATCACACTGGATTTCATCACCAAACTACCAAAGTCAGGAGAACATGACATGATCATGGTAGTTGTGGACCGATTGACGAAATATTCGTACATGATACCAATAACAGAAACGATCGATGCCAAAGCCATAGCATCCCTATTGTTCAGATATATATTCGCCAACCACGGAACACCCGAGAAGATGACATCAGACAGAGACAAGCTCTTTACAAGCAAAATGTGGAAATCATTCGCAGACATCGTAGGCATTGAGCATAGACTCTCCACTGCCTACCACCCTCGAACGAACGGCCAAACAGAACGAACGAACCAAACTTTGGAACAGTACCTAAGACACTACGTGAATTACCAGCAAGATGACTGGGCAGGACTGCTACCATTAGCACAATTTGCGTACAATAACGCTATGCACGCAACCACAAAAGAGACCCCATTCTTCGCAAACTATGGGTATAATCCCTCAATCATCGGAGAAACCATTGGAAAACAAGCAGAGGCAGAATCATCGAGACTTCTGGCCTCAGGACTCAAACAGCTACACCTCCAACTGGCAAAAGACATCGAGTTCTTCAATCTACAAATGAAGCACTACTACGATCGGGGCCACTAGGAGGGACCAGACCTAAAAAAGGGGGAGAAAGTGTACCTCCTACGTCGGAACATCAAAACCAAACAACCAAGCTCGAAACTTGACTACCTAAAGTTAGGACCATTCGAAATCGAAGAAAAAACAGGACCGGTCAATTATCGCTTGAGACTACCTGACAGCATGCGACGCATTCATACGAATTTTCATATATCGTTACTCGAACCCGCACCAAAAAACGCTAAACTCGCTACAAATGGGGAAATAGAGGAAGAGACCAAAAACGAATATGAAGTCGAGAAGGTCCTAGACATAAAGCGTGTCAACGGAAAACCCCACTACCTAGTGAAATGGAAAGGTTACGATACCTCGGAAAACACATGGGAACCTATCAAGAACCTGACGGACTGCCGCCAGCTGGTTCAACAGTTCCACCAGGAGGCTGGCCAAAGACACCATCAAGGGAAGAAGCGTCCGGGACAGCCCAGAAAGCATCTGGCATCTGGTCCAGCGACACCACCATCCTCGTCAGACTCGAGTCTGACGTAGCAGCCAGTTGACGAATCTCTTACTGCTCGGCCAGACGGTCGAACTCCGAAAGCTCAGCAAGAGATAGAGGATCATCCTCGTTGAGACGATCCGACACCACTAAGTCGTGATCCAACATCCGACCACCACGATCTCTGAGAAATTGTTGATGTTTCTGCAAGCGAAGAATTTTCGCCATTACCTCATTCATTTTTTGAGAATACTGAAGAAATTGTTTTTAGGCCTCAGTAAGGTCCGCCGAGACCTTCTGCTCCTCCCGTTGTAAGTCATCCCACTCCTTGTCAGTATAGAAGCTTCGTTCACACACCTGGCCTCGACGGGCGCAGGTGGAACACTTTTTGCTGTTCGCATAAGGACTCATAATACAACACTTGCCACGGACAAGACAATAATCACAAGGGGATAACGCGGGGCGACCAGACTGTTCGATTCTAAGAGCAAGACGATTATTGTCAGCGTACTTGTTACGTTTCGGCTTTTGAACAGCGGGTTTAGGTATATTGAACCATGACGGAGAAAATTGAAAAACAGAACGGACCAACACTTACCTGAGGGGGGTAAACAATTATAAAGGATTCTCGAGGACGAGAACCAAGGAGAGGGGAGGATGATGTTACAGACCCCGCGACACAAGGGGCCGCAACTTACAAATGGGCCATCGAGAGCCAACCATTCTGCAACCACCACGACCGCCCACAGGTCACGTGCGAAACATCATAAGGAACCATGGCCTTCCCACTAGAGCCACACGATACAAGATAACTGGGTCAACAAATGGAGAAGCCATGATTAACCCAGGCATCGTGCGGAAGGCCTCGTCTTACGTCAAGCTGGTCCCCACGAGTCGTTCCACCCTACGACGGCTCGGTTCATACGACGAGGCAGGGCGCGCGACGGAAGGCGCCGCAGGAACCAGACCATCGCACGAATTACCACGAGTTCCCAGTAACCCAGAAGAAATCGTGGAGGTTCGCATGATAGCACCCGACGCAGGGACAAGGACGCCATGCGACAAGCACGTGATCACAGGGTATACCAGCGGGTATACCAAGAGGTAAATGGAAGGGCACGACCTGGTATACCACCAGGTGTACCCTCCGATATACCACGCCACGAAGGATTAGAGATATAAGGGACGCTCCTTACGCACATGTATTTAGTTCTTCGCGATTAATCAATCTAAGTTACTACAGTATACCTTTTGGGATTACTCTTCATTCAGTTTCAGTCTTGTGACAAACATACTACAAGTAGGGGAGCTCTTCGGAACTGACCTGCTTGGCGCACTATCTGGCGCCTCCTTTGAAGTTACTCTACAGGATCCGAGTCCGTGTAAGGCTTAGTATAGCAACGGTACGATTGCGAGTTGATACTTGAGGAGTACGAGTGATAGATATCACGAACGACCAACAACACAGACGGCAACTGGTAAGTTGTCCACCCAGATCTAACCACTCACCGTGACCAGTTAGCAAAGCGTGTAACATTTACTACTTATTCTTCCTATAGTAGTTCTTAATAAACTCTCTTTTATAGGTTAATATAAGTATTAGCTCTTTATCTATAACCTTAATAGTAAGTATAAAGTACTATTTATATAAGATAGGTATAACTAGTTACTAGGACTATTAACGTGTTCCACAACCGAACGGGCCGGACAACCGAACGGGCCACCCCACCCCATTACGACGATATATATTGAATATAACTCAACCACCATATAATATATTGCAAAAACTAGGCGTTATTCACAACTGGGCACCTATTCCGCTTGTGCCCTGGCTCCCTGCAATTGCCACAGCGCTGTATAGGTCTCTCAATCGTCGTCCTGGTTGCGCGGCGTGGCGCCGGGGGTATTGCCAATTGGTGCTCATATTCAATTTGTACACGCAATTGCAGGTCCTCTGCTGTAATTCCACCTTCGTAGGGTAATTGCCTATTTGGTAAAGCTTTTTTTCTTTGCTTACGTCCATTTTCGGCCATTACACGCTCATATGTTGTCTTTAACATAACCATCTCATGTGCAAGTAATTGTGCACCTCTGGTAGTCTGCTCCAATTGTCGATATATGTCATTATCAGGGGTTATATCCCTATAGACTAGTAATCGCTTGATTGAGGATGCCTGCCGTTGAAAATTGATAGCTTTGGATGGTGTATGAGGTATGAATTCACGACTGCTATCACTACCATGTGATGGTGGTGGTGTAGGCGATGGGGGATGAATATCAAGTTTTGATAGTACTGTCTCTGGCGAATATGGAATAATGCCCGCTGCCATAAAACTGCTAGCAATTATAGAGGTTTTGTATGTTGCTGCGCGTGCTTTAGGGTATAGACTAAGAAAGTCAGGCTTATCAATATGTGTAGAGCCCACACGTGCAAGATCTTGTACTGCCTGACCATAGAAGTGCTTCAATACACTAAAACAACCTACATCTAGTGGTTGTAATAGATGCGATGAATGAGATGGCATACAAATTGGCACAATATTGTTCTTCATGCAGATAGTGTCAAATTGAGGGGTGACATGACTCCCATGGCCATCCATAACCAAGGCAGACCAGGCACCATGTTGACGCTTTTTGACGTATGGAATGAAGGAATTTTCGAGCCACGAAATGCCAATTTCATCAGTTGTCCATCCATTAGCACTGATCTCAAAGCGCCAGTCATTCGGGACAGTACTACACCACGCTGCCATCAATACCTTCGCTTTAAAGATAATAGTCGGAGGGAGAACACCATCCAGATGGACACACTCAATTGCAGTAACCCACTCTCGGTTACCCGGTTGTAGGAGTTTGCGCTTCCCCTGCCACTCTCGACTGGTAATAACCTTTGAGGTGCTAGTAATCCCCATTGCAAATCCAGTCTCATCGAAATTGTAGATATCTTCGTTAAGAATACCATATTGAGCAATAGTATTGCAATATTGATTAAACCATTCACGAATAAGCTTCGGATCCTCACATAATGCACGCTGTGCAGCGTAGCGACGTGAAAAACGTGTTTTAAGCTTATCGCGACGTTTGACAAAGTTCTGTACCCAGTTTATACCGATTGTAAGAGAGGGGGTAGTTGAACGTTGAGCGAGTAGTAAATTGGCCATTTCTCCTGCAAGAGCAAAGGTAGGGGCCTTGCCACGTGCATCTAGATCCAATATCCAATTCTCTAACGAATCCTCTTCAATTGCATCCAATTTTGTGCAATTTGCGCGAAGGGTTTGGCGATAATGTCTTCCCTTGAAACGCGCTTGCAATGTTGCACGAGGTACCTCAAAAACGCGCGCAGCTTCATTCAGAGAAGCTACTTTTTCATTTCTTAGCGCCTGTATAGCAAGTTCAATCCTGCCTTCTTGCTCAATTCGTTTTTGAGTTTTTGCAGTACGAATTGGTGGCATGGTGGTGGTTTGAAAAAGAGAGCTGCAACACGCGACGCGTTTTTTAGGTGGGGTGGCCCGTTCGGTTGTCCGGCCCGTTCGGTTGTGGAACACGTTAGAACTTATCTTATAGTAGATAGCTATAGTATAGACCTTAAGTATCTTATCTAAATCTACTTTGTTATACTATCTAGCCAACTTCTACTATATAGTTAACTTATAGACTTTTCCTATTCTTATAGAGGTAAAGTAATAGAGTAGTATTATAGTACTTAGCTAGATCTAGGATTAATCTAGGGGGTAGCTATAATATTTAAGTAAATCTTAATACTAGAGTTATATTATTACTATTATTAGATTGTTTAGGGAAAATATATTCTTTTTTATCTCTGTAGTAGATAGATAAGGCCTTAGGTCACTACTAATATACTACTATAGGGTTAGTTAAAGTATACCTTCTGATTTAAGGTAGTTTAGATCTCTTTAAGTATAGTGGAATACTCTGTAGTAAAGATAAATTCTCTGAATTTCTATATTTCTGCCTAAAAGTCTCAACAGAACCCCTACAGTGTCTCTAAAGTAGGTTTCTCTTTGATACAACTATATTTATTTAGGGCTATCCAGAGTAAGAACCCTTTACTTGTTTAAAGGTTTAGCGGATTTTGAGATATTGGGTGTAACTCAATAAAACTGGATCATTAGCCAGAAACAGAGCCGCTGAGGAACGGATGTCTTACATATTAAATAGATTTAAGGTCTCCTTGTAGTCTCTTTCTGTTTGTGGTAGTACCGTACGGGCTATCTCCTTGTTGTCGATACTATCAAGATCGATCAAGAGATACTCGCTCTTTTTGTTCCTTATGGTGGAGAGCAGCGAAGAGTCGACCGAGTGAGGGATCAATAGCGGCAGCTAGGTGAAGAGGTGAAGAGGGCACGGTGAAGAAGAGCGAAAACCGTTCATTTTATCCCTCGTCTACACTCGGGCACCTCGTCAAATCTTTCCCTGCTGGAATTCATAAAGGTGACTTTTGCATGTCAGTTCCGGCCCTTCAGGTGAAGGGCTGAAGGGGCGCCCTGCTAGGGCGGCGGGCCGCCTAGGACAGAGTCGTGGGCGCTAGGTGACCACCGCCATACAATATCTGTTGTATGTTTTTTTTTTACTCCCACTGCTCGCTCACCTGGGCACTTGACTCTTCCCGGCCTGTCACCATCTCTGCCATGGTGTTCTGGTCCAGGTGATATGCAGTCAGGCCACATAGGAATGAACTCTTAGCTTGTGCCTCCCTCCCTTGGCCACCATCCCACGTCACATTTCCCATACTTTGAGGCCCTAACCTGCAGCTAGCTTGCTGATGTTGTACTAGTAAAAACCACTGGCACCTGAGCAAATATATCATAGGAAGTCAATATAGCTCTAGCAATCTTTGAAAATGCAAGAACCTCCAAGTTGGAACTTGGTAGTCCTTATGCTGAACCTGTGGCTAACCTTGGAAGCGAAGGCTCCAAAAATATGGTGAAGAACCTCTGCGGCCTTCTTCCCATTAATCTTTACGATTCAAAGTAGTTTTTTCTATAATAGAGAGCAAGGGATCTAAATTCATCGATTTGAAGGAGGTGGAAACCGTGGAAGTGCGGCTCGAGACAGCCCGGGGACAATGAGAATGATCAATTATCGTAATTTTGGCGGAGCCCTGCCAGTGGTTATTCTGCACAATCCAATCAAGCGCCCTAAGATACAGTAGCAACATACTAGTAACATTCCCCTTGCTACTCCCAGTAGTATCGGTGATCAAGAGCTGGAATCGAATTGTAATAGTTCTGTCATGTACAAAAACATGCCGGGATTCGTGCTATTGAAATTACAAATTGAAGATTTTCGCGTCATGCCAGCTTGCTGACGCATCTCTTCCAGAGATTCTTGACCTCCGCTGCTCCTAAGGTCACACATCACTCCCCAAAATGACCTGCAACATGATGCGCCACGGCAGCCTCGTCACCCTCAAATGCGTTGCAAATAGGACATGAGACAACCGCGGTCGTTTTCTGGGCAGAGGAACTTGAATTTTTAACTGTAGCATCATCTCTCTCATCGACATTCTTCTGGTCCTGGGGTTTACCACCACGCTTCTTCCCCTTAGCTGGACGAATGTACATATCCAGCCCCAGCGGTTCTGACGAAGGCTCTTCCGGGCCGTCAAGGCGCATATCGTGCGCACCAAAGCGATTGCGTCTCCCACTTGCATCGCCCCCCTCTGTTCTTAATTGCATTCCACCCTCAATCTCTTGTATACTTCCGGACTCTCTTTGGATTTCTTCTTGTTTCGGAATAGATGGCCCCTCGCCACTGTGCAAGCTCTGCACCCTTCCGACGCGCCCGTCAGTGAGACGCACTTTAACGCCTCGGGAATGATCCCCGCGCGTAAGCAACTCGCTAACCGCGCCTGTAACTGTACGACCTGTGGGCTGGTCGGCCTTGAGAACGATGTTGACGAGTGTGCCGGGGTTGATGGATCTTGAGGGGGGCACGCTTGGGTGGGAGGGGCGCGAGCCGCCACGCCCGCCGCGTCCACCGCGTCCACCACGCCCACCACGTCCACCACGTTCACCATGAGATTGGCGATTCATTTTGGTATGAATTTGTTTAGGACAGGGCGTGAAGAATGATAATGATGGAAAGGGGCGTGTCAAGACACTCGCTCGGCTCGGGAGGTGAATCATGAAATCTTTGAAATGTTGATGTGGGTCCGGGTATGATGTCGGTGTCAATTCTTATCACCGCAATACCCCCAAGTCTATCAGTACCGAGTAGCTGATGGAAGTTCAGGATCAGGAAATACGGCGCTTGCATGCGAATATCAAAAAAGAAGGGAGCGTGGCAACAGCGGGTAGACGATCTTGATGCCTGAGGTACCCGCCTCAACATTAGCGAATTGCAGACAACACCTTTTCTGATACGCTCATGCACGGAGGCATGGATATTCTAGCCCTCGAAACAGGGTATAAAAAAACGAGGATCTCCACGTTAGTTTTAATGAACAGGATTAACTCAAGAAGCTCTAATTGTAAAATTGTATGCATAATTATATGACAGATGGAAGATCACTCAACCGTGAGGGTTCCCGTTTTGGAGATCAAATACTCCTCGATTGCCACATCTTTGCCTGCCTCCTTCCCATATCCTGATTCTTTGATACCGCCGAAGGGTGACTCCGCACATGACGAGTTGCCTTTGGTGCTTTCATTAGTATTCACGTAAGCAGTTGGGATACCAAATTGATGTCCACACACCTGTATTCATGCCGATCATACCAGCTTCAAGGTTTTCCAAGAGTCTCCATGTCCGATCGATATTCTTAGTGAAAAAGTAAGAAGCGAGGCCCATGTTGGTGTCATTGGCCTGCTTAACAACTTCCGCTTCGGTTTCAAACTTGTATAGCCCGAGCAATGGCCCGAAAATCTCTTCTTTGGTTGTCAACATGTCGGAGGTCATGTTAGAGATGATGGTAGGTTCAAAAAAGTAGCCCCTGGAATTGTTTGGCTGTTTTCCACCGCATAACACTTTACCACCCTTGCTCACTGCATCGGCAACATGCATCTCAAGCTTCTCAATACCTCGGCTTGTGCTGAGAGAACCCATCGTTGTAGTAGTATCGACACCATGTCCAACCCGAAGTTTCTGAGTAGCATGCAATATCAATTGGGTGAATTTATCGTAGACTCCGCTTTGGACATAAATTCTGTTTGCGTGAGTACAAGCTTGGCCAGCAGTACGCCACTTCAGAATCATAAGCGCGGCAACAGCCTGATCAAGATCCCCATCGTCAAAAACGATGAAGGGGCAATTTCCGCCGAGTTCCATAGTAACTTTCTTCAAGCCCTCGCTACAATGCCGGGCGACTATGCTTCCCACTCGAGTACTCCCGGTGAATGTCACCTTTCGTACAAGCGGATGTTTGCACAGTCGCTCACTCACATCAGGAGTATTCTCGTTATCTGTCGATATCACGTTCAAAACTCCAGCTGGAAGCCCAGCACGAAGAGCAAGATCGGCCAAGGCCATCACACTAAGGGGTGTTTCGGGAGAAGGCTTCACAATCATAGTACAACCCGCTGCGAGGGCTGCAGCGACCTTTCGGATAATCATCGCGACCGGGAAGTTCCAAGGAACCAAAGCGACGCTGACACCGATAGGCTGCTTGATCACGAAAGTGCGGCGATTTGAGATAGAGGGCTGGGCAACAGAGCCTCGAACGCGCTCAGCCTCTCCTGCAAACCACCAGGCAAAGCCCAAAGCATAGTCAACCTCGCCAACTGCCTCGGTCATAGGCTTGCCAGTTTCATAAACAACAATTTTGGCAATATCGTCTCGGGCGTTGGTTATGAGTTCGTGCCACTTGAGCAGGATTTTGGCTCGTTGGCGAGGATTGATGGTTCGGTAGCTCTCGAAAGCGGCTTGGGAGCTTTCGACATATTGGTCCACGTCAGTGGTATCATTCGCAGGGCATGAAGCAAAGACTCGTTTCGAACCAGGATCTATGGGAGCAATAAGTTGTTAGCATCGCGAAGTGGTCACTCGGTGATAATTTCGCAGAGACAAACCTTCCACGTCAAATGTCTTGCCCGATTTTGCCTTTACCCATTCACCGTCGAGCAGCGATGCTTCATGGAGGAGCGAGGGGTCGTTCAACTGGTAAAGAGTTAGGACCTTGATCTGTTGAAAACTTGAAGGAAGTTCGAGCAGGGAGGGATCGGACCGTGAATAATTCTGACTTGGTCATCTTGCTGGGTCCTGATTCACTGGTTTGAAACTGTTATGATTTCTGGGTCGCGATTCAGCCTTTATTTAAACACCCCGTCCCTCATTAGACGACATGATTCTCCCGTCTGGCTACAAAGCCTGATCATTGAGATTACTAAATCTCCATTTGCCTTGATCGAGGTTCACATCAACTAACGATTACGTGAAAAGATGGAGCAGTCCCCGAGGCGGCCGGAAACCGGCCATGTATCCGACTTTTAGCTAGTGGACTATCTTTGAGAAAATTCGAATGACGGAAGTAATCATTTGATTAGAAAAAAAAACCAACTTAAGATTCACTCTAGTCACGCATCAGTTTCCGCGCAGAGGGGTGCAGAGGTGGGGTGGCGCAGAGGCCTCGGGACAGGTACGGAAAGTCACGTAATCGAACGATGACCGATGGTACTCAGCACTGATGCACTGGTAATCGGTCTTAATCTCATATTAGCAACTTGTTTCTTTTAATTATTTAAATCCCAATAAATCCTAGTCCATGCAAATCTGGAAAACCCGATTGCTTGGATCTAGCCATCAAAATACCAGTCCAAAGTTCAAGACACAGAGTTCTCGAAATGGCGCCTCCCAAGCAAGTCAATATCGCTGTCATTGGTAAGTGACTTAAAACCATTGAGGGTAAATTCTATCAGCGTCATCTTTAACATAGATCTGTATTTGCAGGTACCGGTGGAGTGGGATCAGTATTCATGTCTCAACTTTCATGGATCGCTAAGAATACACCATCAACACATTTCAGCCTTTGCTATATCGCCATGATCGACAAAGCTCTGTATAACCAAGACTACTCCGAAATCGACATCGATACGGCGGTCGAAACTATGGGAAAAACAGGCTCTCCGCCGCCCACGATTCCCGCCATTATCGATTATCTCTCAGCTGCACCTCACAAAGTGATCATGGTGGATAATACGAGCTCTGGAGCAATCGCCGAATCATACCCGAGCTTTCTGAGACGAGGGATAAGCATTGTAACTCCCAATAAGAAAGCTTTTTCCGGAAGCTACCAGCTCTGGCAAGATATTTTCAGTGCCGCCAAGTCTGGCGGATCACTCGTTTATCACGAGTCATCGGTCGGAGCAGGCATGCCGATTATTTCAACCATGAAAGACTTCGTTCAAACAGGCGACGAAGTGACAAAGATTGAGGGTGTCTTCAGTGGAACTATGTCATATCTGTTCAATTCTTTTGCCCCCTTAAACGGAACAGGCAGCAAGTGGTCAGATAATGTGAAGAAGGCAAAGGAGCTCGGATTCACGGAGCCCGATCCCCGCGATGATCTGAATGGTCTGGATGTCGCTAGGAAATTGACCATCTTGGGTCGTTTAGCCGGATTGCCAATTGAAGATCCCAGCTCATTTCCGGTCCAGAGTTTGATCCCGGGCAAGCTGGAATCTGCGAAAAATGGTGATGAATTCCTCCAGAGACTGCCGGAGTTTGATTCGCAAATGGAAGAGCAAAAGGTTGCAGCGCAGAAGGCTGGAAAGGTTGTCAGATACGTTGGAAGCATTGATATGGTCAGCAAGCAAGTCAAAGTTGGAATGGAATGGTTCAATCCCACCGACCCTATCGCTACGCTGAAGGGGAGCGACAACATTATCAGTTTCCACACGAAGCGTTATGGAAGTATGCCTCTCATTATACGCGGCCAGGGGGCTGGTGGAGATGTCACTGCTATGGGTGTTTCTGGGGATCTTCTAAAGGTATTGGTTCAACTCGATTAGTTAAATTGAGCAATGCTATTGCTTTTTCCCCGGCAGATGGGTTATTTGGCCGATCTATCCTCCGACGTGGCGGGATTTTTAAGTAAAAAAGTAAAAAAGGAGATACCATGAAACACGTACTCCTCATCTAGCATAGTCTTCACACAATCAATACAACCAAATTCGAAACATATCATCATGCTCGTAAAAAAGACATTATTCAACATTCACCCTTTGATCCATGTTTTCCAAATAGGCGAGTCATAGGAGAAGTCGACAAAGTTCCGGTACGTTTGAAATGTCTGTGTATCAAGTGGTTTTGGACAGGTCAGGCGGCACTGGACATCCGGTCTTAAAGGAATACCCTGAGCTGCAATATCGAAGTTATGATCATACAGCTCCGGGTAGCTTCCAAAAAATGATGGATCGATCTTATAGATAGAAACACCACAAGCCATGTTAAGCTTATTGAAAACAGCCCTGGAACACAGAGGGGATGTAAAGATAGTTGCAACATCAGATGCAGGAAGAGCAGCTTCTAAGGTTGCAGGGTCCTCTTCTACCTTTGATTCGAAGTTGGCGATGATATCTGTAACACGGATGTACGCTTTGATTGTTGGAGCTCCGATGATCAACTCGGACATCCAAGTCTCGACCACATAACTGCTCACGGTATCGCAGAAAATCTGGTCAATCTGTGGGTTGGCTGAGTGAAGTTGAATGAGACGGTCGCGGATGGAGGGGAAGGGTATCCAGTCAATGACGCTGGGATATGGCGTCTGCAACTGCAATGCGGTAGGCCTATATTGGGGATGAATTGAGTTGTATGTTTTTGTACACGGGTTTATTTGCCATGCTGTGAGATTGACGATATGGTAGAAGCGAGTTTTCGCATACCACTTCATCACATCTGGTCTTGTGAGACTATTGAAGAGAGATAACAGCATCATGACTTCTTGGTAAAAGCTATCAAGGGGTCAGTCAATATTATTTCACATGAAATATCTGGGTGCAAACTCACAATAGCATAGCAGGTCCTGTTTTGGGTGTGTTGAGATCCACCTTGCTTTTAAGGGTTGTGCGCAAGCTTTGAATGTGATCCGAAAATGGGGAATTGGTTTCGGTCCAGTCCTTGTTTAGTCTCATTCTGGAGTTCTGGTTGCTAGATAGAGCTCTGGTATATGGATCGGTCCCCATCTGATAGTCAAATGACCAGATGCTAGGAATTTCCTGGGCTAGGCTGCTGACTCTTTCGGAGATGGACTCTGGCCTGGAAGAGGTTTCGCAAAGCTGCTGTGACCCTGCTGATAGATCTAGGCAAATTCCAGTTGGGGATTTAGACTGGGGAGATCTTAGCAAAACAGCCATTTGTTGCGGATTGTGAGATGGCTCGGGGATTTCAATTATATCGTCTTCGATTGCTCCGGATTCAAATTCTCCCAAGATATCGTTCAAATCAATGGAATAATCGTCTGTAGTTCGGTCTGGCCTGTCCGGTTTCGAACCATCGATTGAAGTGGAGACTGTCTCTGATAAAGACTGCAAGTTCGCAGTCATCCTGGACAATTTAGCGTGTACCTCTATGAGACTTTTCCGAAGCCGGCTATTCTCCTCTCGAAGTTTGCGAATCGTTTCATCGTGCGGTTCGTTATTTGAACCAGCACGGTCGCGTAGTTCTCGCAGATGATCTGCCTGTCTGCGGCGAAAGGCTCGTTGCGCTAATCGATTACGAAGCTTCCTGCAGACAGGTAAGTTTCAAGGAATGCCACCTATGCATAACATTGTTGATAGACGAACCGTTTCTCCACATCAATATTCGGAGATCTATCATTCTGCGGGCTGTCTCTCGGAGCCATTCGTTGAGATGCAACCTTGCTACCTCGCATATTCTTGATACAGTAGACTATATGGGTCTCGGACACGCGAGATAGATTGAAGAGAAAAGTAATTGATCAATTACTCACGGGCGCGAAGACCCTACTAAAACATTGGGGAAATCAGGTCAGTCATTTGCGGGGAGTCCATACCGGGAATGGTTTCCCGTTCTACCATTCCCGTGTAAAATACTAAAAAGAGCGATAGTATGAGCAGGACGTCTGAAATTACCAAAAATGATATGAATCAGACAACTTGGATGAAAGATAAGGATTTCGAGGGACATCGGTAGCCTAATTAAAGCCCGCTGGGCTGGGACATGTTATCTATTACGGGTATGAAGTAAGTGGGCTCTCAAGAAATCGTACTCGATAACTACTGGTCAATAGGAAGCTAGCTGTGGGTTGGAAGTAGTTATAATATACTATCAATGCTCACAAATTCGAAATCTGCATGGAACAAAGCTTGAAGGGCACCTCTGTATTTAAATGATTGTGAGGCTCTTGCATGAAGACCATGGCAAATGCGATAAAGTGGAGAAGAAAAGATCTCGGATCAGCCACATGGTATTGTGACGCAATGACAGGTGCTCAGCATGGCTCAAACCCGAATTTGTATCGGCCTAGATGCATGAAGTATGGAGTAGCTTATCCAATTTTTTCAGGTCTTTGAATTGACAGACTGGTGGAGTGAGTGTTGGTGATTGTGATTGGCCGGCCGAAGAGTAAATTTCCCGAAAGCCGAGAATTCTCGGCTCAGACAGTCATCGGCTTTGAATTTTGAGGTTCGGTTCCGATTCTTCGGCTTACAACCACCATGAAAAGTCAGATAAAACAATCGGCTTTGAAAAATGTGGTCCGATTTCACGAGAATAACATCTTGCGTGGTGCCTTTTTTCATTATTTCTCTTTCTTCAATACTCTGCAGTTGTCTATTCAGTACTATCAAGATTACTCTTTTGCAGGTCATCGAGCTCGTTATTTGAGTACATTGATCCAGTCTGGTAAGACAACACTTAAAACATCATAAGCCTCGCCAAACTTGAAAGAACTTTATACTGACTACCTGAAAACAGACTTTTAAGATTATTTGGACAAAACTCAAAGACGAAACCAAAAACAACAATGCTTTGTCCTAATCTTTGCGGCATGGTTAGCTTGCCGGAGCGGGCTTTGACCTCTGCCACTCCCAATGTCTGGATTGAGTTGGCCAACCCTAAAGACAACATCTACACAACATCAGATGAAGTTCGCGGGTATATTATGATCGAAGTTGAGCGGGAAATTCCCCTAGAAAAGATCGACATCTCACTCGAGGGAACTTCTTCTACATCTCTAAGCCGAGCTATCGCATTCGTTCCTGGCCGAAGGGAATCTTACCAAAGGTTCCTGCAATTACGCCAGCCAACAAATGAACTGGATTATCCCAAGATTCAAACGCTTCTTCCAGGCCAGCGGTATCAACTCCCATTCACTTTCGTCATTCCCGAGCAGATTCTTCCCCAATGCTGCACCCATGAAACCCGGAATGCCGGTGTCAAGAACGCCCACCTTCGTCTACCACCTACTCTTGGAACCGGACCCACTCCATTCTGGGATCTCCGCTCTACTCGAGATGATTCCTCAGAGATGTGTCGCATTCAATACGGTGTCCGCGTCCAAATGTACGGCAAATCATCTCCCCAACCTATCTGCGACCTCTCGCAAGATATCCGGGTGATGCCAGCGACTACGCAAAGCGAAAAGGCCGACGATCCCTCAGTCCTCTACATGCTCAAGGAACAGGCTCTCACATCTGGTCTGGGCCGTCGTGAACACGGGAACTTGGAAATCTCCGCCACCAAGCCTACCCCGATCAACCTCGAATCCACCAAGACCGGCTCGACCAGCGCCTCCCCTACAGCGGTGCAGTTACATCTTCGCTTCGACCCCGTCAACAACGAACTTCCTCCCCGCCTCTCCTCTCTCAAGTGCAACCTCAACACATCAACCTTCTACGCCACCGTTCCCTGGGAAAACTACCCAACCCAAAACGACATCACCCCACTCCAAATCGACCGCGAAGTCTACGAAAAGAGCACATCCCTCTCCTCTCTAGACCTTTCATCCGTGAAATGGGAAAAACTCCCCTCCTTCTCCGCAATCTACCAAGGCAAACTCAAAAGCGACGACGAATCCGACGCATCGTTCATCCCAAGCGAGGAGCAAATCGAGTCCTGGGATCAATGCAGCTACACAGCAACAGTGACCGTCCCAATCATCCTCCCAACCAAGAAAGACTTCCTGCCAACATTCCACTCCTGCTCCGTATCTCGCAGCTACGCGCTTGATATCTCTCTGGGTCACCGCTTGTCTTCGGGCCTGTGTAGCTCTAATACGAGCTTCAGCGTGCCGGTTGAGATGGTTTATTCCGGCAAGGAGTAAATTTCTCGCGGGCTTTCTTTCTTTTCGATTTCTTTTGTTCTATACCACTTTGTTTTTGTTTTCGGTTTATACTACCACCCATACCCACTTGTTTTCTACAAAAGCGATGTCGATGAGGATGGATGCATACTTGAACTTGAAGTTCTTCCAACCCTCCTCCAGGCAGATCATGAATACCCATACCTTTTCATAGAATATCGATTTTAGACATACATGATTGCAAATACACTATCATTTCATCCAAGTTCTTGTTCTATTCTATATTGAGTATATTCATAAATAACCTATTGTACAAAAGTTCAATAGTAGGCAGTAATCGTAAAGTGCAATGCTGCCACATCTGTATGTTGGCCCTCGAGACTAGTCTAGAGTGGAGGATCCAGTTTAATAGGCCTGAGTCTTGCTGGCCTTAGGGCTTAACCAGCGTTTTTCACCGACGTCAAAAGTTTCAGTCACAAGATAACGCACCTACTATTGAGAAGAAACAGGGCGGATTGGGGGTTGACTAGGTATTTTGAGAGGTACATAATCTACCAGGAATGACAGATGCATGAAAACTTGGTAAGCTACTCATACAGACACAATAGCAGTACTTGCAGTCGTCCAAGTTGACAGGCGGTGAGGTCAAAATTCATGATATTACTCGTAAAGATACTCTGTCCGCCAGCGACACTGATTCAAATATACAGGGAGGGCGGGGGAAACCCAGGAGAAGAGAAGAAAGAGTAAGAAGATGAACATCGGGATAGACCAAGCTAGGCCCGTGTAGGGAGGAGGGCGGGCGGTTTAAGTTAATCAAGAGCTCGGCGGAGATCACTCCATTTTTGACGAAGAGTTTCGTGGTTTTCGGAGATCTGAAGAGAGTGAAAGAATGATCAGTAAGTCGTGTTCCAGGTTGGGTTGAATTTCCAACGTTGGTTGGATTGATACGTACCTCGGCCCACTTCATCTTAGTGGCAACCAACTCCTTCTCCATATCGGCCATATTCTCCTCCATAGCGCGATTCTCATTTTGCACCTCGATGTTGCGCTGCATGATGCGTTCCATCTCTTGGCGGAGCTTCTCCTCCACTTCGGCGGGTTGTTTGTCCACGACGTTCTTCAGCTCGCTGACCTGCAGGTTTAGGGCTTCTGTTAGGTCTCGCAGTTCCTCGTTCTCGACCTTGGCGTGGACGAGCTCGGAAGCTAATTGGACGTGTTCTTTATCGGATGCTTCGGCGCGTTCTTCCAGCAGGCGGATCCGGGATGATTGCGCGGTGGTGGTGTGTCGGAGGTGTTCGAGTTCAACTTCACGCTCCTTCTCCGTTCTGGTCTTTTCTTCCCATTCGGCTGTGTATGAAGTAAGCATCTCTTTTGTGAGTGGGATGTCACAAGCATCCTGCACGAGAATGTCTGCTCGGTAGATTCCCTTGTCTGCGGCACCGGAGCTGCCGAAAAATCCGGATTCCAAGATTGAGGATGCAGATGGTTGCTTATCAATGTACACGTCGAAGATGCGCTCCTTGAGGAACGTTGTGAGGGCGGCCATGTCTTTCATTCCCAAGAGTGTCTCTGTATTGCGACGCATGATCGCAACAGCAAATTTGACGATGGTGTTCTCAAGACCCTCTTCGAAGATCAAATCGTAAATGCGAAGGACAAGTTGGAGAGGGAATCGGTAGGCGAATAGTGTTAAGAACCACTGTGTAGCGTATAATTGCGGGGGCACGCCACGGCGGCGGAGATGGCAGTAAAGAGCGGGTTCGAGGTCCTCCAGGAGTCGTTCAAACTGGAAAAGACTGCGATGAAGACCGGGCATGTCCGCAATAAACATTTCACGAAGACCGTACTTATTCATCAATTTTACAAGCAATTCAAAGGCATCTACCTCGTCGTTCTGCGTTCACAGTTAGCTCAGTCCTTGATCGGCAATTCTATTTTAGCACTTACGTTAAAAAGCAAAGGCATGACGATGAAGTTCATGCCCTGGGCGTATCCAACGGCTTCATCGTAAAGAGCGTAGGCTTTACAGAGTCCATACAGGCTTTCTTGGCTTCCTTGAGAGATGAAGTACTTCGAATAGCTTGTCCGAGCACCCAAATCTCTCCGGATCGTCTTCTCCAATTTTTGCAATGCGGTAGCTTCTTCCTTCGCCTTCTTTGCACGGGCGCTCACACTGGCAGCCTGTTCTTTGGCCAGTCTCTCGGGATCCATCTCCTGAGACGGACTAGGAGTGGTGCTCGTGGGCTGTGTTGCGGAGCCCGAATGATTCGAACGAATGGATGATCGCGATGATGATGTCTCGGCGGTGCCGTTGATCAGGAGATCGGGTGTGCGGCGGTCCTTGTCTGTTCCTCGCGCGACAAGATCACGATAGATATCCTCCAACTCCCCGGTGCGGCAATCGGACAATATTTGCCAGATGACGCCTCGAATGGTCTGCGGTATACCGCGTTTGATGGCTGCATTCAGTTCTTCCGAGCTACCAATAGCCTGAGGTCCGTTGTTTACCAGCTGCTGCCAAAGATCCCAATCAACGGGTGTGGATGCGTCAGTGGCGGTCGACTGAGAGCCCCCAGGGGATGTTGCTCCCGCGGTGGATGCAGGAGCGGCCAGAATACCTTCCTCTCCTTCTTCCGGGATGATAGGCGGACTAGCCCCAGTATGGCTAATGCTCGCGTGACTGGACCGGACGCTGCCATCGTCATTCTCGTGGCCATGGGCATGGGTATGGACCTCTTCTCGCATGCGCAGCAGCTTGAACTGGTCCTTAAGGCTGTTCCTCCGTGGCTTCTTCGAGTTGACGCTCGAGGAGTCCCCATCCTCACCGTCATGTGATCGATCCAAATTGCTTGCGAGTGTAGAAACGGAATTGGCGGTGTTTCGTCGGCTGGTAGACTGGGGAGACTTGATCTCCTTGGTTCCGGTCGAGCTTCGGGAGAACCACGCAAAGGGGCCACTGGGTTTCCGGGTAGGCGCGGGAGGAGGAGCGGGAGGAGGGTTCTTATTCACTGGAGGCGGTCCCCAAGGCAAAGATGGCAAAGCTCCAGACAATCCCATAATGCCTCCGCTCGGCGGCGAAGCGACTTCATCCTTGGCAGGGACCGGGGGCGATTCTCGTGTGATGTCCGGGGTCGTAACGTTGGGGGCAATCGACTCGTCCTCCTTGGTGTTGGTCAAGACCACTTCGTCCAATGATGAGGTGGTTGAGAGACGGTGGGAGGTGAGTAGGGGGGGACTTTTGCGGGGGACTCCTGACGGGCGTGCGGTCACCATCTCCGAGTTCTTCGGTCTCCAGGGGTCCATCTAGCTGAGCCTGCTCATCCTTCTGGTCCTGGTTATCATCAACCTTTGCTTCTCCGACGGTCTCGAGGTCCACGGTGTCCTCCACGGCATCCCCTGGGCCATCTTCCACAGTGGTGTCACCTTGCTCGTCGGCCTCGTCTTGATTTTTGCTTTTCTTCTTCTTGTTCTTCTTCTTGTTTTTCTTTGCGCTTTTTGATTCACCGCCGTCGGTCCCGTCGTCCTGCTGCTCGTCCTGCGATGCAGTAGGGAGAGGCGGCTTCTCCGTCGCGTCGGGAGAAGGGGCTGTCCCGATGGGTGGGCTGTCGGTCAACGACCTGGTTGAGGAGGATTGGGGGATTTTGACATTGAGATTATCTTGGTGTTCGGGGGCATCATCAAAGGACTCCTAGAAGGGGACGGAGTAATTAGCGGACAAGACGATGAAACACGACAGCACAACACACTCACCCCTACATAGTCGTTGCTATTGCGATTTGACGACATGGCGAGGAGGGGGGGGGTCTCATATAATCAAAAAGCGTAACACCCCATAAGAACGAAATTTATGGTAAACCGGAGGTCGGGGGAGGTCACGTAGAGGAGAGTAGAGAGTAGAGAGAGAAGGAGGGGAGGAATGGGAGGTGAGTTGACTTGCGTTGATCAAATGGAGACAGCCAGGCACTTCCCGCGCTGATTGGTTAATGATGGTGGACCAACACTCTACGGAGTCAAAACTAGTGGAATCCTATAGGATCACTGACCTGTCGATCGGAACTTTGGGGAATGCTATCGACTTTGCATGGGATCGATCAAATATGCGACGTCTGATATTGATATGCAGGGGTGACATTCCTGCATGTCCGTTGGGCTGGGATTTGTCCATGCACTCTGGCCACGTAGACATATGGAGTACATAGAATACTAGTTAAACATACAATACCCTAGAACTAACTACCTCCGTATACCATTACGAGTATACTCTTGTCTTGCCCACCCCATTCCGGTACAAGACACTGCATAATTATCGTACAACAGATAACTCTGTGGGCCAGCAATGATCATTGTCAATGTCTCAACTAGGTAGCTGCTGTGATCTCGGATTGCAATGTTTTCTCCAAGTCAAGCCACCGTTGTCGCCGTAGTGGGTCCAACTGCTTCAGCTCCGAGAGCCAGTTCAGAGCCTGCCTGTGGTCTTCAGTAGCCATGTGGCCTGCCACTTTGGAGACCAACAACGTGCATTCAATCAAGGACTGATAGATATACTTGCAATCTTCAGCCCCATCGAGCATTTCCTCGATCTCGGCAATCTCCCCCCGCAAATACTGAAGTCGGTCTGACGTCTCCAGGTTCGGAGCCATGGTCCGAGCCGCCACCGCCGGATCAAAGACGCACATCAAGTTCTGATGATAAAACCATAAAGATTGGTCGTAGGGATCAATCAGGGCTTGGTGGATGAGAGCCAGCTCTGTAGTACATGGTAAAAAAGAAAATGTCAGTTTATCACGGGGTTCTCTGCGGAGGGGCAAAAAAGAGGGAGGAGGGAACACAAACCGTCGTCCAACATAGCCCGGCGCTCCTCATCACTGGCTGATTGTTCCTCCAATAGCCGGAGAATAAGCTTGGTACGGTAGTGCCACGCGGAGAAGTTCGATAGGTTGGCACCGATCATCTTCTTTGCGTACTCGAATTCTTGTTGGGTCATGTTTCTAGCCTCTTCTTCCGAGCCCAATTGCTTCAAGGTCTCCACGACGAGCCGTCGGTATCCCCAACCGTGGAAATTGCGACTATCGAGAGTCAACATCTTGCCCACTAAACCCAGTTCTTCCTGCCAAAACCGACGGGCAACGGATTGGGGCAAAAGTCGCCGAGCTTCATCCAATAACCAGAGACGATAATTCCAAATCCAATAACATTTGGGGAAGCTCTTTAACAGGGGAATGAGGAACATCAAATCATCCTTGATCAGTTGGACAATCGACTCGGCCGCACTCTCCGCGGATTCTCCCGCATCTCCCCCAGCTGTGGAAAATTGATGCCGAATGGCCTGTCGCCGGTAGTTCCAGACAGTGTAATATTCTGGATTGCGACTCAGCAAGTCGCAGATCTGTCTCAATGTCTCGGTCGAATACTCTTGCGCAGCCACCTAGCCCAGTCAATATTTCAATCCCAATTAAACTATCATGGATCACAAGAGGTGCCCCACCTTTCCAGATACAGAGTTCTCAAGAGACTTGTACTCTTCAATTTGCTTCAATTCTCGTTGGTGCTCTTCTGGAGTCTTCTCCACTGGTTTGAAGCGGCGAACACCATGCTGCGATAAGAAGTCAGCCAGGTTGAATGACCGATGAGGATATGTCTGTTCCACTCACACTTGCCATGATTATGTATTAATGTGAGTGTCAAGGTTGATTCTATGCGAATATAAAAGGTAACACCAAGAAAAAGTCCAGTCGGAGTTGCCTCGAAGGCGGCGGGGAAGCCACGACGGTGGATCACGTAAGCGAGATATCCCACTACTACAAACTACCCCTAAGAGTACAAACTACTTCCAACTTGCACTTCATCCAGTCAACACTCCTCAACAGAATCGCCTCCATTCAGGGTGGAGGTCTTTTGGGTTTACTAACGTTCCTTTTTTTTCATTGAAATATACTTATCGCGCGGCTGTTTTTCCCCGAAAAATGGTCAATTCGCGATGCCATTCCTTCGAGGATATTTCCTCCATTCGCAACCAACATGCCTCACTAACGTATTCATCTCAATCTGAAACTTCAGATGATGGAATGATAACTGGACTAACCGAATGCTTCGCAACGATCAACCTTTCGCTTCATGAACTGCACAATACCTCTCAAATATCATTGACCCTTCCTCTGGCGAATACCCGTCGCGATACCCCCCCATCCACTACTCAAGGAAAACAGAAGTACAACTCCCAGCTCTCCTGAACGAGGTCGAGCGAAGACCAGACTTTCTCCAAGTGGTGATTGGCCTCGTGGAATCTTTCGCAGTCCTTCGTCTCCGGATCGGTTCATCCCAAAACGAGACTATGTGGATCCTGCCTCCACGCCTTTCCGTGTGAACAAACACCCACATCTACTTTCCCCCCCGAGAGAGATTTCTGCGGAGACGGGTTCCTAGTCATGACCCTTTCCTTCCAACTGCTCGCCGACCTCCAAATTTCCCAGGGCAGAAATCAATTCCCACCCGCCTCCGCCAGCGGCCTCATCAGCGACCGGGTCTAGTCATGGGGTCAATGTTCCTGGGAGGCGATCGGACTGATTTCTTGAGACAAGTTAGCCATGGCTCTGTCTGGGGTGTTGGCGGTATCTCGGCCATTCCAGCCGATTCCTCAGCGGCGGTGTCAAATGGTTCAGGGCATGATGCGGGGAGAAGTACCACAGCACCGAACTACGTGGCCAGATTCCTTCCCAGAAGGAATACTGCTGATGATCATAACAAGCATGAGTCGCGAATTGCACTTGCGTTAGATATTGACCCGACAGGCAGACTCCTTGAGACATCTATTGCTTGTGCGGAAGATCACATTCGCCCAACATCGACAGCCCATGAGCGATATGCACCTTTTGTATGGAAGGACAATGCATGGACAAAGGCCGAGAAAGACAACTGTAAGTCCACACTGTTGAATTCTTGTCAATCCGTTCGTAAATCTCACATGGTACCTTTTTCTTTGCGGGCAAGGCTAGATCTTTCTATTGAGAACATATACTTGACATCTAAGCATATCTAACCGCAGGTTGCGATAGTTGCCACTCACAGATTCGTCTGTGGCACCAACTAATTCTCGGGGATGATAACCAGGGCCACCCACTCGAGTCCGACGAGAGGTCGTTCCCCCCAAACCTTTCCGCATCTTGGACGCGCCTTTTCTCCGTGACGACTTTTATTGCTCGACCCTGGCATACTCGATCACCTCGGGAATTCTTGCTGTTGGCCTCGCACAATTTGTTTACCTATGGTCAGAAGGAATTTCGGTGAACCATCCCCCATTCAGTGATGTTCATCCGTCAAACTATGTGACATCTCTGTCGTTCTCATCTGAAATTGGGGGTCGAAGCATCCTAGCGGTCGGTCGTCAATCCGGTCAACTGACACTCTGGAGCGTTTTTGACAGTACAGTCCGCTTCGAGCTCAGTCATCCTAACAGCATCTCGTGCGTGACATTCAAACCTAGGACCACACGCCGAAACTCTGAACGATTTCCTGGCTTGGAAGTCGACACGGAAGAGCTTGTTGTTGGCGACGAGATGGGAAGTGTGTGGTATTACTCAGTCGAATGGCCAGTCATTCAAAACAAGTGGAGCTGGACTGGTTCCATGACACTACTCGCCAAGATTTCTGCTCATACCCAGCAAGTGTGCGGTCTGGCATGGTCCCCTGATGAGCGATATCTAGCCACCGGCGGCAATGATAACGTCTGCCTGCTCTTCGATCTGCAGGACCTTATTCCTGCACCAATTCTCAACCGCTCGGCATATAGTCCTGCCCCATCAAGCCTAGGCTCTCAGGATGCAATGACCTTCCACGCCTTCCCAGGCCTCAACATCAGTAATAACCCAGGCATCAATCGGGGGAGACTGCGATTATTTAACAGGGAACACATTTTCAATCAGCTCTTACCTTCGTGGGCACATCCGCCAACGATCAAATTCTCTGCGGCATCTCCTGTTCTGAGCAATCTGGGAACTCTCATCTCAGGACTCGGAAAAACAGTGGTAATTCCGCCAAACCGTCAGAAATATCGGTTACAACACGGCGCGGCAGTGAAAGCAATCGCCTTCGCGCCCTGGCAACCAACACTGCTCGCGACGGGAGGAGGATCCAACGACCGGGCAATCCACTTTTTCCACTCCAGAACTGGAGTCTGCCTTGCAACAATCAACGTATTAGCCCAAGTGACGAGTCTCATCTGGAGCCAAACCCGGCGCGAAATCGCCGCAACCTTCGGATACGCCCAACCAGAACATCCTTTCCGCATCGCGGTGTTTGCCTGGCCGAGCTGTGCACAGGTTGCAGTTATTCCTTGGGGGCCGTATGGAAGCAGCTGGGACGGACACGAACGCGATATCCCAAGTTACGACTGCGGGCGAGCTTTGTGGGCTGTTGGATATCCTGGTCGCAAATCCCGCCTTTCGACTCCTGCGAAGGAAGATGATAGCAGCATTAATGACGAAACCTCTTCTTCACATGCCCCTTCTCCTGGATATTCTACGTCGAACCGCCCGCAGCCCGCCTCGACAAGTGGAAGTCAAGCAGATCGCTCGGCCAGGAGAGACCGGACGACCGTTCAGCCAAAGGAAAAGGAAGGCGGGATTTGGTGTACACGTACGATTGAGGAGGGATGTATCATCGTCGCGTCGAGTGATCAGACTGTCAAGTTCCATGAGATTTGGACCGGGCGTCGGACGAGCATTGGGTCGGCTAGTGGGTTGTTTGGGGGTAGTGATATCCTAGAGACTATGGAGGGTATTGAGAAATCCGGCAGTGAGGTTATTCGCTAGATTAGCTGCCCTCTTTCTTTTCCTTTCTTGGACTTTGGGTTGGACTATCTTTATTTTTTTGAGGTGGTTTTTTTTGAAATGCTTGTATAGGATGCTGGTTATCTTTAAGTTTGGTGTTGCAGAATGACAATGGGTATCCTTTGTGCCCGTCGGACTTTTGAGTTAGGGTACCTATTTAGTAGTCTGTAGCAGATCCGAACCTTTTTACCTAGGTCGTCCAGTGTGTGCCAGGCTCCTTGCACTTTTCACTCGATGTATACTACTAGTAGTATCGCCTGGTAATTTCTAAATGTAAAGTTCGAGATTGCAGATATGATAAAATTGGAAGCTTCCAACCTTGGAGGTTAAATATACTATTAGTACCAACCTTGGATCTTGAATATACCTAGGTCGACCTGCGATGGGATTAGTACCAAGCTCTGGAATCTTAACTAACAACTGTAAAATCTGTGGTGGGCTTTTAGAAGCCATTCTAGGTCAATTTTTTTGGCCCTAGAAAACCTCCAAACTTCCAATGGTGTTGTTTGCCACCTGGGCATTTGCTATTAGAAAGGCGCAGTCACGTTTACCTATTCAGTATCTCTATATAGTCTCACCTGCCTGGCTAGTATTCAACCAATCTATTTGTCATTATATCACATATAAATTTATATTTTTTATTCCCAAGTAGAGAAGTTATTCTCAACAAATCGCTCGAAGGGGGTCGGCTTAGAGTCAAGGAGATTCAAACTCGGCTCAAGGGGCTCTCCCAGATAATAGCCAGGGTCCTCTAGACACAAATGGGTCTCAACAAGCTCCTGACCAACACCAGGTGGCAATGGGGCCATATACTGCTCATTGGATATCTGAATGAAGGCTGTCTTCTTTCCTGAAACCCGAGAGATTATTTCCACAATCTCTTCGGGTGTGTAGTAAGTAGTAGCTGCAAGGATCTGCTTGTTCTTCAATTCACCAGCATGCTTTAGAATTGCTTTCACGAATAGGCCTGCACCTCATGGTCAATTTTTTGTCTAAAAGCACGGAAGACTGGGTCATCTAACCTGTATCCTGGGCGGCATCAAAGAGAGGAAACTTGGCGTGTTTTCCGACAGGAAAGGAAACTTGATAAGAACCGTCCTCGGCCCGTTTGAGCTCCTTTTTGAAATTACTCATATAGTACCCAGCAAGTATAAAGCTGCAACCGATTCCCGAGTCACGAATGTACCCTTCCACTCGAACCTTGCTATCAAAGTGAGGAAGATGAGTGAGAAGCCCTTTACTTCCCTTCTGGACATCGGACAACGAAGAAAATATCAGGTGAGAAACACCAAGGGCCTTGCAAATATCGGCAACGTTCTTGCCCTGGGCATATTCGACATTCGGATCCAGGATTTCCCAGTAATTTGTGACCAGGAAAACAGTGTCGGAGCCCTTGATGGCTGCAGTCAAAGAATCGATTGAGTTCAGATCAGCCTATATACCGCGAAAATGCAGCTGTTAATATTCTTTTCTTCTTAAAAGACCACTTTTGGCAGATGGGAAGGGATTTTCACAGTAACAAGTTCAACACCCCGATTTGCCAGATCTTGGGCTGACTTTTTCGTGGCGTCGCGGGTAACGCCACGGATTTTGAACTCATTCGAAAGCTGAGGATCGGTGAGAATCGAATTTATCACGGAGCCGCCCTGGTTTCCGGTGGCGCCAAAGATGGTGATAAGCTTAGACATGATGAGGGGTAGCCAAGCAAACGGTGGAAGACCAAAGTTGAGAACGGGTCTTCTGCAAATGAAGAATATAATAGTTCAAGGGGTTTTATCCATCTTTTAAAGGCTTTTAGCATCTGGCGACTCTCTCGCGGGGTAGTTGGGCTAAATTAGCAAGCTCGTCCTGTCCATGCATTAGTGCGGGGATTTGAAACAACGACGAACACTCGCGTACTAACTAGTAGATTTTAGACTCCTTGGCCCGATTCAAGATGGGTCCGACTCGCTTATGAACATTATGCCGTCCGAACCGGAGTGTGTTTCTCTGGGCAGGCTGCGCGATCTGACTATCAGACTCCCCGAGAGGTGTTAGTACTTCAAGGGCCTTTGGCTGGCCGCCGGTAAGGACAGCCCGAAGGATTACATATGGCTTAAGGGGGAACCAGTAAGATCCGAGTCTTCGCCGTGCTCAAGTGGGGCTACCAGTCACCACAATTTCTCAGGGAGTATACAACTTCAAAGTTGACAATCGAATCTTTTCGAAACCTTGGAATACACCTCATTTTAATCACAAAATTCGTATTAGCCAACCTTGGAAGCGACTAGTGTTGGACTACTGAGTATGATAGATTTGCAGTTCAACTTGGAATCGGACCTGCCATCCATGGATAGGGAAGCTGCCAGTTATCCTTCAAGAAACAAATAAATTTGGAGTTTATTACTAGCTAGTAGTACTATATACCAGTGTACGGCTAAGTAACCATACAGGTTTCTGCAGCTTCAATCCCAGAACTGGGTGCATGCTATGGTCAGCAAGTACTAGTAGTTACTAGTTTTATATTAATACTCGTAGCGACTAGTACTAGTAGTATGCAACATTATATTGCTTAGAGTAAGCTTACACTTGGCACATATCACTGTAGTGAGGAGTAGGTAGTACTGGCACTATTTAAATGGTAGATGTGAACCTTGGAAATACTCTTACCTGATGACAGCCAACTGTTCAGGCCCCTGACACCGAAAAAAAAGAAGATTCAATCCAGCGACCCCTTCATTCCGCATCAAGTTCGAAGTCTCTAAGCAACCCAACGATCAACCTTGGAACAATCTGAATAAAAAAAAAAGTAAATCCTTCTTGCTAAATACACAGCCAAATACTAGTAGCCCCGGCTCACTAAATCAGGAGAAACGATTTCCCAAGCAACCAAATCAAGAAAGATTACCCACCGTCGATCCCCCCCCCACACCTCTTCAAGATTCTTCTTGGCATCATTCATCCTCATTATCCTCATATCTTCAACTTCCTACAACCGAACCACCAGCTCTCAATCGCATAAGAACAATCTCAATTTCAATCCCAAATTAACCATATATCGTCAAAATGCGCATCTCAACCCTCGCCCCCTTCCTGGCATCCATCGCCCTCACAACAGCAAATACTCTAAACATCACCGTCTTATCCGCCCACAACAATCGCTCAACCCTCGAATGCTGGGCCCTAGAACCAGGCTTCACAACCTCCACAACAGCCGGGCAATCCGGAACCGAAGTACTCAATCTAGGCACTGTCGGCGGTCTCAATGCCGGTAATGCCTCGTACTCGGTTCTCCCAGCCAAATTTGATGGAGGGAGACATAATGCGCCCGCGCTACAGTAAGTTCCATGCTTTATTATTGTTTATTCTGGAACCCAATCCGCCCAAAAAGGTCGTATAGATAAGAAAAGGAAAATAGTACCGTAGCTAACCGCATCTCCTTCTTCTTTAGGTGGGTCGTCTTCCTCTCAGGACTAGCCCATATTACTCTGCCCAACTCAACGGCAGAGGCATACATCCCCGGAGGCAAAAACGGGGCTATTCTCGCCCTCGATACGGCGGATGTTAGCTCCCTGGGTCATATCACTAAATATCCTTCCGAGGAAAGTACTGTTGCGTTGATAATTCCGCTTGGACAGGGGGGTATTCCCGGTCATGCCGTTTTGCATAATGGGGCTTGTAAGGGGGTGGAATTGCAGGTTTGAAAGATATTCCAAGGTTGTTGAATGGAGGGATTTAGATTGGATTTTGATGATGGGTGTATGTATGTATGTATACCTAGTAGCTATTTACTAGCTAGTAACTACTAACGAATGCTTAAAGCCTTGGAAGAAGAGGTCTGCGATGGATCTATGAAGACAAACTAGTACACTCCTAAGTGCGCATCTGAGGGAAAAGAAAGTTCAAGCTTGTAAATTCATTCAATTGAGTCGATTCAGTGTGTGGCTATAAACACAGTTTCCACAGACCAGACAAGACGCAGGTCATGCATGCCAATATATAATTCTTTTGAGGAAAAAAAGGAAAAAGAGGTAAAGTAAACATGTCAAACATTCAAACAAAAGCCAACAGAGAAAAAAAAAACGTCTTTCCCCGAATTCGTACATAGAAATTCCATCCCTCTTCACCTTCTTCTTGATTCTGGTTCGTCCTTCTTTCCAGATATCAAGCGCTTCATTTCTTACCACCCTTCTTCTTTCCACCCATCTTGGCCTTCTTCGTTGGTGGCGGCACAACCTCGACAGCATCATCGGATGCCTCATCTTCAGTATCAGCGACGAAATCCACCATCGAGCCCTCGCTGTCCTCGTCGTCATCCTCGTTCTCTTCGAGAGACTCCTCAGCATCGGAAGAACCAGCCGACTCTTCCGCCTCGATGTCAAGGATATCATCACCCTCATCCTCATCATCGTCTTCGCTTCCATCATCCTCATCGTCCTCCGACTCATCAATACCATTCATCATAGACTCGTCCTCGTCAAAGGCCTGGTCACGGATAGACTTCGTCCGAGGCTTAGCCTCAGTCTCGCTATCCTCCTCATCATCGTGACCCTCGACGTAAATAACATTGTCCTCATCTTCGCTATCCATACCCTCATCTCCACCGCGGATCGACTGTCGCAGACCAAGCTGCGCATCCAGCATATCCAGCTTACCCTTCAGCAAGAGCAACGAGGGCAGACTAGACGACCGCTGATCCATGACCTTGTACAGCGTAGCCATGCGCTTCAACAGCTCAGGCTGACCAGCCAACGCACCACCGTGCGCGACGCAGGTCCACTGCACCCAGACAAGAAGGTGTCCATACCGACCAGGGCGGGAAGAGAGACGCTCAGCGAGACGCTGGAGCAGGGTCGCCGCGAGCGAGGACTCGAGACGCTGAATAGTTGTGCGGATGATGGAGGTGTCGCCGGTGTGGAAGCAAGACTCCAGCATAGCGTTATCATTGGTCTTCAGGGATTGAGTCAGGACAGTCGCCAATGAGACACCGGTGGGGATCTGCTGCACTGCCGCTGTAGGTTTGCCGGGGATCAGGGCGCCGGGCAGGACGTCGTCATCGAGTTCGGCCTCGACATCAACTTCTTGGCCTGCGTTTGCGCGCATGAGTTCGCCGAACGAGGGCTCGGCACCTTCCTCTTCCTCTTCCTCCTCGTCATCTGACGCAGCGTTGTTCATCTCGACGTCGGATTCGGCGGCGGCGGTGTTGCTGGTGGTCTTGTTCTTCTTCTCGGTAGGCTTGACGACGTCTTCGTTGTCGGAGTCTTCGCTTCCAGAAATGGAGATCGGGTCGTCGCGGGATTCGCCCATCTCGATATCGTCGTCCAGGATGTTACCCTGCTCCACGGCCATGTGCTTCTCATCAACACGGCTCTCGCCGGAGCTCTTGGCGCCATTTGAGGAAACTGAGGTCACGGCCTGGCTTGACTTGCTCTTCACGACGGCCTTGGCGCCTGTGAATGCGAGTTCGTCGGTGCTCTCGTCGATAACCTTCACGCGCTCGAAAACGGGGATGACGCCGCCCTCGGTGTAGGCGACGATGATCTCATTGCCGTTGAACAGAGTTGATACTACCGGCACGCAGGCATCTGAGGAGTCGGAGCGGGTGATCTTAAGAGTGGCATTGGCCTTTTGGGTCATTTGTTTCCGGTTAGCCTTGGCGCTGCTGCCGGACTGCGCGTTCTGTGGCTGGGAGAAGGGTTTCGTGAAAATTTCAATGGTGCCATCTTCGGTGACGGCGGCCAGAATTTGCTTCTCGAGAGCGGCGGAGCTGGCGTTCAGAGAGACCGAGGAAACGTCCTGGTCGGCCACGAGGTTGCGCACGAGCTTCTGGGTTGCGGCGTCGAAGACGTTGATGAATCGATCGCCGTCGGAGGCGATGAATGCGCCCGTGCCAGCGGACTCTTGGGAGGAAGAAATGACGGTGTGGATCTGGTTGCGCATTGCGGGGAACTTGGCCGGCTCGTCGGAGTTTTCCACATCTATTAAGAAGGGGGTCTGGGAAGCACAGATAACGGGCTGGTTAGAAGGGACGGGGCGGGAGAGAGCAGTGAAGATGGAAGAGGTGGGCAGGTGAATCGTCCTAGTGGGAGAATCCGTCAGTAAAATAGAAGAATAAAACGCATTGTCAAGAAATCACGACTCGATCCCTCGGGGTAGATCATACTTAATGCTTTGACCTGAGCGCAAATCCCATTGGACAAGCTTGTTATCACCTCCGATACTCCAAGCCTCCTGGGCGGGCTTTCCAGCAGTGAACTTGAAATCCTTGATACCCTTGTCATGTGCGCCGGTCAGGGTGCCGACAATCTTGTCCTCGGACGGGGAGAACATGCGGATATCCGAGGTGCTGGTACCGAACGCAACGACAATATCGCCCTGCTCTAGACCGTCGACGGCACCGTTGACATCGGATCCACGCTTGCGCTTCTTCTTGGACTGATCGCGACTCTTTCCCTGGCCTCCATAATACCCCCAGTCCAGCGAAGTGATTGTCTCCTTGGGGCTGAGCGCATGCTCGCACTGTAGTCGACCGGTGTTGGTATCGTGGATGCGAAGGTGCTGCGCATCGAGACCTTGGATGACGGATGCGAAAAGTGCCAATTGATACTCCGATGGGGAGAATGCAGCTCGCAGGATAGACGACTTGCTACCAATTGACGAGAGGCCTGCGGCGGGCGATGCGGCCGACGAGACCTTGCTCGCGGGGCGAGATGTCTTCTTGCCCATTTTTTTGGTGGTTGGCGGTAGCTTTTTTTTTTCCCGGTTCCTTCACGACTTTTTGTCGGGTGGCGAGGGAGATATGGAGAGGCGAGGTGACTGGTGGTTGACGGTCCCCGAATTAACAAGGAAATCCCGAATAAAATCACAAAGCCCGGGGGACGACAGGCTGGAGGTTCTGGGACTCTGGAGGTCTGATGCGGAAAGGAAAAAAATGTTTGAGTAGGCTCCGGTTGGAGCTAGTCTTGATGTGGTTAGCGTAGAGGTATGCTCTTATCTAATCGGAGTCAGCCACTTTCAGCCACAGTTAGATACCGCCACAGGTGTGGCACCAGCATCAGTTCGGTCCAAGTTTAGTTGACTCGAGAAATACACCTGGGCATGTTTTGGAATAATCCAACATAGGAATTCTTCAAGTTACTAGTATCTACAGTTCTAACCCTTCCTTTTATATCTTCCAGTCTCTAGTGTCCAAGTGTTTTGGGATCCCGAGTCAGTTTAGTGGCGGGGTGTATGATAATGCACACCTGGGCAGACGATATATATACCTAGGTATTTTTTGAAAACCGCCTGCCTGGGCGCGGGCGTTGTTGGAGACCCGGGGTGGACTTTGCAATACTAGTAATTAGAACTACTAAAACGTGGGCTTTCAAATTATATGCCTACAGGCAGCTTGAATGATTCTAAAGGCGAGCGTATTATATTGAGTCTTTTGACTGTGCCTAGACCGTGACCTGATCTATCTGTGAGGGCCCGAAATGGGGAACGCTGATTGGAGAATCGCCCTAAGGTGCAGGAGGAACGCCGAAAAACACAGCTCCAAGCCCTACTGGTATTCGTAGTCGTAAATTTGAAGATTGAACTTGAACTTGGAGGGTTACAGATTTGGTGTAGGTCAGTAGTAATTCTGCAACCTTAACTTCTCGGTGCTTCATTACTTCCACCCACCGGCTCTTCTAGAGTTAATTGTGGTTTTTTTTGTTTACTATCTTGCAGACCATCGTACCATTCCGAAATAATATATGAGTAAGCAAACTTGCACATGAATACTTGAAAAGCATATTAGAGTGACCAAGAGTGCTAACCACTCATACCTTGTTCGGGCCGGCAGAAAAGATCAGCCGCCGAGGCGAGTCGAACGGCGGACCTCGACCATAGGCAAGCCCCGGGTCAGCAGGTAACTAGTAGTTACCCCCTGCAAAGAATGTCGATGGTACCTTTTCGCCATCCCAAATCATCAGCAGAATTCCCCAACAGGCTTGGCGTCTCTCGAGCCTCGGGATGACAGGCGCTAGCATGGGGTCTGCATCTATACCTCGCTTGTTGGAAATTGTAGTACTGTATATAAAGTGTAGCTTGATATCATGATTATGATTATGATCAGTGCTCTAGCTAGATATTCACACCATAGTTGACTCTGTAATGTGGAGTTTGTACTTTGTACTCCATCCTCGATCAATTTATAGTACCGTATACTAGTACAACCGATCGCCGGATGGGGAGATCACGTGTGGTGACGTCGGGACTCGACGGATCAGACGCTCGAGCCAAGGGCTGACCAGGGCAGACCTGGACCAGGGCCAGATGGAGAGGAAAGAGGAAAGAGGAAAGAGGAGAGAGGAAAGCTAGAGTTAGGAGTCGAATGGCCATTTACATCCCCTGCAGATTCGGTGACTCATTGATTGCGACAAAGACCACAAAACACAGTGGTGATTTAAGATGCTTCTAGAATGTAAATTGTCATAAATTAGAATTTGTTAGCAAGAAGAAAAAGAATTAGAAAAAGAAAAAAGCAAAAGCAAAACAAAGCAAAACAGTATGTATACTCTCATACCGCCAGCCCAATCCAAGCTGAATGCAAATTTTTTTTCCCCTGCAATACGGTACGGTACTCAGGGCGGGCCAATCAGGGGGGGAGCCAACCAACCACCAACCAATCAACAACGAGCGGACCCAGCAGAATCCGGGCGAACGAGCCTGGTGGAACTCGGTGCGTTTGTACTTAAGGATTCTTATCCCCTCCGAGCCTTTTTCTTGGAGCTCCCTCCTATTTTTACCTATTTTCCTTTCCTTGCCCCCTTGACCGCCCACGTATCCAAGGTTACCCTCTGGTTCCCCCTAAAACATAACACAGATCCTCCGACGCGTCGCGTGCCCCCTTTTATTTTTTATTTTATTTTTTAACTGGTCACTTCCCCCACCTTCCCCCTTTCCCCAATTATTATTTGATAATTCCGCTTTCCCTGCTTTTCTCCGAGTCTGGGCCACCCTTTCCCACTTCAGTCTCAAGCCTCAGCCTCAGGCAGCTCGCCTCTTATCCCTTATCGACCCTGATCCCGTGACTTATCTGTTACTTCAAACCACGTGATCACTCGACCGCCTTTCTTGGCAGTATTAATTTCTTTGCCCCCGTCGCATTCTCCACTCTTTCTATCTTTTGGACCTTGCGCCCAATTCCCCTACAAGCTCCATCTTTTTTCGCCAACCTACCCCCCTCTACCCCCTCTACCATTCCTCCACCTCATATTATCATCGCGTGTTTTTGATTCCTCCCGCGCGACTCTCCCAAATTAGCTCGTGATTGCGCGCGGAGAGCAGAGTGTATCCAGTTTCCAGCTCGCGCAACCCGATATCTCTCACCTGTCCGTGACTTCTTTTTAAAGCCTGTACTTTGCTCCTCTCGTTGCTCCATATGGCCACTCCGCCCCCAGAGGCTGCTCCTGTCGTCAAGGAGGAAAAGCCTCAGCTGCCTCCTTCGCCGACTGGAGCTTCTGCCCCCGATGTCGCATTCACTAGGTAAGCTATCTACCCGTCTTTGCCCATCAATCTTGGCCCCGCGCGACTTGCGCTGACTTTCTCTCCAGTGGTCAGAATGCAGCGATTGGCCTGAAGACAGATTCTCCCGCTCCAACTCCCACTCCCGCAACGGAGAATGTCCCTACCACAAATGGTCACTCTCCTAGCGTGCCTCCGACTACAAACGGAACCAGTGCAGCCGCATCACCTCCAAAGTCTCCCGCACCGGTGCCTAATTCCCCCTCTACTTCGGCACCTCCAGCTGCACCAGCTACAAGTGAACCAGCAGTGAGCGCAAGTGTGACCGCGAGCGTGATCTCGACCGCAACACCTGAGATCAAGAAGTCCGAGGAGACCCCTGCTCCTGTTGAATCGCAACCCCCTGCGACCTCAGTAACTGCGAGTACTCCCGCTGACAACACACCTCAATCTGGATCCCAACCCCCCCACCAACAACTCTACCAATAGTCCCGCTGCGTCAGCAGGTGTTACGGACATGAAACCCGTCGAAAGTGAGGACAAAATGGCTATCGACAGCCCCACAACTCAGGCAGCTCCCTCAACTCAACTTCCTCATCACCCAACCACCACCGAAATCACCACCCCCATTCTTCCGTCAATTCAAACTGATCACGAAATGAAGGATGCGCCAGTTGCCCCCATGTCTCCTTCTAAGCTTTCTCGTGAGCGCGAGGCAGACCCCGCGGAGGAACCAGCGGCAAAGCGTACCAGAGTTGAAGGCCAAGATGCTGCCTCCAGGGAATACAGGATGGCTGTGCCCCCCCACTCCTGCTACTGCGATCCCCGCACCAGTGTCCTCGAACAGTGGAGGCAGGATCAGCAAGGTTCAACAAAAATTCATCCAAAAGTCTCTGACGACCCTGAAACGCATGCATGATTCGCGTTTTTACCGTGAAGCAGTCGACTGGGTGAAGTTGAACATCCCCAATTATCCTCACGTCATCACTCAGCCAATGGATCTGAGCAGCATGGAGAAGAAGCTCAAGAATAACATGTACTCATCTCCCCAGGAGGTCTTCCGTGATTTCGATCTGATGGTCAACAATTCTTTGGTTTTTAACGGCCCCGACCATCTGGTGTATCAGGAAGGTGAAAAGTTAAAGCACACCTTCCATAAGCAGATGACCAACCTGCCCAAGGCCGACGAGGTTGAGGAGAGGAAAACAAAGAAGTCGACTGAGAAGACCTCTGCCGCTCGACGGGAACCTCGCACCTCGCTCGGAAGCACCACCGCCAAAGCTGCCTCTCCACAGAGTACCACCTTCGCATTGGGACCGGAGGGACTCCCCGTCATTCGCCGGGATTCCACGAACCCGGATGGCCGCCCCAAGCGTTCGATCCATCCTCCCAAGCGAGACCTTCCCTACGCTACCAAGCCCAAGAAGAAGAAGTACCAGTGGGAGTTGCGATTTTGCCAAGAGGCCCTGGAAGAGCTTTGGAAACCCAAGTATTCGCTGAATGCAATCCCCTTCTACGCCCCCGTCGACCCCGTCGCACTCAATATCCCGACTTACCATAGCATTATCAAGAAACCGATGGACATGACCAGCATCAAGAGCAAGCTGACTACCGGCCAATACGAAAACTCGAAAGAGTTTGAGGCTGATGTCCGTCTCATGTTCAAGAACTGCTATCGATTTAATCTTCCTGGAGATCCCACCTACCAATGCGGTAAGGCTCTCGAAGCCGTCTTCGACCTCAAGTGGGCGCAGAAGCAGGAATATCTTGACCGCCACGAGCCGCACCCCGAGCACAACTCCGATTCTTCCGACGATGATAGTGATGAGGAGGCCGAAAGTGACGAGGATGATGAGCAGCTCAGTGAACTCCAGAGGAAGATCGCTGAGATGTCCCGTCAAGTGGAAATGATTACGCAAAAGAAAAAGAAGACACCCCCTACTAGCAAGAAGTCTGGAACCAAGACCAAGGCTGTCAAGAAGGAGTCAAAGAAGACTACCACTAAGAAGGAAAAGAAATCCAGCAAGCCCGCCAAGCCGGAGAAGACGCGCTTCGTATCCTACAACGAGAAGCAGATCATCTCCAACGGAATTAGTGCTCTTCCTGACAAGAAGATGCAGCAGGCTCTCCAAATCATCCAGAGCAATGTTCCTTCTTTGAAGGTAGGCATTCCATTTTTGCCCCTCCCCATACTAGTTTGTGGACTTTAGCTAACATGGGTTCTCCCTTTTCACAGAACACTGCAGAGGCCGAGATTGAACTGGATATCGATGAACTCCCCAACGACGTCCTCCTTCTCCTGCTCAAGTTTGTCAAGAAGAATGCCCCGAATGTCGTGGATGACGAAGAGGAAATCCCCGGAAACCCCCACGTTTCCGCCGCGAAGCCCAAGAAGAATAAGCCCATGAGCAAGTTCGAGCAGGAAGCTCAGATCAACATGCTGCAGAGCAACCTTTCTCGTTTCGAGGGAGGTGGCGGTGGTTCACCCGAACCTATGCCCTCGGTCGAGGCCATGGACTCTAGCGAGGATGAGTCGGATGATGACTCGGAGGAGAGTGAAGAGGAGTAAATTCTCTCTTTTGAGTTTCCATCCACCTCCTCTGCCTGGCTATTGCTGTTATTTGCGTTTTGAGCGTTTTGATTTCCCTTTCTACTGGCGAATCTTTCAATTCAACTTCCACCCTTTTTCCCCTGGCCTACGACAATCTCCTTTCCAAGATCCGGATCGCTGGAGCTGCCTGCACCTTTCTGCTTCTCTGCCGTCTTTTTCTCTCTCCAATGCGAAGTCTATGGGGCCAGACCCCCCCAACCCGCCCCTTGTACATACTTTTCTACTTTCGTCTTTCGTCTCTCGAAACAAAACTGAAGCAGGCAGCTCAGCTTCACTTGTATGATTATGAAAGAAACGCGCCAATGCCGAATATCTGCTTTTGGTGCTTAGCTCCTTGAAATTCAAATCTGCCCTGGAATGATCCTAGCGTAATGCAGTGCTATACTTCTTGCCAATGGCAGTCCTTTCTAAAAGTGGATAGATCACTATTAGTAGTTGTACCTAAAGGTGGTAACTAGTAGCTACTCACTACTCCGCAGTAACTAAAGCGGATCTCGATGTACTCGGGTCAATCCCCGGCGGTGAAGTGAACCTCCCCTTCATTCTCCCTCCAACATGATTCCCCCCTGCGACCCCTCTATTCTCGAACACAACCCCAAGTTCAAACGACTCTATGAGAACCTAACACTCAATATCCTGAACCCGGATGGTTCGACACGCGTCCACAGCGCCGACCCGGCGCGCACAGTCGTTGCGGAGGTAAGTCGTGGTGACGCGCCTTGCCATGTCACACCAAACATATATGCCAGTGGCTGTATGAGAAACAGAGCAGCAGTTCTAACGATCTCCCCGTGTCATGAGAACAGGACCTGAAGCAATGTCAAATCCAGAGCAGCAAGCGGCGAATCAAAGAGCGCATCCTCAAACAACTGGCGTTTGCCTCGGACAGCGGGATACCCGAAGAGGTGAGCAGTACAAACGAGTTCATCCCTGCCCATGGGACAGGACACCGATACTGATACCATACTCTCGCCTCCTATACAGTGTCACGATAATCTTGCCATAATATCGTTATACCTCGAAACATCATCCGCCGCAATCGAGCCCGAACCACTAGTTCCAGCATTCGGCGAGAACGAGGAAGAGAACGAGAACACAGCTCTCTCTCTCCTACTCCCCGAATTCTCAACCTTCTATAACACAATCCCAACACTCTCCCGGCACATCTCAACCCAACTCTCAAATTCAATCGCAGACCTCCGCTCTCTAACCACGGACGACCCCTCAAACGAACCCGCATCCTCCCGCTCGACATCAACATCAACATCAACATCAACAACACACCACGCCCGCATCAGAGCCCGCGACAAACGGCTCCGAACCTCAATGGCACCCGTCAAACTCCTCTCAACACATCTAGCCGAGCAAGTCGCATATCTGCGCCGGAGACAATTATTCGAACTACCCACCGCGCGACGCGCGATGGCAGCGACGGCGACGCAATTATTAGCTGCCCAGGCTGTTGTTCTGGAGCGTATTGTTGTCATTCTTGAGAGGGGCATGCATGGGGCGTTGGCGAGGAGGATTAAAGCGAGGGCGGATCATTTGGGGACTGTTGCACGAGGTGTGGAGGGGAAAGTTGAGTACGTATTCCATTTCCCATGCCCCATCTCCCTGGGGTTTTATTCTTATAGAATACTCTGAATCATTGGGAGAGGTTGGCTAATTTGTTTGTTTGGTGAAGGGTTACGAAGCTTGAGATCGCTGCTATGCTTTATACGCCTGAGACGCTTGCTGCGCTGGGGAGGTATCGGGATCATTTGCGGGAGTTGAGGGGCCGGCTTGATGAGCGGGGATTTGTGGCGAAGGGGGAATTGAAGAGGTATGGGGATGTTGGGGATTTTGACGAGGAGGGGAATGGGGGGACGCTGGCGGAGATTGCGCGGCGGTATGGGGGTTTGTTGATGGAGGTTGAGAATGTGAGGATGGAAATTGCAAGGATTGGGGAATGATTTCTAGAGAAAAGGTGTTTCCCATTGGCATGTGTGCAGCTGCTGGGTATGCAGCTTGCGGGAGTTGGCTGCATAGCACATTGAGGTAGGATGAGGTGTCGAATATATGGATTTCGACCTCTATTGGGAGATGTGTCTTTATTTCAAGACAATATGAACATAACTTGAATTTGTGACAGAATGAAATCAACTTTCCTCTTAGGTAATGCTGAGAACTGGCGTGACTATGTCTCTACGCAATGCCGCGCTTTCTCAAGCAACAGTAGCCAAATGGCTACAAACCGGCACATTCTCCTTCCTACCAGGCTCAGGGAATCCAGAAACATCAACGCCCTTCCGGAAAAGCAGACAATGAGTAGATCCACCAAAATGGAACATGCCAATTTCATCACCCTTCTCCACACGCTGACCTTCTGAGACAGTGATATCGCAAGTCGAGACCTCCGCCATACCCACGCCAATAAAAGCCATAAGCCCGATAGAAGGCTCATCCGCCTCGATAAAGATCAGTGCACGCGTTGCGGCCGCAGTGATATACGCTTGGGAGATGACCTGGCCTTCTAGATCGATATCCTGAGAATGAACAGCGGGATTCCCAACACCCTCAAACAGTGGCTCAGAATAATATGTCCCGTCAACGACATAAGCCTTAACAACCTTGCCAGTAACAGGTGCATGCCAGCGGTGGTAGCTCAATGCACTAAGGAACGCCTGGTAAATGGTTCCACCGACAAACTGCTCAGCAAGAGAATCATGGCCCAGCATATCCAGAACTGAATACGGCTGAGACTTGATCCAGAATCGATCACGAGCTTTGACATTATGGGCGATCCGGTAGGGCTTGGACTCGCACGCGTTAGCAATGACACTGCCGTTTCCAGGCTCCGCAACTGGCCGCATGCCATCATGCCATGTTCGCGTGAAGAAGTCGTCCCAGGACTTGAAGCCGTGATTTGGCGCTGACGGGTCACATTTGAACATTTGGTGGAACTCGAGATTCTCTGCGGCTGTTGGGCCGATCTTCGCCGCGGCTGTTAATTCACCGTATCCCGTCTGCCCGAACCATCCCAGAGCAGACGAGCCCAGGACATTAGCTGAGGCAGGTGAGCGCAGGAACTCGCCCCAGGCATTCAGGATCTTCTTTAGCATTGCGTTGATTTCGGGGTCCAAGAATGCCGCATAGCCGCTGGGTGTGCCCATGGGCCAATCCAGCAGTGCGTTGATGGGCAGACCGACTAGACCGACTCGATGGGCTTTGTCGGTCCATGATGGTGCCGTGGTGAGTAGGTGGTTGAGGACGCGGAGGAAATGGTGATAATCGCGGATCTCGGGGTGGCCGGTGGGGTCTTGTCGGTATGGTCTTTTGTGAGGGACTTCTTCGAGCATGCCTTCGATGAGCATGTAGACTCTGGTGTTTGTTTCGATGAGCTGCTTGAATTCTTCCACGACTGGGTGCAGGGTGTGTTCTTTTTTGTCGACGTGTTGGATGATATCGCCGAGCCATTCACGGTGTGCAGTGTGGTTTGGGTGCATCCATTCACCGATTCTGATTTGATGGTTAGCTTCGTCAGCTTCGAAATGTGAGATACTACTTACTTGTGGAGGTGATGAGGGTCTTCATTCTTATTCGTCGACATTTTAAATAATATCTGCCGTGTAGGTAGTATTCAATGGTGTAGAGGAAAATGTACTACTAGTCAACAAAAATCAAACCCCTGGAATTTCTTTGGTTTTAAACAAGACAAATGCGGGGTTTCCAGGTGCGATCGTATGATATAATATAGTTCAAGTCGAAAGCTTAGCATTGAACTAGTTTATGTACTTGACGCTGCCAAGCATAAAACAAGAAACGTCGATGACGTCACGACAGCTATATTGTCGACTCGGAACTATTCAAGTTTATGTGACACAACAGGTGAGGGATTATTTGGACGGATGCACAAGTCGTAAAATAAACAGTCATAAAAATGAAACTGACCACTTGAATGCCATGATACCTCAAAACCAAAGCTCTTGTGCCGGAATCTACCGAGATATTTGAACATGATTTTTGCTCTACGAGGATGGCATGATGTTACTAAGAATTGCCCACCTGATAGTTATTTATAGTAATATGCTTGGGTTTCCAGGAACTTAACACTAGGCAAGTACTGGCATATTCAAATTACGCAGGGAAATACTGTTTGGTTAGGGTGGGAGGCTAAAAATGCTACAGAATCAGGAATCTGTCAGAAAAAATCTATATACTGCATTCTTTCAACCAAACGAGGTCCTGCAGACTTCTGGATAAGCACCATTAAATTTGTGGTGGAATTTGTCCCTGATAAAGGCGCGAACGTTGAAAGGAAGACGTTTGAGACCCTCACACCACTCATCATAGCGGCGGGGTTGGGTCACTTTGAGGTGGGTCAAACTCTCCTAGATCACGGAGCAAAGGCTGGGAGAAAGAACCATCGTGGCCTGACGGTACTGACAGCGGCCATTCGAGGAGGGCACAAGAAGGTAGTGAAAATCCTTCTCTAAAACCAGGCAAGCGTGACTCAGAGAGGGTTTGAAGACAATATGCCATTTCTACTGGCAGTTGACAGCGGAAAAGACGACATAGTGCAGCTCATGGTAGACTCAACAAGCAAAAGTGGCCGAATAAGAAGAGAGTTCCACGAGCTGTCGGAATTAAAGCTTCAAGTACTAGTAAGTGCTACATGTGTAATATACCTAGGTATATGTACAACAAAGTTAACTAATTCGTACGGCGTTGTATACTCCGCAGTCACATGACTCTCCGCAACTTTTTCCGCCAAGCCAAACTTTGCTTCACTTTTTGCCTCTTTTCTTGGTTCCTGACTCAACTTTCACCCCTCAAAATAATCACAGACAATACAAGACAAAAAGTTATCCTCCGAGTCTCTCAAAATGGCTGACGACGCCCTCTCCATCTACGATGAAATCGAAATCGAAGACATGACCTTCGACCCCGCCATGCAGATCTACCATTTCCCTTGCCCATGCGGGGACCGCTTCGAGATCGCCATCGATGATTTGCGCGACGGGGAAGAAATTGCTGTGTGTCCGAGTTGCTCTTTGATGATCAAGGTTATTTTTGACTTGGTATGTTTGACCCGGGGAAGAGGCAAGCGGGCAAGTGGGGGATTGCGCGCTTTGCTTAACATTTGACCTGGCCCGGCCTTACTAATTTCTTTCCCTCGACGCATAGAGCGATCTTCCTGCCCCGGATAATGGACCTGGCTCGGGCTCTGTTGCTGTGCAGGCATGAGTCACCTTCCGACGATACAATAGACGTGAGACATGCAAAGACGTTGTCTCAACAGCGCCAGCGCGACTGCCGGTAGAATGGAACATACTGCGACTTTGTCTTGACAGCGCCAGCGTGACTGCCGGCGGAGTGAAACACGCACAGGGCGGATATGACGCATCGCAACAGCTATCCACATGTACACTGTGGAGTACAGCGCATACCCACCGGCTTTGCAGGTTCCGCGTTCGTTCGCCAATTCGTTTTACCAGTATGTCTGGATATGCGCGTGCGCGCTGGAAATCGGGTCGCCGCACGGGCATATGCTCTGCAGACGAAAGAGATCCCCCCCACCAAGAGACTGCTGCGCGGCGAGTTCTTCTCATCGTGATAAAGATTTTCCGAAACAATTCAACTTGATAGCTACAAGATCCTCACGCGCTGTTCAAGGGGCCTCGGAATCGCCGTGAGAAATTGTTTTTGTCTACTTTTTTTATAATGAGCCAAGATGGTACTGTTATTCACTTTGCCAACAGATTGTCTTGGCCTGACCACAAGGTTCTCAAGTCCAACCGCTCGAATACAAAGCAGTTGGGCTTAGACACCACAAAAGAGACCTATCAGCTACCAGGCTCTACAATACAAAGCAATGAACCCACTCGAATGCAAAGAATACAAGTCAATGATTCATACCTCACAATAGTAAATGCAACCAAAACCTAAAATACAATGTCCCATCACAACCAATCTCCCACAGAGCCAGCCCTCTGTGGTCTCAAGATTCCTTGCCCGCCGTATATTGCAGGCAGACAGACACGCCGGGCGGAATCAATCTACTCCACAATCTGCGAATAAACATCCTTCGGCAACTGAATACTCAACTCCGTATTAAGCAGATCCGTCAGGTTAGATCCATCCCGCAAATAAATCCACTGCCCATTGGCGAACTCCCGCGTCTCCGCCTTCTCGTGCATGCGGTCGCCCTCAACGATCCAGTCGTACCGCTTGGGCCCGGAGAGGGGGAAGAGAGCCAGATTTGCTTGTTTGGTGGTTGTTTGTTCAGGACGTAGGTTCCAATACTCGGAACGGAGACGTTTAGAACGCCGGCCTGGTCAAGTTAGTGGGTGTGGTGTTTGAAAGGAACTGCGCCGGGTGGATTTCTGGCTGGTCTGGTCGGAGATAAATTGCACTTACACTATACTCTGCTTCAACATCGCTGCCTTCCTCTTGCGCTCTCTCCAGCTCTCCGAGTAACACGTTGAAATAGTGCTCTGAGTACTCATAATACTCTTCCGCGGAAAGTGGCGTGGGCTCTGTGACGTGTGCTGCGGCGCCGGCAGCGGGTGTTTGGGTGGCTGGTGGTTGGGGGTTCTCTGTATCAGGCTGCAGGCCCTTGGAGAAGGAGCCGGTGGAGTGGAATGAGCGGGCTGTGGTAGCAATAGCTGGCATAGAGCTATTGGAGCTTGAGCTCGGGCGGAGGAATCGGGTTGGTGGAGTGTTGAGCGCGGCAAGACGAGCCGGTCGGGCTGTGAAGCGAAGGACTCTGGGGGCTGTTCGGGAGAGCATTATTGGTGGTGTTGGGTCTCTCTTTTTGGAAGGATTGAATGGATGAGTTGAGAGGAGAAGTCTATGGTGGAGGCGGAGGTCGTTCTTGTTGCGGAGAGGGCTACATCATCGTGCAGTACACCGCCTTCCGCATCCGGTATGAAGTGGTGGTTGTCATTGATGATGTGCTTAGTGGTTTTATTCGGGCTTGATTATGCTTGAGTTGAGTTTCAATAATCAAATTTGTGTATATATGATAATTCTCTATTTTAAAAAGTCAACATGAGAATGTGGATGTGGAAGTGGCCGCGCAGGTAGTAGTAGAGTAGATTGCACAGAATAGTTAACTACTACCTTACTACTACCCTGTCTATCAAAGTGAATTGAAAGACAAAACAGTACAGATTGAAAGATAGTCTGATTTTACATTGGTTTAGTTTTTCCTTTTCCTAGCTAGTGGTAACTTTGTGTGAGCCATTTCCCCTATCAGGAATTATTCTCCCAAAATAACGTTCTAAGTATTTTTAGTATGTGTCATGAGGACATCCTGATAGAATTAGGGAAGCACTAAGATGGCTTGCTCTGTGAAACTAGGTGGATACAGGGATAATAACATCTTTCAAAGTCTTGATTTGGATTTCGCTATGCATATAATTAGTAAAATGAAGGGAATTGGGAAGTCATTCTCTTACCTTCAAGCTCGGCCTTCTTTGTCCTAAATCTCGCAGCTGGCTCCCCACTTGCGAGTCTCTCCGAGAGAGCATCGGTGGCATTATAAACAGCCAGGACCCGTTCACTCCTGAGGGGTATATTCTGCAGCCGCTTTGTCTCCATCATACTGGCACCGTCATTGATCTGAAGCTGTTTCTCCAGAAATTGGACGACGGAATCATGGAATCCCTCAACAGGGAATACTCTGTTGACCAAGCCCCAACTTTCCAACTCCTGCACAGTCAACTTTCGACCAAACATGAGGAAGTCATTCGCGCGAAGCACGCCAATGTGTCTCGCGAGGTTGGTCGCAGATCCTGCTTCTGGCACCAAAGCTAGCGAATTAAAAGGTACCTGAAGATATGTGTTCTCGGCAGCAAGGACAATGTCGGCGATTCCTTGGAACCAAGCTGCACCTCCTCCAACCCCAGGGCCGTTCAGGGCCAAGACAAATACTTTTTTGTGGTCGATGAGTGCTTTGAGCAACTCGATTACTAGTAAACTTGGTCAATAAAGAATCTGAATTTCGTTCTGGAAGTATCTTTCTTACCCAACGAAAAACGTTCGAGATGGGCGACTTTCAGTTGAACTTTCGTCAGGCGATCAGCTCCTTCATCAAGTGGCCGCGAACCTATTTTTTCATATATTTAGAAAAGTATTTGAAGAGGAAGACTTTGAAAATCGTCTGACCTCGCACATCAGCACCGGCTGAGAAGAAGCGACCTTCTCCCGTCAAGACAGTAAATACAGTATTTGGGTGTTCTTCGAGTTCTCGCACTGCATGTAATGTATCCACAAGAAGATTGCCTCCAAAGGAATTCAGAGACTTGGGACGATTAAGCTGAGATATGTAAGTATCTCAAGATATTCGCAAGAAAATGGGGCTTTGTACTTTGATGATCCCGATCTGACCCTTCACTTCAACCTTGATATCTGTGTAATGATACGGCACCATTGTTGTAGGCAGTATTGTCGACTATTGTCTTTTTTTATATATATATTTTTTTCGCAGTTTCAAAGAAGAATCGCTTTCTTGTGTCTTGATCAAGAGGGTACATCATCCCTTACAGGGGAATCCCAGCAGACATTAAGACCGCCAGGCGTCGGTACCCCGCACGGAACGCCTCGGATATGCCCCACAAGGCCGAGGCTGAGGCTGGCTTTATGTTCAAGTTCATCCTTCATGCTGCTCAAAGGGATTGGGTCTTTGGTGAGTGAAACGGTCATTTGCTCTGAGACCCACCGCGCATCGATGACGTGGGACGAATTGGTTTCAGTTAACCCTGCAACTAGAAATCTCATCCTTTCAAAGACCAGCTTACGGAACTCCCATGCTTTGACTACACACGACGTGTTCGTCTGTGACTAGTCATAACACTCGGAACAAATTGTACATCGCCTGCTTTATCTCGTATTTGCACTGACCACTATCACCACCGATCGCTTTATAGAGTCTAAGACTTTCCAGGAATTCGCACGTCTCTCACTCGTCTCACGACCTTAGAAAAGAATGATCTGACAGGCTCTTGCAGCCACAGCGGAAAGGCTCTCAGAGATCCGGCGACCCTTAGGTGCCGAGGAAGCACAATTTGGCCGCTCTTTCGTTCGAAAATATGCTCCAAAACTGCCTGCGAAACAACCTTCGGGCTCATCAGCTCCTGACCAAACTCTGCTTGATATTCTGTAAAACCCTTGATCATAGGTGTCTTGACCCAGAGAGGATGAACGATACTAGTAATTATGAGCTGACGATATTCCATCTTCCGATCGTTGGAAACTAACCTAGTTCGCACATTCGGCGCATCGTACCAAAACTTCAATTCCTGCCGAAGGCCCTCATGAAAAGCGAGAGCGCTGGCTTTGGAACAGCAGTAATCAACCATCTCGCCGACAGCAACAAAACTCGCAATACTCGCCATGGTAATAACATGACCTTTGTTCCTGCAAATCAAACCAGGCAGGAATTCCTTCATGATCAGAAAATGCGAGATCGTATTGACATCGAACGTCCGACGCAGCTCACTTTCTGATTTTTCAAGGATGCTACCGTGGTGAAAGACGCCGGCATTATTGACGATAATCGTGGGGTCTCCTTGCGTCTTTCGAATGGACGCAGCCACTTCGGAGAGAGAAGCAGCGGACGTGATGTCTGTTTCGTAGAAAATTACGTTTTTCGGAAGCTTTGCTGTTGGTCGCTGTATATCGAGAATCACGACACGAACGCCCCTTTCGGAAAGGTCTTGCATGATTTGTTTTCCGATTCCTCCGTTGCCTCCTGTCAGAAGGACCAGCTCATTCTCCGAGACCCATGGGTCGCTGGATTGGTAGTTGTTCAAAACCCTTTCTGAGATTCTGGAGTGGATGTAGTAGACAACGAGCAAGCTAGAAAGAGCTGCAAATATTTTGAAAGCGGCTGAAGCATGCATGATGCTAGACAACGATGCAAGCCACCCGAATGATGCGTCAAGACCCTGACCTGCCATGCTTTAGGATAATGATTTCAAGGAATAGGCTACTTGGACAAGCGAATCTCCAGGAAATTTGGGGAAACGAGAAAAGCAGCTTCCAAGCCTTATTTATGGACAAACCCATTGACTAAATTCGGGTCTACTGTGATCAACCAGCGGAAGATATAACCGACTGGTGGGCATTACTTAGAATACATAGAGGTGGGTAGTAGAAGAAGGAAAAGCGCATGGCAATCATATACTCGTATCACCCACAGCTGAGGGGCTAGCTGAAGCGAGCGAACCCCGCCTGAGCGACCTATAAATATTGAGTCACTTTCGCTCTTATTTGTCACTGAAGAGGGCATCATTTTCAGGTCAAGTACCTAGATCAAACTAAATTGTAGATCTGTGACCAAAGCGCCGAATAATGATCCCGGGAAGCTTGTGATTGATGTAGGGGAGGCATTCGAGGACACCATCATGCAGTGCTTTTTGTACTCAGCCCCGCATTCAGCCAATCGCTTCGAATTCACCACTCAGCGATATTACAAACATACGGACAACTCAAAGGTAGAGCGCTTAGCCGAGGAAGATCCAAGAGGCATTTTTAACGACAGATTTGCGCCATGATCGAGTACCTAGGCACTAGAATTTGTTTTCAACGAATTATAGCTCGAATATATGCAATATAGGAATCTAGACTACAAGGCTCTGGTGAAGCCCTTCGCCCCCAAATGGAAGCAGACTCCTCCAATTAGAAGACTTTGCACCACACCTTAGCATTGTGTGACGTAGCTCTCATTGTTGATTGGCCTCTCCACCCCCTCTGATTTGGGGGCTTGCATGATCTGATATCCGTGAACCTTCTCCAAACGGTGATATCCGCAAGTCCATGCGTCTGCAATCATCGACTCTCGGATCAAAAGTAATTTGACTATAAATGTACTGTTTTGATATCTGTGGAGGTCTCATGAAGCTGAATCGAATCTGGGGTTTCTCTTTACGAACAACTTTAGCACACAACAGTCCCGGCGTACTTGTTTAGTTGCCATTTTTGGACAAGCTCCAGTACCATCTTTAAGATCAGCATATACTAGATAGCAACCTCCTGTGAGAAGCTGAATAATCCTGCTCAATGGTGGGACCTATACTGGAGCAACAGTATCAACCTGGGGACATTCACGTCATAATCTCAAGCTGAGAATTTAGGAAAAACTTTGATTAGAAGGGCAAGGAGTGTGGATTTGTGGTTTCCCAATACAAACACACGCTAGAAGTTCCTGTTTTGATATCTGGTTGCTTATTTGGTCAACTGAGTTCTCATGAGGAAGGTCAGGTCTCATTAGGGGAAATGGGGCCATGGGGGCCAACCCACATAGTGCAATATAGAAGAACAGCGGACTCGGTCTCCATCGCGAGCACCAGTAAAAGTAAAAGCTAACACCAACCCATCAAGATATACCCAGCAATCAATGCGAGGAACCTTAAAAAACCCAAGTGGCCAATGTTTCATTTTCACCCGTCTTGGAGAATCGAATATCAGACTCGCTATATATAGCTCGCTGGAGAAATCTAGTAACTACGTAGCTTTCAGTGAGCCTTCCCTCATCCTTCCTTTTAGTAACCTGATAGTATTAGGGCTCAATCTGAAATTTGCCATATTCAAAAGTGGCTTTTGCAGGTTTCATCATACTCGGAGAACAACAAGAGCCAATCAAAATTTTTATTCTCGTTATCAGTAATTTTTGCTAGATTAGGATTGGTTTAAATTTGTAGCAGTTCAGTTGCGAAGAGATCAAGATCAATAATGTAATAGCCTTGAACGCGAATACTAAACATGGAGCGATACGAAGAGGAATATGCATGAACTACATAGATACCAAGATATTACCTTCGAATGTCTAGGTGCTAAGGCATGCTAGCGAACAGCTTGCAATTCGTTACAGAATCAAACCGAAATTGCCGTCAGTGATGGTAAAATTAAACAAGGCTATAGGGACGAGTGCTCGCTCAGTACTGTAAGCCTGGATCCAATTCCAAGAGAATCGCTCTAGCTAAGTGCTGTTCGATTCGAGCAATCTGATTAATCCACGTAGGCGTATTGTATAGCCAGTCTAGACCTTTGTGCCCGTGCTATATCGTACATTAAAAACGGTATCATAGAGTCACAGTGTAAATGACTATGTCGGTCTCCGTAGATGATACATCAAATCAACCTAACTCGCCCAGCCTCGAACACCCGACAAACCAGCCAAGTTTAAAAGGGGGTGGGAAGATCCCGGATTCTGCATCCCCGCCCGATCTATCGACCAGCCTAAATTTAAACATGGTCTAGATGCGAAAAGGGGCTTCTTTCATCCGGATACCCCGGAACATCTCAAAATTAAGAATTGTCTACGGGATATCGTACGATCGACTAGAGGATGGAGGACTACCTCGGCGATATCCGACGTCAGGTGCACTGAAACATGAGGCTAGACTAGAAGGCCGGAGGAAGTCCCAGGGCGGGCTGGACTACGAGGGCTGTTAAAATTAGAGCGCGCTAAGGCACTAGTTAAGTGATCCTCCCGGCTGACCTGCCGGCTGGGGCCAAATAGCGTTGACGTGGTGCCTGGACTACGTGGAGGAAGAAAGTGTTTGCGACTGGTACGCTGTATGACGAGTCTGCCGCATCTCGAGCACTCTGAAGCGTGGGTCTGTCCACATAATTCTAGAGATCAGGGGAGATCGGGGGAGAATCTCATCGAAGTGTGGCAACCCCCACAGTCGCCGGTTCCCCTCACGATGAAAAGTTATCGGGAGGCCAAGAAGAGGCAAATTTGAATGATGGCAGTGCTTTGAGTTGGAGTTATTGGAGTCAAACCCAATATCCAACCGCCAGCCACGTTACTGAAGCCGACCATGGAAAATTTTCCCAGTGGAAAACGTCTTGAGGCAATGTTCCTGAGCCACTACCATCACCGACCAGTGAAAGACGGCCTATAAGAGAAGCAAAAGTTCTCGCCCGCCCCAATGGGCATCGTAACCAATCCTCCGACTAGTCATCGGGTAGCGACCGGGAGATGGAAAGGAAATCAAACGTGTTCGCCATCCCATCCATCTGTACCACCGGGTTACGAACGGAGTACAGTACACAACGGAGCCACACCGACAAAAAGACTTCATCTTGGCCTGACGTCGATGGAAGGCCAGGCCTTCCCCACCATTCGCCAAGGTGGATGCCGAGTCGTGTGCGCCGGCGAGGCTTCGCCTGGCTAGCGCCGTGCCCTAGGGCATGGGGCTGATCATCGGCCCAAAGTGGTGTCTCAAAAGTGATTCATTTGGCGCGCAGAAGTACAGAAGTACAAAATAATGGGTCTCAGTGATCCGTTGTGTGGTGGCCGGGACTCTAGCCCTGAGGAGTCAAATGTGAAACAATGGCGTCGATCGGAGGAGGAGGCCGGAGCGACTGTGACTGGCGGGTGTCGTCATGTGGTGGCGCCTCCTGCAGTAGTCAGTTTATTCTGCAGTTGATTAGTCCAATTATTGCTGATTCATTGACAAGGCTGTGCCTGTGCCTGTGCCTGTGCCTGTGCTTAACCTATGTCTTTGTTACTGAAGTAATATCATGGGGGGGTTGGAAACAAGTCCCTTTGGATGTGACTGAAAAACATGTGGGAAATTGCGACCAGAGAATCAATATTTTGGTCTAGATCTGATTCAATGTCAATGGATAACCCCTCAATGCGATCCAAAGAAACCAGAGTTAGGGTTAGCCATCCTCGGCCTATCACAGCAAATGCCCTGAATGGAACCGCTGGAACCACCTCAAAGCGCCACCGGATCACCAATCACGTACGCTAGACACGCAAGCAATTCCGTGGTACTTGGATCCACCTCACATTATAATTCGAATATTATTACTGTATTCAAATAATATTATTCATATTCACATGGTCTGTGCCCACTGTCTGAAGTGGCCAGCATGAAGAGGGGAATTGACTCCCTGCCTAACCGCCCTCCCTAGATGCTGCTAGTCAGGCACATTGCATCAATTGGATATAGCTGTACTCCGTACCAGGTGAATTGAAACTTGAAGAGGATTTATAGAATGAACTCATAGTGTCCAAAATATAACCTTGAAATTCGTAAAACTTTCTCTGCTGGTTCCTGTCCCCGCCAACGGTCTAGACATTCCAAAGTGGAGGGATTTAGATCTCTCGTGGAGTAGGCACTAATGATCCACCTTCAGTAAAAAATGTATCAAGTGAAGCGCCCCGCTGGTGCTTGAACCAATAGATGTACAGTGTAAGCCTGTCAGGTCTCGTCTTGCCTCCCCCTGGTTTCTCCCCGACTTGCGTACCACGGTAATTTCCAAAATTTGACGCTGCTGGTTGGGCCAAGCGGGTCATTGAAGAAAGAAAAATAAATCATTTACTAGTACCGAATCCCCTCATTCACCGATAATTCCCATGTGGCGCCGGAATGATCCAATAATGATTCCTCCCCTGATCCACCACCAGCGACAATGAGGATGAGGAACGGTCTGGTTCCAGTCGGGTGGTTTGGCTGGTAGGTTTGACGCACAACGAGCAGGGGTATCGGCGGTGCATTTAATAGCGCTTCTTCCCCCGATGCATGTACACTTTCTCTCCTTCCTTCCTTCAGTTTACTCAATCATTCATTCCTTCGGTCTTCGGTCCTTTTTTGCTTTCCTAGCTCCTGTGCCGTGCACGGTCTAGTCCTTCCTTTATCAACTTCACTCATTTCGAGAACAGGCTTCTCTAGATCTTCTGATCATTCCAATCCTTCGATCCTCATTCATTTTCGGATCAATCCAACTACTACAACAAATCAGTCAAAATGGTTTCCTTCACTAAGCTGTTCACTGCCGGCCTGATGGCCACCTCCGCCCTGGCTGCCCCCGTCAAGAAGCGCAGCACCAGCAAGCGTGGTGCCGCTTACAACGACGTCTCGACCGTCTCCGCCATGACCAGCAGCGGAAACGTTGCCTGGGCCTACAACTGGGCCATGTCCCTGTCCGGCGACTTGCCCACCGGTATCGACTTCGTCCCCATGCTTTGGGGAGCCAAGGACTTCGGCGGCTGGGTCACTGCCATCGAGACCGCGCTTTCTAGTGGCAGCGAGTACATCCTAGGCTTCAACGAGCCTGACATCGCCTCTCAGGCCGACATGTCTGCCTCCGATGCAGCCAGCTACTACATGAACTACATCACTCCTTACTCCGGCAAGGCCAAGCTCATCTCGCCCGCCGTTTCATCCTCCACCAACGAGGGCCAGGGTCTGAGCTGGTTCAACTCGTTCATGAGCCAGTGCTCTTCTTGCCAGATCACTGGTCTCGCTGTCCACTGGTATGGCACCACCATCGACGAGTTCAAGACTTTCGTCCAGCAGGCTATCACCGCCGCTAGCGACAACTCTCTGTCCGAGGTCTGGATCACTGAGTTCGCTCTCTCCGCCGATGCAGGTGGTATTGCCGACCAGGCTACCACCAACGCCTTCATCACCGAGGCTATTGCCTACCTCGATAGCGAGTCTGCCGTCACCCGCTACTCTTACTTCATGTCTGCCGATAACTACCTCCTCACCAACGGTGCTCTCAACACCGTCGGCGAGACCTACTGCAACTAAAGATCCCTTTTACCAGGCATGGTATGAGGCGAAGTGTGAGGTGTGAGGTGTGAGGTGAAGCAACAAAAGTCTCGGCATCGGCCGAGTCGGGGCGTTACGGACATATTCTGCAACAAAGATGGGTTTTCTTTCGGCGTCACGGAATGAAACCGGGCATGTGCGCATCCCGGCACTCTTCCAGCGTTTTGGCGCATTTACGGGTCTCATCTGGGTTTCATTTCTTTCTTTGTCCATATTAGATATCTAGGTTGAGTCAATACGAGAATCTTTTCTCTAAGTTCTATGTTCTTTTCGAGTAAAACACACGTAGATGTTGTAGTCGCATTGGCTAAAATGATGCGAAACCAAACCATTTAGGCACCGTGGCTCAATATCAATAGCGTACATTTATTTTCATCTACCACTTTCTATAGTGTCTCTTACTCGGTTATACTTCAAAAACCGTTATCAAAGCCTCACGCCTCATGGAATCCCGTAGAATCTTGGCAGTACCGGCGATCCGACCTCCAAGACTAGTATTCTACCTAAGAAAGGCTATATCGGTTGATTAGTGGCCTAGAAAGCGGTATATCAGTCACAATCATGGCCGGGGCATTCCGATTTTACTTTCCAGGGTCCAGCGGCAGGAATTTGATCATACAGCTAATTTCGGCACTGCTGTATTCACATAAGTCGCTGCGAACATGTCTTTCCGTGATCTTCCCAACGAAGTCATATTCATGATAGCAACACACATCGATAGCGAAAAGAACATTTCGTCACTTACCAGAACATGTAGATCATTCCACAATGTGCTCAATAACTATCTTTACGAACGAAATGTCGACCGCGGAGCCCCGGCAATATCCTGGTGCGCTGAGCACGGCCTCGAGAAAAGTATTGGGCGATTATTGAAAATTCAAGCCCGCAAGAAATCAAAAAGCTCTCTCCAACAGGTCAATTCATTCAATTTTATTGATTCGCCTCTCCGGTCCGCTATCTGTCAAAACCACGCTCCAATAGTCAAGCTCCTGCTTCAGTATGGAGCGGGTGAAATAAGCGGCTTCCCGATCTCAACTCCCCTCCATACCGCCGTTGAATATAGCAGTGAGCAGGCTGTGCGAGAGATCTTGAACCATGGGTGTGATATAGATTTAATTGTTCCAAGGGGAGCAGAAACCGCCCTCGTCGTCGCCGTGAGAACGCAAAAGCAAGAGATTGTGAAACTGCTGATTGAGCACGGGGCGTGTCTGAATACAAAGCCACACGTTCCAGCCGAGGCGGCAGAATGGGAAAGACTTATCTGGACAACCCCTTTCCATACCGCCGTTGATGGGCAATATGGAAATCGTGAGATGGCAGAGTTGCTCCTTTCACTGGGAGCTGATGTCAATGTTCGATGTGGGGACGGCGGCACGCCTTTGCATTGGACAACACGCGATATGAATTTGGATGACTCTCGGTGGCTTTTGGAGAAGGGGGCGGACCCCAATCTCGTTGATGATCGGGGGGAATTCTCCACTTCATGTTGCGATTAATCATAGCCGTCATGGCGCGAAATTTGTAAGGCTTTTTCTTGAACATGGGACCGATCCGAATTTGAGGTGCAGGACGACATCTATGAACGAAGAAGCACCGAAGCATCCATTGGAATTAGTGGAGGGATTGAATAGTCCAGAAGTTGAGCAGTTACTTCGGGATTATGGCGCTGAGCTTCCAGAGTCTGCATAAGTAGTGAAAAGCTCCAAGATAGTATGTTCCTTCAAGTTCTGATCGAACATGAAAGTTACGAAAGCTTAGCCCACTAGGTAGTTTAATTCTACAGAGCAAATTTTCTTTTTCAATAAATTCAAATTCTCTGATTCTTCAATGTGGCAGTTGCCGAGTAACGATGGAGGGGACACTACAGTACTACTAGTAGCGGATCGAACTTCAATGACCTTGAAAATTCCAGTTACCTAAGTCACCACCGTTGGAGGAATCTTGGGTTGAAATAGTCGACACCGCGCGTTGAGTCTCTCCGACACAAGAGCTATTGACTCAATAAATCTCGAGCTAATTGGGAAAGACATTCGGATAGCGAAAGACCAGAGAGAAGGTGCGGGCGAAGACATAGAAAAGAGAACATAATAAAACAGAACTAGCAAATAAGAGCAAGTAAGGGTATGAGGTAGTGACGATAAAATGTAAATAGTGAACAGAAGAATGTGCCATGCAAGCGCTTGCCAAGGTGCACACCGACCAGAGTAAGAATACAAACTTGACGATGACCTATAATGCAAAACCTCCGAAGGGAAATAAAAAGTGGAAAAAGGAATGGTAAAAGTACGCCCGAGTCCCTATGCAAAAAAAAAGCAAATTACAGAGTGGTAAGAAAGGGTAAAAAGAATAATAATCGCAACCTTTTCCCGCCCGCTGACAAGTTCATAATACAGTCATCCCGACCATATTTCAAAAAATACAGTCCTCACAGCCATATTGCCGTTGTGATATGGTATGTTTAATGTATTCAAGAAGTGATAGTGTATTTATTTCAAAAAGGGTTGACCTGACCTAATTTAGATCAAGATATACCTAATAGTTATATCTTTGATCTTCTGATTAACTTCTGCAGGTTTGAACCTACTAATCTTTTAAAACATCCATGGATCTGAGCATGAATTTACGAAATTCGATATATCTGGGCTTTTTCTTCTATAGCCCTGGAATTCTGTAACCTCAGACTTCGAAAGTCTCGCTCCGGCTCAGGCTATCCCCAATCTAGAGATCTACTTCCGTAACCTTGGAAATTTACCCTCTCCCCAAGTCGTGGTCGATACCTAGGTATTTCTATGTTAACACAGTCTAGTGTGATGCCTGTAATACCTGTCCAAAAGTATATACCTAGGCATGAGATAAATATACTGTTATTTTAACCTCTAATATCCCATCAACTTGAAGTGAGCCTATCACTAATACCTCATCGAACTAAACCATAACTATTTTAAATATCCCAGACAAGTCGTTCATTGAACGCAAGTTATGGGCGGATGTTCTTCGCCTATCGGCTGAACAATATGTCGCTATCGAAAGCACTATGGACTCACTATCCGAATACTTTGATGTCAAGCAAAGTCCAAGATCCTCGCATGAGACATCCGGTCCTTCTTGTAAGGATCTGGTACCTAGGTATTAAGTGATACAAACCCTCCAGAGCTCATTCCTATCATATATCTCATCGCTTGCTCTTTCTCTTTTTTTGTCTAGGCTTATTTTACTTTATACATGACATAGAGCCAATTTTACTGCCGTGAATTTTACTGCCGCAATACTACATGTTATTAGAACTGTCAAAATGCATGATCTCGGGGCGGCCGCTATTATCGCTCATAAAATATGGATCGTTTCGGAAGACTCTTCCGTTTCCGTCACACCACTAGTACCTATCAGTTGAATGAAATGACTGAGTGTGCAAACCCGCGAATCACTTCCATATCGTCCAAATCTTTATCATAATATAGCAAAAGAGACATCGGTTTTGCTTTGCACCAAGAAAACTAAAAATTGAAATGAAGTATAGAAATGTAGTCCGTCGGATTGTTAGTATTGAGGGTAGACCAGTATCATGACGTAATGGATATTTTGGCGGCACCGCCGAATCACAATCAGCCATTCGGTGAATTTCGCAAGCGGTGAAGGCTCACAGAAGATGTGAAGTTGTGACCACTCGAACGGGTGAGCCTTCCGATACACATTCTTGTGTTTCGGGCGATATTCTAACCAGCAGATCATCCTTGCCTGAATTCAGAGTGCGACAACACAATAATATTGTGAGATAATGAATACACCCCGGAGAAAACAGCGACTCTCAAGAGTGACGAAAGCGTAAGGCGATCCCTATTGAATAAGTTTTACCGAACTGAAGTCTTTCCTAGTTGCGAAGAATGCAAAAGAAGAAAAATCAAATGCACAGGGAAAGATCCATGCGAGTCTTGTATAGCTAGACGCATACCATGCGCATTCAAGCGAATCTCGAAGAAGGTGTTGGTTTCCGAGAGGTATGCCATGTAGGGTCACGACTTTTGTTGCAGAATCTCTGACCCTGTCCGATGATCAGCTATCTGCTTTCATTGCAGTGCCAGACCAATATTCCATCGAATGAAAATGTGGGAAATGAACCCAACCAGACGTCCCTGTCACCAGTATCTTCTCAGTCAGCTGCAGCTCTTGGTACGATACAAGGGCTTCCAACACTTAGTGTGTTGCTCTGATTGCTGATTAGTTATCCAATAGAACAACCAGAAACCCCAGGAACTAAATTCAGATCTGAGCACATAACAAACCCGCTAGTGTCCCCGACGTCATTTTATCTTCAGGATAGTACCGGACGATACCGTAAGCCCAGCCTCTTGACAACCGAAGATGAAGCTAATTTTCATAGGCTTTTGTGGGCCATCTTCCACGTGGGGGTTTTCACAACGAGTTTTCCTGTTGCTAAAATCAGCTATTCCCGACTACCCATCCCCAACCCTGCCATTTCACATTGACGGGAGTACGTGGAAGCTGAATTGGACTCGAACTGGTCAGCCAAGTACCACCATCCTAGATGGCCTACCATCTCTCGATGACTTTAAGTACCTTCTTAACGGAATAAAGTTCCATTCCCACCAAATGCTTGTTATGCTCGACGATGAGGAGTTTTTCCCCATCTTACCGAATTTTATCAAAAAGGACTTGAGAAAGTGAAAGAATCTCCCCTTTGGTTCATCCAATACTTGCTCCTTATATCTCTATCAAAAGCGTGTGCGGGAACATCCAGTCATTCCGAGTCTCCTCCGGGGCAAATATTCTTCGAGCGGGCCATGTCGATGATGCCCGATTTTGTGGGACTACATCGTCAGCCTAATCTAGCCATGCAGGTTCTCTATCTTGTCGCGCTCTTTCTGTTGACAGTCGATATGAAAGATGCTGCGTATGCATATGTGCGTTTTCATTTTTCGCTCAAACGTATTCTTTTCCCTTATAATGCATTGTGTCTGCTAATATTTATGCCCAGATAAGCCAATCACTCCGTATGTGCGTCATCGAAGGCCTGCACAATGAGCCCCCAAGTGAAATATTTGGACGCCAATTTGCCGCCCAGTGTCGGGATATCTGGTGGTCAGCCTACATCCTTGATCGCCAACTATCAGCAGTCATCGGGGCTCCGATATCAATACAAGACAGCCAAATATCGTGCACACTTCCAAACTCATATAAGACTTCGGAGGATGCGGAGTTCATGACCATGCATATCAAGTTAGCCAAAATTGTTGGTCAGATCTTGGGATGTAGGTTTTAATCAAATTTTCAATGGCCCTGCCCAGACTACCTTTATGGATCCGGACTTTGCTCATGTCTTTTCAGCTGTCTACAGTGGTGAGAATAAACCTCGCCGACCGTTCACCGGAACGATTCAAATGGTTCTCAGAGAGATAGCCCAGATACTACAGGAGATCGAAAGCTTAACCTCCTGTGCACAGAACGAAGCATTCAGCGCAATTTCAACTAGAAATTGTCATCTTTATTTGACTTACCACCAGGTAAATTTTCAAATCTATAGGAAAACCCAAGAATGTCAGCGGACTGGATTTAACAATTTACAGTGTATTATTCTCGCAACTCGGCCGCTTTTTCTGCATTTCCTTCATCATAGAATGGAAAAAGGCTCTCATTACGACCAACAGGGCAATGATTTGAACTCTTCGCACCTCCGACCACTTCTTGAGGCATCTTTACAATCGGCTAAGTTTTCCGTGCGGACATTTCTCATGCTTCACGAACAAGCATCTTCAGGTAAATCACCCGCACCAAAGGTCGATTACATAGGGACAGCTTGGACTAACAGCGAGGATTCGACAAAGTAGTGCCTTTGTTTCCGTTCGGCCTTGAGAACCTCTTCTCGTCGGCTTTCGTTATTGTCATAGCATACTTCATTGACCCGTCACTGGTGATGGACATGCAGCAATATGTCAATAATGTCACTCACATCTTGGTTGATTTGGCTGGAAAAAATAATGCGACTGCAAAAATCAGACAGAAGGAACTCCACATTCTACAGGAAATGCTCAAAGAGATTACAGCAAGAGAAGGGAGGCAGATAGAGTCGAACAATTTGCTCACAGCAGAGATGAGCAGCAGTTTGTCCAATTTTACACCCTACAATTCCGTCGATGAATGGGTCGGAACTATGGAAGACATCAGTCTTAGCCATACACAGATACTGAGTCTCGCACAGCAGTTGGATGGTTTGGACGGGACCGATCTGGATATGAATCTTGGATCTGGCGGCAATGATTTCTGGATTTGAAAATTTAGGAATATGGAGCGTGGGCAATTGCCCAATCGCTCTCACTGGGCACAGGTCTGCAAAACAAAACCACTCTCACCTATCAAGTCTTCCTCCTCGACGGTGAATGATAGGGTTCCAGTGTAATAAGCATTCCCTTGAACATATATCACCACACCATGTCGCGTTTCGCTGTTTTGACCTTCTATGGGGATACCCTCTTCCACAATCGTTGCGGTGAAAGCTCCAGTATTAAAATGATTCGACACAAGCGAGTTATACGCCCAGGCCTGGCCCTTGGCTCTCAACTTCTTTTCATGAGCCAATGCCATTCGCGCTGCCACACATGATCCTGTAGGAGATCGATCAATCTGATCACCGGCGAAGTAACATAGACCTGTCTCTGCCCCTGCAACGCTGTCAGGCTTGAACCCAATTTCGTGATCGACTACCATAACAGAATATAAGAAGGATAGTCTCTGATCCTCCGGATGCTGCAAAGCTTTGCGGACTTGTGGATCGGTTTCCAGGTGGCGCTTCAACTTTTTCACAGCGAACGTGACAGCGTCGAGGTTGAAGTTACGCAAGCCAGTCGAAAATCCGAGTTTTTGTATATCGACCAACGCGTAAAATGCGCCACCGTATGAGATATCGACCTCAATGGAAGTTTTGTCACCAAGCTCCGGCCACCTCACCTCGGCAGGGATAGGCACCTGCAAGCTTGTAGCAGCGCAGTACGCTGGGGTCGAGAGGAATGTGACAGGGCGAGAGGGATCGGACTTTTGACCGTCCTCGGATGTAGGAACTGTAACGCGCACAAGACCGCAGGGCGCATGGATGTTGACCTTGACCTCGCGAGCAGCAAGATCGGGCTTCAAATCCTTTCGTCGTGGGAAGACGGTGAGATCATGGGTGTCGACTAGGAACCGGCCAAGGGCGATCGTGGCATGTCCACACATGGTAGAAAAACCACTGTTGTGTGTGAACAGAGTTCCAATGTGCGCCTCGCCAGATTGAACTAGTTCGGTTTCCGGAATGATGATCGCACCGTACATGTCGTAGTGTCCACGGGGCTCCAACATAAGTCGCTTTCGAATTTTGTCGTATTGGCTCTTGGCCTGGTCACGCTGTTCGAGAAGAGTTCCCGTCAAATGAGGGAAGCCGGAATAGATGATGCGAGTCGGCTCTCCGGTGGTATGCATGTCAATGCACTTGATTGCGCCGTTCTGCTCGAGTTGTTGAACCACATCCATGGTGGCGGGGTAAAACGGTGATGATAGTCTAAAAAAAGATTGAAGTGGGGGATGAATGACATGAAAAGTGAGTCAGGGTAGTTATTTATGAATAAGAACTGTTGTGCATTGAACTGGGTCATGAATCCCTTCCCCACGTTGAAAGTGGGCCTTGTCGGAACGGATGATGCATCCGCGGATGAGCCATCCGACGCCTGCGATATCGCTGGGTGGCCACTCGGAGTATGAAAACACCACCTCGACACACAAATTGTTCGAGAGGGTTTGGAATTCGTTTTGTAACAGGTCACGATCCTAATTATTGACAATCAGAATTTTAATTTGAACGTCCCAAAGAAGTTGATTCTCTCAGACTCTGATGTTTCGAACATCCTCCTCAACCTCTCCCCCGAACAATGCAGGCAACTCATATCCTCTTTAGAAGAGGCATTGAAGAATTACGCGTCTGATCAGGTTTCATCTGAACAGAATATATTACGCCAGCCACACCGCAGCAGTATCGTCAACAAATTAAATGATACCACGCTGGTGATGCCTTCGTCGGATACTACGAACACAGCCGTCAAGGTCGTCACATTACCCCAGAATGGCCCCGCGACAGGAGCGATTACAGTCATGGAAAGAAGCGGTAGGCTTTTCAGAATGCTTAGTGCCGCTCAAGTCACCGCATTCCGCACGGCATTGGCCGTCATGAGCCTCTACGCACAGGTGGACCATATCTCCAAGAAGAACATCGTGTGTTTCGGTTCTGGGAAGCAAGTCCAATGGCACATTCGTCTGGCCCTCTTACTTTCGCCTCTCGAGATAGAAAATATCACAATTATCAACCGCGGCAGATCACGTTTAGACCAGCTGGCCGAAGACACAATTCCTCTTCTTCGCGCAAAATACCCACATGTGAACTTTCAACTCATCGCCAAGTAGGACACCCCGAGCTATGAATCTGTGCAGCTAGAATCCGCAGACGTGATATTTTGCTGCACTCAGTCTACCGTCCCGTCATTTCCGTTCAAATACCTATCCTCATCTCCCAAGATCCGCTTTATCTCGGCGATCGGATCTTACAAGTCACACGTGCATGAAATCCACGAGTCAACCCTGTTCTCAGGCGGGGGAAAGATCTTTGTTGACTCTTAGGAGGCATGCTTACAGGAATCGGGGGAACTTATTTCGGCCAATGTACCGGAGGATAAGTTGACCGAAATAGGCGAGGTTCTTTCGTTGGATGACAAGGCATCGGTATATCCTACCGGCAATCTCAATTTTAAATGTGTTGGCATGGGCATCATGGATCTAGCTATTAGTAGGAAATTGCTGGAGCTTGCACAAAAATCCGGAATCGGTAGCCAGGTGGGTGGTTTCTGAAGCGGAGTCCAAAGTGAAGTCCAGGGCTGCAGCTGTTCCATCCCTGCCAATATTTAGTTACAAGTATATAGTATCAAGAGGTGCTGCGACCCAAATCCGTTGAATACCTGCAACGCCACCTGCCATTGGGCATGTGGCATTTCATCACAAGACCAAGTTGAACCTTCAGAACTTGAAAAGTTGATGTTACTTGAATTGTGTAAAATCGCGCAAAAATACAACGACATTCTTAAGACCGCGGAAAGAGTGTAGGAAATTAGATTGATGATGGCCCGGCGGTTTACAGATAAGGCTTAGCTGGAGATAGGGTGGCATTGTCATCCGAAGGGCGTCCTATTGGTCCACACGCCCTGCCATTACATGTCTCAGACCTTCTGACAACCCACAGGCGTGAACACAACATTTGCTCAGAAAGATAATTTAAATATCAACTGGTTTCCTCAGATTGGTCTGAGGCATAGATACCCAGAAATTTGATTGGTTTCTGAGGTCGCACCGCTTTCAATCGTCGAAGGAAGAAACTCCACCCGCCCCTGCAGATTCACCGGCAAAATGACCGACATCCCCGAGAGCCTCAATTTTCGCACTGCCAGCGCAGATGATGCATCCGCCGTCCAGCAGCTCATCCAGGCCGCCTTCCGTGCCGAGGATAGCAGGCAAGGATGGGTTGCCGATATGGCGATCAATTCGCGCTTTACGGTCGACATCGCTCATATCGCCAAGACAATCACCGAGCCCGACGGCGACTTCTTGATAGCTTCCAACAAGGCCGGGGATATAATGGCGACCATTGGCGTCTCTATACGTGAGCCTGATCACGCTCGTATCTTCATGCTGGCTGTAGACCAGCGGTGGCAACAAGCAGGGTTGGGCCGACAAGTTCTTGCCTACGCCGAAGAATACTGCCAGCGGACTTGGGGCGTCACAAGACTAGGTCTAGATGCTTTGTCTACGCGTCAGGAGCTCATTTTGTGGTACCTTCGACGTGGCTATTCGAAGACTGGAGAGACAAAGCCATTTCCCCGCGAAGCATACAGTGACCTCGATCTGCCAGAGGACCTTGTCTTTGTTCAATTTGAGAAATCGATGAGCCCATTGGGTGCGTGAAAGGACAAGATTTCCATTTTGGTGGTTCTGTTGGGCAGATATATGGACAGAATATCGGGGTTGGTCCGATCACGCGGTGCGTACAATATGGAATTTGAGTTCAGTGGGTTTGAATTCCAAATCCGGGATGAATTTAGAGAACCATTGCACAGCGGCGGCTGTCGGTCGAGATGCCGGGAGTGTCGGGTTCGGGTTTTGTGCCACCAATGAAGAGATAACGGGTTATCCGATGATCAGAGATACCAACTGGCAAGATTCCCCAGAGTTGCAGTTTGCCCCAGCGTGGTGGAGATGTTTCATCGTCATAATCATTGCGGGGATTCTATTCAGGTTTTGTCTGTGGAGCTTTTTGAGTCTATAGATGAGCTAGAGGCCAAGTAGCAATAACCGAATAGCTTGGATTATCATATATGATCGGTATCTTGTACCGTAGTGCTGATTTGGTGGGTCCTGTGCCTGATCTGGGTAATCGAATGCGCAAGATAGGGTTGCCTTGCCCAATCGGAAGCTCGCCAGAGCGGGTTTGCGCGTGCCAACTCTAAATCGGGTTGCAGACCACATGAGCACTGTTTAGACCTCGATACTGCCGTTTGATCTATAAAGAAGCCATCGCATTCGCCACATAATAGCTCTACCAGAATATCAAACAGATACAGTTTTCAGATATCTCTAATTCGGATCTCGAGATCACTATGGCATCGATGCTTCACTACCTCGGCTTCGGCAAGGACGCACCTCCTACTAAGGAGCCTGTTGACGAAACACCTATTCGAGCTCTGCCTGCGTCATGGTATACATCTCCGGAAATGTACGAGCTCGAACGCCGCGCCATATTCTCCCGGAGATGGATTTTCATCACACACAGCTCTCGACTGAAGAACACTGGCGATTGGCTCCGCTATGAGATGGCGGGTTACGACTTTATTCTTACTCGAGATCGTCAGGATAACATCAACGCCTTCCACAATGTCTGCAGACACCGGGCCTATCCCGTCATCGAAAAGGAGGGACAAGGCAATTCGAAAATTCTGTCCTGCCGATACCACGGCTGGTCCTATGGACTCAATGGCAAGCTCGCAAAGGCCACGGGCTTTAAGGAAGATCTGAAAAAGGAGGAAAACGGGCTTTTCAAGATCCATGTCAAAGTTGACGTGAACGGGTTTATCTGGATCAACATGGATGCGAAAGAGACACCGGAAGTTTCATGGGAAGAGCATTTTGCGAATGTCGACAAGCAAGAACGCTATAAAGCATACAACTTCGATAACTACGATCTTGATCACAGTTATCAATTGGACGGCGAGTTCAATTGGAAGATCCTTGCCGACAACTTCAACGAATGCTACCACTGCCCAACAACACATGCCGATATTCCAGACATTCTGAACCTCGAATCATTCGACAGTGATCTCAAAGATGGCCATATCCAGCACCACTGTGAATCCACACCGGAGCAGAAGGCTGCCGGTCTATACACTGCTAGTACATACTACTTCCCCGCTACAGCAATGGTTATCTCGTGAGTGCTCCAAACAAAACCATAGCACCAAAGCATTATTCTAACAACTTCAGACCACACTTTATCATGATCCAGAAGTTCATGCCCAAGGGCCCGAAAGCCTCGGCTATGGCATACGAAGTTTATCGAAACCGGCATTCCTCCGAGGCTGATTTCAAGAAGATCAGCGAACTATATGAGCGCGTGATGAGGGAAGATAAGGTACTCTGCCACAATGCGCAGAAGAACCTCGACCGTGGTGTCTTTGTCAACGGCCAGCTGCACCCTAAATACGAGAAAGCACCTATCTTCTTCCAAAGTACATGTCGGGATGTGGTATCAGAGCATTTTGAACGCGAGAAGGCCGAGGGACACGAAATTTGGCCGGCTAAACAAAAGGTCCCTGGCAATGCGCCAGTCAGCGAGAAAGACGAGATGATTTGCGCTGGACTGGCATGTGGACCCCAGCAGGAAGTTCTGGCCTGGTGAGGGTTATGGTGATATGAGGGCCAATATTTTGGCTTCAATGAATTGCTGTTGATTTAGCGATATGTCGTACATTATAGCTTTTTAGAATGAGATTGAATATATGCTGTGATTATCAGATACTAGCAGGTTCTGTCAACTTATTTAAGAGTACGCGCAATTGAGATATCGCAGAGTAGTATGTTTCTACTAATATTTTAGTTGGTGATCAAAGACTTGACAACTCCGGTGTGGCTTTTTGTTTCCGTGAGTCAACTCCGAGTGGCCTAGATACAGCTCAATATTCTTGCATTGGAATTCCATTTGCCTCCAAAAATTCTCGGTGCCGCTAAGTTCCATTTACAAGCTTTGAGAGAGCATCCTGGTCATCAACTTCTGCACCTGGTTACCATTTTGGGTATTCATGTAGCCATTTGGATATATCAAAAAAAAATAGTGCCGAAGGATCCTAGACAGTTTACTGATTTCTGCCTGTACATTTTAATTATGCTTCAGGAAGAATTAGGCGCTCACAGTTCTCGTTTAATATGAAAATCATTATCTCGGATTCTTGATCGTTGAGGGGTGGGCACCAGGTGAATCCAAGTCACTGTGCTGACTTTCCATCCCTTCACCCCCTCCGAGCATGCAACGGAGTGAAGCTGTTCATAATGTTGCTGTCCATAATTAGAGTTGTCTCCTACGCAGTGGAGCCTTTAGCGCTGATTGTATCAAAATAGGCTAATCTCATACATCAATGCTGCCGCTGTTGAGTGCCTAAACTACTGGTGAAGAAACACCGCAGAAGGCTACGACGAAAACAGGATTCGGAATAAATTATTGTGCCTAATTAAACTATGGAACTCATTGTGTTGAAACTACTGCAAGTCAAGGCATACACTAGGCACCAGGTCGTATGTGGCCTCCATAGCAGTAGCCAGTCCAATGAGCCCGACTATCCCATTAGCTTCCTGTACCTATAGGCTTCCAAGGGTTGCATATAATAGAAAACCATGCCCAAAAGTAGAGTGCGGTCAGCATCCCGAAAGGAAATTTCCAATAAATTGGAAAGATGGCCTAACAATACCCAAGGTAGTATGGCAAAGCGAACCTGGCATTGGTAGCCTCAGAAGCTACCAATAAGTTCTCCGCTAGGTACCTGGCCAGGTAAACGAGAAGATTTGACAACTCAGTGAATATCTCAATAAGATGTGTATTGAGATAGTAACTATCCTAGGCCACCAAGGCTGTGCGTCAAATCAGTAACTAGTACACTGAGTGCGCCGTAGGTCATTCCATGCCCACCTTCCACAGAGCTTTTGGGAATTTCATCTCGTCACCATCCATCCATCCATCTCTCTGTGATTCGTTCGTCAAAATTCTTTCCATATCGAAATAACCATCCAGTCTCGAACAACATGGCTTCCCAGAAGAAGGCGACCCGTGACTACTACGAGACACCTAACCCAGATGTCCCGACTATCCCGGATAATGCAAACAAGAAAAAGTACTACAATCACCCCGAGCTAGTCTGGTACTGTCGTAAAGGCGGTAGGTCAAATCAATATCCTGGGTCTGAAATGAGGCCTTTACTGATCGATCTATCGCAGACACTGAATGGCGCGAAGGCAGTATTGATAATAGTACACAGAGTAAATTGTTGCAAAAGGTATCACCCTCTCTCCCCAGCAAAAGATACGCCATGCAGTGTCTCACTTTGAGAAGGTCAAAGACGGACAGACCGGTGATATCTACGACGTTCCAGTTGAACGTATTCGTGCTCGATGGGTCACGGCATGACCCCCTCTTTGCCTTCCCGTTCGCCTCCGCCTTTTGCTTTGCCTTCGATTATGATTTCCGATCCCACTGCGTCAAACATGTCGTCCCAGTCCTGCGCAAACGAGAGAATCCATTTCCACAACTGCGGCGAAGTGACAAACAAACTGTTTCGGAGACTCGGCGGTTTTTTTTCGGCGTATTGTCGGTTCCACTCGGAGACCAGCGTTAGTTTCCTGGCTATTGTTTTTCTGAAGATCTTGTTCCCGAGATAATCATTTTCCTTCTTTTCAACTTCCGAAATGGGACTATCCTCTTTTTGAAATTCCTTGTAAAGCTGAACGTAGTGAGGCAAACGACATTGCTGTTGGAAATATTGCCCCGCATCCTGATCAAAACCGTGCGCAAATTCCCAGACAGCGGCAAAGAGAGGGTAATCCCGAATTGAGTCCAGGGTGAGAAGCCGACTCAATTTCCAGGCAACTTGAACTTTGTCCGTCTCCCACAATTCGCGATATTTGCTGATTGTTCTCCGATCCATCGATTTAGGAATAACCTCATAAAAACCATCAATGAAGGGCATTTCGAACTCCGAGCTGAGTTCGTCGCGGTATTGCGGCAAGCCGGGCATAGTAAAAAGCATGAAATCGGGGACGGATGACGCAAACGCCCAGTCTATAAGACACGTAATATTGAAATCCTCATCGACGAATATGTTATCGGCGCTCAGATCGGGGTGACACAAGGGAAAGGTTCCGGGGTTGACAGCAGGGGGTTCGAGTTTCTGTAAGATGTCGCGGAGAGCGTCGGCTAGGACAACGTAATCCAGTCTGTTCTTCGACGAGTCGAACTTGTCTCCGACGCACACAAAATCATTCCACAATAGCGAGGCATTCTGGTATTGTATGTAGGATTGATACTCATCCCGGGTGGGAACAGGTGCCACGAAGCAGTGTGGTAACAACGGCATGGTCTCAGCGTGCTCCGAGAGCGCAGAAATGAGGTTATTGTAGAACTCTGTTTCAGAGCCGAAAGGTCCCCGTGGTATCTCCAACAAATATCGATCATCCAACATGTGACCACGCGAAAGACATTCCTTGGGTGCGAAAGATCCAGCCTCTTCGAACAGTGACCCGATTTTATCGAAGCGCAACTGCGAAAGTTTGAAGGTAATAGCACCCAGCTGGGAAAGTATCTTGTCCTTCTCGCCGGCCTCTAGGCCAGGTTGTGAATTACTGGCTGACTTCCAAACGTCTGACAATTGCTGCCCAGGTGCTTCACTCATAAGGATGAACGGAATCCCGATGTCGTTATCCGAAGAAACACTAATGTGCGTATGTTAGGATCAGAGAAGGGTGAGTCGGGATGGGATAGCCCTTACCAGTAGTCGTATACCTCTGGAACTGGAATGTCGCTATGAGCTTTGAGGTATCGTAGCGTGGCAGCTTCGCTTGCAAGTAGCTTTTCCTCCTGTTCCAATGGCAAGGTCGTTGAGGTTGGGGATCTGAATACCCATCTCACCCCGTCCTCAAATGAAATAAAGATGGCGAAGTTGAACGATCCCGAGGCAGGACGTTTTTCGGGATCGCAAGCACAAGGAACACCCTGTCGTAGTGCGCTCGCTCGACGGCAAAGGGCTTGAAGATCAAAATCGCGATAGGCGAATACAGTATCGTATTTCAAAACTGTAGACATTTCAAAGATTGGGTGGACTTGCAGAGTAATTCGTACTGGTCAAAGGGATGTCAATGTTAGTGTTAATCCGGCAAAAGCAGCAAGAGGTATTCGTCAAGTTGCATTCTACATTGCAGGAACGTAGAATCGGCCCAAGAATGACCAAAATATACTTGCCCAAAGAGATTGCACGGGTAGCTCGTGGCAGAAGGTCGAAATCATGAGAGTGGTGGATGTATGCGAATGAGTAGTGGTCGAGGAGTGAACAACAGAAACGGGAAGGCGATCGCGGATGCCTGAGGCTCCACATCACAACAAAAACCTGGGGAAGGAAAACGAACAGGAATCCCCCACAGGATTCTTTGGAGGGAAGTTTAAGGCTACTTGACTATTTGATGCAAAGATGGATATAGTTCTGAATCACGAAAATACATACCAGATGATATATGTCTCTAAAAATGAGAATTTTCGTCAAGCAAATCACGTATTAGGTCTTACCAGGGCCCTATCCACAGTTACTAGGCTGGCACAAAATAAAATGATGCTTATAACTATAGATGACTGCTAAGAAATAGTACTGAAAGCAAAATTAGTAGGCAAATAGAGAATTTTCTAACATTTTGCCCAGAATCTTACTGGAAAGGGCTAGGTTTGCCAAATCTAACTATGAAATTTCATGGGAGCTCATAGACCTGTCTTCCAAACATAATCAAAGAATGTTTCATCATAACTAATTACTTCTGCCATGGTAACAAAGGAACTCAATTTATTGGCCTTGCATAAACTCAATACCTGTATGCCGAACAACGACAATTCTTGACAAACAAATCCAGAACATCTTGAGCAAAAGCAGGATATGCCGATGTAATAGCTTCGTAGCTGGCCCGGGACTTCTCATCTTCTTGGAAATGACGGAGCCTGTTTCTCGCAAATCGGGTGGAAATTCCTCGGAGAAGCTCCATAGAGGGAGGAGTTAAACCATAGATTCGGGGATAGACTCCAGGAACCGAACGAAAGTGGCCGAATTCGAAGTAGAATCAAGACATGCTTGATATTTCTGAGCAGATAGCTCTGCTAGTCCTTGGACGGCATATTTTTTGGCGAGAGCAAACATCTGGGCATGAAGCTTGAAACATGAAATTGAGTTTGCTGTATGCGTCTTATCACCTTTTTTCTTCGTATCGTAGTCCGTAGTATAGAGGAACAAAACGAAATTCTCTATCACGATTTCAGATTCGTCAACAAACTTGTAGCAACCTGAAGATGCCTCCTTGATGTTAATTAGCTTAGAAATACCCTTGATCGCATTCGCGATTTCTTCTTCATCACTTACCTTGAATTTGCTACTACAAGCAGTATTGAAAACTGGAGACTGGGCACAAAGTAACGCTTTGTGTATTTTGAATTTTCTATTTTCGCAGACTAGCTCGAAGTCTGTATATGCTCCCTCGATTTGTAGTCTTCTGCAACGTTAAAACAAAAGCCTATATAAGGAGGATGAGGTGAAAATACTTAAGAAGTCCTTGTAGAACTTCCATGGCCTCAGTTTTCTTCCGGCGGCAGGTAAAAAGGCTTGATCTAGGTAGTAGAAGGTCCCGGTGGGGTTGAAGGAGACTCGGATGAAGATGGTGTCGAATTGATGGAAGAAAGAAAAGTGAGAACTACTAGGAAAGTTGTCATTATATAGAAAGTCTAATCATGTGACTGTGCCTCTGGGAAATAGCAAACATAATATGCGATTGAATGAAATTTTTCTCTTAGAATACAATGGAAACCAAAAGGCTTACTTTTGAGTGCTTGAAAAGAATCACTAAAGCCATACTGCTAGTATACAATCATGATCCCTGCAAATGTTACATTTCATAAATATTTCTGGCATTTTCTTTCTGTTTAAAACTATTTAGTGGAAAATATGAATATGAAGAAGATTCCCGAAACATTTCGCATACTAGGCTCATTGAACCGTTCGTCCTAAACATCTTGCCTGGGTCTTGTTTACTATAAATTGAACTGTATAACCATATCACGTGATAATAACAGCCCTTCGAGCAGCCACTCAAACATGACCATTTAGCGCCGAGGAGGTGTGCGGGGTTTTCAGCTAAATGGAGGTGAAGGGCGTCTTTTATTTCGCTCGAATCTGAATGAATTCAATTTACCACATCCAAGTCGCGAATTTTTGCGTGACGGTTGACCCAAAATGGCACACGGCGGCAGCCGCGATGAATACACTGTCGGATGGATATGCACCACGGCAGACAACCTCACTGCGGCACAAATGTTGCTTGACAAAAAGCACCCAAATCCAACTTCGAAAGATGAAGAGAACAACGTATATACACTTGGTAGCATCGGTTGCCACAACATTGTCCTCGCATCTCTACCAGCAGGTCAGGTGGGAGCTCATTCCGCCGGCGGAGTGACTATGGAGATAAAACACACATTTCCAGCTATTCGATTCTGGCTGATTATGGGACCCGGAGGTGGAGTGCCAGGAGGAAATGCAGACATCCGGCTTGGTGACGTTGTTGTTAGCCACCCAGTGAATGACCATGGCGGGGTGGTGCAATATGACTTCGGGAAATCGACCCCAAGTGGATTCAAGAGAACAGGCTTCCTCAATGCCCCTCCCGCGATCCTTCTCAACTCAATTGTGAAACTGAAGTCAAGCCAAGATCAAGGGGGAAGTAGCATGACACCAAGCTTGTTGAGACTCAGCAAGGAGCCTAGGTTTAGACGCGACCAAGCAGGCAAAGATGTTCTATTCGAAGCAACATACAGCCATATCGGAAATGAAGGCTGTTCATCATGTGATTCCTCGAAGGAGATAGAAAGGCCTCGACGAGAGACTAACACACCGGAGGTTCACTACGGTACAATTGCATCGGGAAATCAAATCATAAGAGACGGTGTGCTGCGGGACAAGGTCTGCTCAGATATCGAAGAAGTTCTCTGCTTTGAAATGGAAGCAGCCGGCGTGATGAATAATCTGTCGTGCTTGGTGATTCGGGGGATCGATAACTATTCTGACACCCATAAAAACAACAGGTGGCAGGCATATGCTGCAGCGACAGCAGCGGCGTACGCGAAGGACCTACTGCTCATTGTACCGGCGGCGGAGGTGGTGACAGTGCAGAAAGTGAATCTACCGAATACCGGTAAGAGTGCCCATTAAATTTTCATTTTGACCAACCCAGCTCATACTGCATAGAAAGAATGCCGCATTTTTATCTTCCCTTTCTACGGAATCTGCAGTTCATTGGCAGGAGCTCAGAGCTTCGTATCCTCAAGCAGAAATTGCTTATAGACAAAGATTGCCGGAAGATGGCCATCAGCGGCCTTGGCGGAATTGGGAAGACACAGGTGGCATTGCAGTTCGTGCATTTTGTCAGGGAGAACTATCCAGAATTTTCCATCTTCTGGCTGCAGGCGATGGACATGGAGACCTTCAAGCAGGGCTACATGGGGATCGCAGAAGCCATGGGAATAAAATAAGGCCGACGAGCCCAGAAGATCTAGCAGTATTAGCACAGCAACATCTATGTGCAAAGAGTGCAGGGAAATGGCTTCTCATCGTTGACAACCTCGACGACGTGGACTTGCTTTATGGGCAAGATCAAATCAAAGGCCTACTGAACATGCTGCCGGAAAATGATGATGGTCTAACACTGTTCACGACGCGACACGGGGCTGTTGCCCAGCATGTGGCCGGCAGTGACGTGATTGAGTTGGGGGGGAATGACAGAAGGAGAGACGATTGAGTTGCTGGAGAGGTCATTGATTCGGAGGGACAACACCCACGGCAACAAGGACATGATGGATCTACTCACTGAATTGGAATACCTACCTTTGGCTGTCAAACAGGCGGCAGCGTATGTGAACACAAACAAAAGCTCTGTATCCGAGTACATAATCTTGCTCAAGAACACGACAGAAGACGCTTTCGCTATCATGAGCACGGATTTCGGTGACAAAACGCGATGCTCGAATTTGACAAACGCAATCGCGAAGACATGGACGATAACGTTCGACAAGATTCTCCACCTCGATCCGATAGCAGCAGACCTTCTCAAATTCATGTCCTGTATTGAATGGAGGGCAATTCCCTATTCAATCTTACCAGCAGCATGCTCCAAGGCGCGGCTAGCAAAGGCCATTGGCTTACTGTGCGCGTTCTCGCTTATAGAAAGAATCGATCATGGAACCAAATTCAACATGCATAGGCTAGTTCATTTGGCGACAAGAATTTGGGTTAGAAGGAAATGCGAAGAAGAGGAGACAATCAAGGCGGCTTTCAAACAACTCTCGGAGGTCTTTCCGTGTGATTATTACACCGATCATGAAACATGGCAGGAGTATATGCCACATGTGGATTGTATGGAGCGGTATAATCAGCAATATGACTCCTCTGAGAGGGCCGAGCTGTGTATGAGAGTGGGCAAGTTTATATTAGGTGATGAGCGGGTGGAAGAAGCCATTGTCTGGCTGCAGAAGTCCTGCGAATGGAGGGATAAGAATCTTCCCCCGCATAACACACAGAGACTTACTTCACAGCGTTATCTCGCCATGGCATATCGACAAAACGGACAACTCAAAGAGTCAATCGATGTACTTGACTGTGTTATCTCAATTCCATTGGGTGTACTAGCAGAGGCTGACCCTGATCGCCTATCGTCACAATACCAGCTTGCGATATCATATCAAGCAAGCGGGCAGACCGAAAAATCGATCAAGCTTCTCGAGGATATTGTTGGTATACAAGCCATCCTGGTACCGCCTAACGATGGTGAACGACTTGCGTCACAGTACATGCTCGCAATGGCATATCAGGCGAATGGACGAATCCACGAGTCAATTGAACTGCTCGAGCACATTATCGGAACTCAAGGAGAAAGCCTCGCAGAGGATGACCCCAAACGGCTAGCATCACAGCACAGACTTGCTATGGCATACTCGGACAGCGGTCAGGCTGGCGAGGCCATCAAACTTCTGAAGCAAGTCTGTGCCATCAAAGCAAAGTCGTTCGCAGAAGACCATCCTGATCGACTTGTGTCAGAGTACGCGCTTGCGATGGCCTGCAAGGACAACAGTCCGACTGAAGAGTTGATTAAACTGCCAACTCATACCAGTAAAATAGAAGCATATTTCCTCTTGCTATGGGTTCCCGCCGAAAAAGAGAATTTCCAGCAGATTAAGGGGACAGACTTGGCTGAAACTGAAGGCCGGAGGAATCAGAACTGATCTCTAATGATGGTAATACATCAACCATACCGTTGGATCAGATATCAGTACTGCTGTAACAAACAATAAAGTTCCAGGGCTGTCTAATAACCCGAGAATAATGATATGAGACGGGCAGGGCTAAAGTGCATTTTGAGGAAGCGAAAAAAGAGTAGTCTCAGCGCTGATTTCTTGCCACTGCCAAGGAGGTGACGACTATCAATGATAACTTGAACTTACATCATCGGACATACATCGAATCCATTTAAGAGCCTTGGTTTAGAATAGGTCAGAGGTGAATATATGGTTTACCACAGTTATTGTCCCGACTGCTTGCTAGGTGGTTCCTCCGGATCAATCCCAACCAAACAATTAACAGGCTCACCATCAGGACTGATATTAATCTGGTTCCCCTTCGGACCAAGCCAATTCCCAGAAAGTTTGACATAACTATCCAAAGCGTCAACCATAGCCCTACCCATCTCAATAGCATGGTCCGCACGAGTATGCGAATAATGCGTAATCAAGCTCCGCGTAGCATTCCTCTCCCCATTGGCGATCATCACCTTAGCGCTTTTCTCAACCCATTCGATATCTTTTCGAGACTGGTCTTCGAAACCGATGAATGCCCACTTCACAATAGGAAGGTATGTCCGCGGCGCCGAGCACATGTAGTAAAGTACGCGCTTGAATAATCGACCCGCGAATAGACTGGCCTCTTGCAGTTGGTAGTCCGGGTTCAGGAATGTGGATTCCGCATCTTTCGTGAGATAGCGATGTTCGCCGAGTTCTGCGGGGATGGACTCTGCACCGAGCCACCAGGGGATAAAGGGTGCTGCGACGGAACTTGTCGGTGCGATCCAGATGCGATACATGTCGGGGTCGGTGTCTGCGTGTAGACTGACGACCTGGCCATATCCGGCTTCGTCGTTGGAAATGCGTGGGTCGCGTACACGCTCGATTAGGTCTTTCTCAGTCACGGGGACCATTGCCTTGGTGAGTTTCTCCAGCCGATCTGGCGACATGTACTCAGCATCACCACCCGCGGGAGTCTTCTGTCCAGGCTGCAAGCCGTAAACTTTCTTGATGTTGAATGGTTTACCAGAATGATGACTCCACCAGCCTTGTTCAACCGCAAACGAGACAATATTGTCCGAAGCCATGTAGTCAGGATGATTCTTAAAGGCGATCGGGAAATCGTGAATGTATCCAGGGAAAGACACGCGAATATCATTTGGCCCAAGTCTCTCAGCAGCCCAGAGGCCCTTTCCACCAGCAAATTCCCAAACAATCCAACCCTCATCCTTATCAGCGATGAGATGGGTATTTCCACCATAGTCCGAATATCCATATTTCCCAATAAGGTCTCCAATGATCTCGACGCCCTCACGAGCAGAGCTCGCACGCTCCATCACCAGTCTTGCCAAGTCGGAATACGATGGTCCTTTCTGCGGTTTGGGAGTCATTTCTAGAAGCTCTGCACGACCGGGTGCCCACACATCGCGAACTGCGACACCTTTCTCGTTGACACCTCCGTTTGATATTGGCGGCGGGAATCCAAGGTAGTCGCTATAGTCCATACTGATGTATCTGAAAGTATGGGGAACTTGTGGAATGGTCGTCAGGTTCCCTGGAACGACCGCGGCAGATGTTACGCCAACAGTGACGGTTTCAGTGGTGTGGTCGGCGGCAGGGTAGATCTTTAGCCAGTGGCTTGAGACTTCTTCTCCAGTGCCGCCCACCAGGACGGCCCCGGAGGCTGTGAGGTTGGATCCCACATAGAAGGAATAGCTAGCTGTGGCGGGGACGATGCACAGGGCTATGATACCGTTCAACACGGCAATATGTCTTTTCATAACGAACAGATCTGCTTTTAAAGTTGTAAATTGCAGGATAACATGAGTAGGAAACGTCTACTTTTTATAATTGTTCAAAATAGGACAATTTTCAACCACCGTGACGGAATGATACAACTAGCACGCTTGTTCCTCCCAAAGCAAGTAGTATAGTCCGCCAGTCTATAATGTAGTAAACATTAACAGCTTGGAACAAATATCTTTCCTTCTGGGCTTGAATATCATTGCCTGCATGAGCAAGGGCTGCCGACTGAAACTAGTATCAACATACTTGGTCACTGTCCCGAGACCTTAATTGCGGGGTATCTTTTCCAAAAGTCCAAGATACCTTTTCGGGATATCCGGCAAAATGACCTTAATTTTCCCGGACGCTGTTGGCCCTGCCTATTAAGGAAAATGCGAGGTGGCGGAGTATTAAAGAGTTTAAAGTCGTCCTGGACTTGACCGAGCAACCCCGAGATCTGCCAAACCCTAAGCGGTTACCCGCATCGGATTTAACCGCCATGGAAGTCTTGGCCTTTGAAGATCCTAGCGTTGTTGATAGTACTTATTTGCTCCAAGATCTCAGTGGAAGAATGCTTCATTTCTTGTAATATCTTGTAAAAATGTCAGAGGTATCGATTGATGTAGATGTTATCAATTCTGACTCCCGAACATGCAATGCCGAAATCCCCGGCCAGATAGAACACCAAACACCGGGTATCCCCAAATCCAGAAAACAAAATATTCACCCTGGCAGACCCGATGCAAATAGGAAAAGAAGAAAGAGGCTGATAAGATGCAAGCAGTTCCCGAGGGCGGGGAGGGAGGGGCCAGGAAGCGTATGGGTTCAGGTCATCGTCACGTCCTGCGCTGGGGTATTCGCAGCAGAAGTTTCCAGCGGAGTTTCAGCTTCGGCGTTGATTTCAGCATCGGCCATTTCTTGATCCCCATCCTCCTCCCCGGGACTGCGAGCATCCACACTGTTGACGAGAGGAGCAGACGAGGTTTGCTCTCCAGTAGTCCGACGATCCTCATCAAAACTCTCCTCCCACAGTCTCACCGTCAAATCAAGACCACAACTAACCATAAGCCTCTTCCCATCCAACTTCCCCGTATGCACACAAAGAACCGGCTCCGTATGCCCCTTGATCCGCTGCAAAACATTCTTACTAACAATATCCCAGCAAAGAATATCCCCATCCTCACTCCCGGAAACAGCAAAGCAAAGCGGCGGCGAATACTTCGCCTCAGGCTCCCCGTACAGTCCAAAACACCCCGAAATACTGTACTTGGTATTCGCGTGGCCCTGGAAAGTCTTCACAACGCGCGACTCAACGTAGTTCCACATCCGGATACACCCATCCAGCGTCCACGCCAAGATGTACTTCCCGTTCGGCGAGAATTTCACGCACGTGGCGGGCGGGTTGTCTTCGTGAACGAGCGTGCGGAGACACTGGCCGCTATGCGTGTCCCAGACTCGGACTAGGCCGTCGTGCGCGCAGGAGACGATTAGCGTGCCGTCATGGACGACGTCTATGCCGGCGACGGGGTCGGAGTGTGCGGGGAGGGAGCGCATTACGCTGGCTCGTCGGACGTCCCAGAGGAATACGGCTTCGTCGTAGGAGCCGCTGACGAGGATGTTGCCCTTTGGCGCGAAGGCGATTTGGTAGACGTAGTTGTGGTGGCCGACGAAGGGTTTTGTGTGTGCTCGGCCCTGGATGTTGAGAATGGCCCTGGTTAGTCTCGTGTGTATGGGGTAGATAGATGAGGGTAGGCTCCACGTACGGTTTTCACGTTCCAGAATCGGATTGTTTTGTCGTCAGAGCCCGAGGCAATCCACTCTCCGTCCGGGCTCCAGGCCACTGTTGAGATTCCTGCGAGGTGGCCCTCGAATGTGTAAATAAGTTTGCCGGTGAGGGTCTCCCAGACCTTGATGACGGCGTCGGAGCCTTGGAAAGAATATAATTAGCGATTGGAGCACGGTGAACCAGGTGAAGAAAGACATACCTCCACTCGCAATCATGCTGCAGTCCGGAGAGAATTGTACGGTCGAGACGCCGCGAAGATGCGCCTTGAGCACATACTTCTCTTTGTAGTTCAAAGACTCAGGTTTCGGGGTGGGCGGAGGAGTTTCATTGGCGGGCGGCACAGGTGTTGATATGCGATCGGAAACATCGTCTCGTGAGGGGTGATGATTGTGTTCTTCTCGTTCTCGGCGATCTTCAGAGAGCGCGTCCGACTCGTCGAGGGAGCGATCCTCATGGCTTCGTTCAATTGGGGTAGGGCGATCGATGGGAGACGGACTAGGGCGAGAGTGGGAATTCGAGCCATGCCAGTAATCCTCTTCTTCTCCAGCTACCTCACCTGGACTATCAGACTCGTCGTACTGGCGTTTATTGGAGGTCGTGGTCCTGCGTTGCGGGGTGGAGTTCTTCTGTGACCAGCTTGTTCGGCGGCGCTTCGTCTCTTCCCGTTCTGAGCCTGCGGGTAATTCATCGGATGATTCAGCAGGTGACTGGCCGCGACTCTGCCGGCGACGAGTTCTGCTTAGTGCATTCTCCATGGGGATTTGGAAAATTGGGGAATGGTCGCAACATGGCGCTGGACAGCGGAACGCGTGAGCGGCGGGAATTTCCCAGGCGCGTTTCAAGGCGGTGAGAGTGGTGCTCCATCCACACTACAAAATGTTAATTATCAACTAAACTAAACTAGAGGAATGAATCACCTTCCAAGGTTGGAAGAGACTAAAAATATTCCAGGAAGATTAGTATCTTTGGTTTTTAATCTATCAGACAAGGCTTTTAAATAGATACATGTCTGAACAAAGATATGCTGAGCAGTCAATGCTATCCTTACAAGGTAACTCTGACCCAGCATGGGCCAGTCTAATATCAACTTGAACTTACTTCAAGTTGGCCCCAACAATCACAAAGAGTCACTGGGGCATATGGCAAACTGTTGGCAAGCAAATGCATTATGTGATGTATTTGCCATTTGTCCTTGAATGAGGTAGGTTCCTGGAAGACGTTAGATGTCATCAAATTCGCCCTTCCACGTCGCAGAGTTTATATTTATATCCACCATTAAATGACGTATTGGATAATTGAGCCACAAAATCCACCGTCGAGTATATTTCGTAAGATCGACATTTCTTCATAATTAGAAGTATGTATGGCATCAGGCCTGAAACACGAAGCGTACTGCGGAGACGATAGATCCAGCAGCTTCTCGAAACACTTGATATGGAAGGTACCTGTGACAATACTATATGTTAGCCCTAGCCAGGAACGGAGAAGATGGGAATAATTACCCCAACCGAGCTCGTTCTAGCGCTGCGCGGGATTGACTTTGATCCGATGTTTACCAGGCCATATTCTGTCCTGACAGGGGCCAAGATAGCATGTTGCCCCATGGGGGGATTTGGGCGCAATTTGGAGGTAGAATATTAATCCTTTGCCATGGCTGTACTCTTGCGTTGGTCTCCAATTCCAGTCTCACATAATGCTCAAGTTTTTCGGCTTGCCGTTTGATATCGGCTTGGTGATAGGTTTCTCGCCGTTTGTCCTCCGCCGCTTTGGCGAGGAACTCTGCCCCAATATCGCTGTCGTCCCAGTCGGCTTCCGCCGCTATCGAAAGGAAGCCCGTGTCAATATCGGGGCTATCCCACTCAACGTGGTCGTGGTCGGCTGCATTAGGGTGAGGCATATTTTCCATTTCCCTGGAAGAGCCGATAGCTTCGGAGGGAAATAAGGAGAGCTGGATTTCGGTAGTCATGAATGACGATAGAATGGGTTGCAGACGAAGGTTGGCGTGGACCCGCATCAGCGCGAACCGACCCTAAACGTCCACATGAGGAGTCGGTGCGAGGCAGGAACGACCCCGAGGGTTCAGTTGAGGAAGGTGCATTCGGGTATAAAATCGGGATGATGTCATTATTCAACATATTTGACCGCAGAAAGTATATCAGATGACATCAATAATTGACAGTTGATGCTTTAGAGCAAATGGGTGATCGTGGTAGCAATAAACGATGCCCTGTCCAGCGACAAGGCCGACATTTCTCACGCCAAAGCTTGGAAGGCGAGAAGGAGTAGAAAACATACAACCAGCGAGAACTTGGCAATTGTCCAGACTGGGGCCTCGCCTGGATATCTGGTATGGGTGAAGAGAACGAGATAGGCTAGCAGACCAGCCAGGAGGGCTTGAAGACACAGCAGAAAAGTAGTACTAAATCCCACTGGCTGTTGCTTGCCAGCGGTGACTGTAGAGGTAAGCTTGTCCGCCATATTGATTCGCAGGGGCCGAGTGTGAGGACGTTCAAATAAGGATTGGATTGGAAATGGAAATGGAAATCAGGGGGGGGCAGGCCCTAGATCAAGAGGCCCGAGCAGTCTCCGCCCCCACCCTTAGGGCTGTGGGGTGGGGCATAACCCCAGAGTGATCTTGCAGTGAAACGACAAGAGAAGTCACATAACTTTTAATAGTTGTTAGCTCAAGGCTAACTTGTCTCTATAAGGGGGTCGTCTGATCAAGGCATTTGTCACTTACACAACCTTATAGCTCCGTTTAATCTCGAACTTTTGTCAAGTTCGGCATTGACCTTGGTAGTTATCTCGGTTTCGGCGTCAATTGTCAGCGACATCCTTTTCTCCTTTCATAAGTATTCCATTATAGTGATACCAAGGGAGAGGTGTAGCTGCCCATAAACTGTGAGAGTCACACTTCTTCCAATTGGGTAGAGTTGTATCTCAATCGTGACTGTAACAGATTCACTGTCAATGCCATGTTTAATGTGCAAGAATGCTGGATATATGGAGGGAAACTGATGGAAGCTCACAGCCAAAAAGCGGTAGTGCATGTAAAGTATGTGGACGAGGATATCAAACACGGGAAATGCAGTCTTCATACCTCAGGCAATCTCAGCCCTGGAGGCTGTCATCAACAGGTTCGCCTGCGCTCCATCCCCATCCATCCGTGTCAGCGACTACGTTACCATCACTCACAGTACCCAGAAGGGCAGGGTAAGGTCACCTCTTCCTGATATCTTAAGTTTGTCATCTACAACCAAAGCCTCCCCATCCGTGTCGGGCCTTATAAAAACGTCATCACCAAGCTGCATATGAACAGGGAACTGCAAAGATATCCTCGCCCGCGTTGCGAAGAGCCGTGAGGCTGTCCAGACCAAGTCGGCCTAAGGGATTAATTTTTAGGTCTATTTTACCGTGGTGGTAATAGCGTGCGTTTATTCAAGGAGCCCTCAAAAAAATAAAGAATAACTAATCAATACGAAATCAGGCGCATTACGGTCCATAAAGAATGAAAAGGAAAAGATAATATCGTTCTTCTTCCATTCGGTGTCAATTGTTACAGATCTCTGGTATGCTGCTCGGGCATCACTCTCCATTTCACGCTGTCAGATGAGCATAAGCTTTTTGGATTCTTCGAGTTCGTCAAATTCAAGCGGAGAGCCACTGTAAGATGCAGAGTAACTCCCAAGCTCAAAGGAAAGGGGGGGAGGGGGTGGTTTGACGACCCATGAGCTCCTTCTTGATGGGCGAGTTTCCGAGGAGATGCTTGCCAGGAGTGGATGAGAAGTCGATCCGTCCTGGTCTCATCCCACCTGACATGAAAAGACATAAAGAGCAGTGACAAGAGTCACAAAATCAGCACCATCTTTTCGATGGCGCATGGCCTTTCTGGGACCTGGGAGTCTGGGACACTAGCGGATCTAATACCCTAGGTAGGGTCTTATTAGGATGAGTCAGAACTTCGTCGGCTATTTACTAAGTCGTAGACACTGAATCAGTACTGAAAGATGACTTCTCCCATCCTCTTTATGGCTCTTCAGTGTCGCCTACTTTTCACCTTATTATTGACTTGGTAGATAGATTTGATTTTTAATACGCAATCGCTTTCTCAGCAAATTCTTGTATATTGCTTTTCTTAGCTCGGGGCCCGCACTAAGTCCAATTAGGCATACAGCTCGATACTGTACCTTTTCTCAATGTCTGACTCAGCTCGGACCTCTGTAGGTACAGATGTGAACCAATTAGTGCATTCATGTCAGAACATGAAATTTCGGCGTAGGTTTTGTCACATATCTATAATATCTCGGTTGGCCGTACCTAGATATTGCCAAAGATTCTTCTAATGACCTAGACTAAGTGCCATATTTAGCTCGTAAAAATAAGCATGCTTTCGCTTTTATGTCCAAATTGACTTGAGGCAATTCCGGGGGCCTTGCCTTTAGAGAACTGTACGATCAAGCTAACCATCTAAAGAAGGATTTTCGCATTCCCTTCGACGATTGTTCTTCCCTTAAGGAGCCAGGGATTTGGGTCTGCAATAATATTATCAAGGCAACATCAATGACATTAGGCTCTTTCTGCCGACCGTGGTACGAAGGCTTTCGCAGAGGTGATGTTTGATAGAATTCTAAAGAGTTGAGGCGCGGATCCAATAGATGTAAGCTTACGGGCTAAGCTTCGCAGATAAGCATTTCTCTCAGCTCGAATGCGACACAGCGGGGCGCCACATGCAGGCTGCCCAATATTGTCTGGAAAATGATCTGCAATAATCCAATAAATGTCAACGTTTGTAAAAAGAAAATGGCTCATCGTCGTCGAATCTCCTTCCTCTTTTGATACCGAAGAACAAATGCCTCATCGGTATCGAATCTCCTTCTTATCTAGCTTTAAAATAAGCTGACACAAGAGAAGAATTAGCGCCGATCCCAAAGAAATCTCAACTAACAGACTGTATGCATTGATGTATCCTGAATAGGCAAATGAGTCGCCTTGGCTGGCATAGTCAGTAGTTGAAACCGATATCCTGAGCACGGTCGTTCCACATTTCCATTCGGAATGGCTACCAGGGCCGCAAAAAATAATTTTTCCTTTACCTCAATTTTATCTATAAAGCCAATATGCCTTCCGTGGTTCAATTTCCATCATCAACCTCCAGTTTACAATCGTCGATTATCAGGAAACTCAAGATTTCTACCAGGTTCGAACTTCAAACACCGCTGGTTCGTATGTTGCGAAGATATATCTTCAACATTATCTCTGACCAAAACCCTCTAGCCATGCAATTCAAGACGCTTTTCCCATCCATTCTTCTGATCGGCTACGGATCCTTGGCAACCGCTGACTCATTCTACGCCTACACCTGTGATGGCTGCGGTTGCAACGCCTTTGAGGGCCTGGGAGCCAGTATCGAGGGGACATGCACCAATCTCAAGAGCGGCGCCGCTTCTTTCGGTATTAGCACTGGCAAGGATAGCGGCACCTATTGCACGCTGTTTACTGGCAGTGACTGCAGTGGTTCATCGCAGAATGTTGGTCACAACAAGGGCCAGACCTGGGGTTGCACCAATTCAAAGAATGGATGGGTGAACTCAGTGCTTTGCTTCAACTAAAAGCATTGTGAATTTGGGCGGGGGTGCTGTTTCTTTGTGTATTTTAAGAAGGAGGGATGACGGAGCGATGGAGTCGAGAAAGATTGAGCTATCGAGGGAAGAGAGACAGATCTTTCAAGACAGAAATCGGCACCCCGCGCAACATCCTATTCCATGGGGAAGAAGAGCTTGGCAGAAGGTGATAAAAAGTGTATAGAAAATTTTCACAACACCTAGGGTCATCATTACGAATGCATGTTCATTAGATTTGTGGATACTTATCTTATAAATAGCGGACCTGTAAACTACCTATTGGAGTTAGTTTAACCCCACACAATCATCACAAGGAAGAAGTTTTAGCATTACAAAGTCTTATTACGCTTGAGAGGCTCGCGAACCTCTCGGAATTTCTGATGCTAGTAGCCGGCAGATACTATCCCATATTTTCAAAATATCAGGAACGCTAATATAGTTGGAGGTGTTTGTATTTCAGTTTATTTCTTAGCAAATTCACGCTATTTCTATTTTGGCTCAGGCCCCCTGTCCTATAGCCAATACGGTATACAACTCGATGCTAAGCCTTTTCTTAATGTCTAACTCAGTTAAGACCCATAATTGCGGGTACATATGCGAATCAACTACCATTGATTGGTCCTTTAACCCATTCGTAAACAATAGAAACGGTTGAGATACGCCCATCATCACTAATTCAACTTTAGGGTCTGTTAGCATAGAAATATTCTATACCGGACGCCGGCACGAACGGAATAATTTAGGCAGAGACATTAAGGACATTAGAGTCACGTATTTACAGAAAGTGCGTTCCTAACTGTTCATAGCTAGTTAGCCCGTGAGATATAAAATGGAGAAGAGACCCGAGTAGATAAAACCCTTATAGTTAAGCAAAGGCAGGCTATTCACCTCCGTCCTCAATCGTATCCGAATACCTCTATTCTAAGGAGCACGGGGTAGACTTCTGTGGAGTGCTAACTAAACACGAGACGGATTCGAGGTATGTGTTGGCTTATCGAATGCTATTCAAGAAAGCATCTCTAACAGCAATCGGGTCTGTCAGTGAATTTCTACTTCAACACGCCTTAAGCCGCGAAGCATCTTAGATTGCTAAAATTGTCTCCCTCAACATCTTCCTTGGCACTGCCGCCTCACTCGCAGCCCTCGTCATCGCGACGCCAACAACTACCGCCCCAACCACAACCGAGCCCCTCGAGCCGCACCTCGACATAATCATGGTTGACAGCCCGCCAAGCGACCCGGCGCGCCTTGTCCCTAGCGTGCGCTCGTCGTTAATGAAGCGCCAGCACGAAGAATGCTGGAGCAACTACCTTAGCCACTCGCAGCAAGAAGCGTACGAAGATGACTGCCAAAGGCTGCTCAGCTCTATGGAGCGCTCGCACATCACAATCACCTTCGCGCCAGAGCAGAGCAAAGACTTCTTCACCAGTCACCGTATATGCAAGCTCACCGTCCGCAACCAGCAGAAGGCTAGCTGCAACGTCAATACGCAAAGCGTGAATCGCGCCACGATGGGCAAATCCCTCGAGAGAGACGCTTGGCGCATGCCCGTCGCTAGGGGAAAATTGTGGCTGGGGTTTCATCACGGGAAAGCCGAATCTGGTCTATGTTGTCGAGCCTCATCAGCTTGCGCCGCCTTCGTATTCGCCTAGTTGCGAGGATGGTGGCTTCGCTTGAAGTGGTAGCAGCGTTTAATAACCTTTATTAGTGGCTTAGGGAGACCTATTCTGGTGGATTAAAGCTAGAGTGCGGATATCGCTAATCGCGTTAGAGGAATTTATACGAGGCTTTTTTTTTTTTAGCTCTAATTCTAACTTTCCCTTAAATCACCTAAGACTTGCTAGTACATATGTGAAGTCGGTCTACCTTTTTCTAATTTATTCAAATTGTTGTGGTGGTTTGAAGGTAGGGGTGTCATGGTCCGAAATTCCTTTTGGGGAATTTGGTCCAACATGCATTTCTTAGCCATACCCGTGGCGCTGAGTCGCTGACCACCCTACCACTATCTGCCAGGTGGAGGTTGGCCAAGTTAAGGACGGAAGACGGGAAAGTTGGTTGTCCATGAGGTTTTGAAATGTGATGTCCAAAATAGAGTCGCTCGAGGTGACGAGGTCAGATTTTGCGCGGTCTCGCAGGATGACCGCTAAGCGTACAGTGGCGGAACTGAGACCTGTAAGGGCCAGCCAGGTGATGGCAAGGAAAAGGATGGCAAGACGCATTCAAATCACAGGCCCGGCAGTATTAAGAGGCATTTTGTGTCATGTGTCTAGGGATTTACCTGAGGTATTCAACCCCGGAATCCCGGACAGATACAAGGCACATTTTCCGGCTGGGCGAATAGGTGAGTGGCTCTTACAGGCTTACGAGCCAACTAACTACTACTAGTATGCCTGAGCAATCTACAAAGATAGAGTGATAGCATAAACGAGTGTTTTATTTCCTCATAGCTAATTCCGGCGAAATTTCCAGCCAGTTCTCATCAATCATCATCAAAGCCGCAAGACCATAGAGTATAGCAGCAGCAAGTGAGCGAAATTACTCAGCACACTCGCGCTTACGCTCGTCAAAGACAGCCAGAGCTTCCTCGGCAGCCTTGACACCGCTCATAGCCATAGCACCGAAGGTAGGGCCCATGCGGTTGAAACCGTCAATCTCAGACAGCTCCATTCCACCGATGATAAGACCCTTGGTGACCTCACGGGTGTTCTTGACGATGGCGTCCTCGGCCAGGTTCATGTCCAGACCGCGCATGCCACCGAGCTTGTCGATAGCGTTCATGGAGACGAGACGCTTGGCACAGAAGGCGCCGAATGGACCGTCGTGGCCGGTAGTACTGATGATGATGGGGGCGTTAATGGTGTTGGGGTCCATGCAGGAGTGGTCGTCGTGGTGGAGGGTGACCAGGGTCCAGTTAACGACGACACCGGCGAGGCGGATGTCGTTGCCATCGGGACGGGTGATCAGGTCCTCGACGCAGGTGGCGTTGAAAAGCTTCACGTTAGGGAAGGACAGGACCTTGGACAGCAGGGTCGAGGTGAAGAGGGCAGCGTGCTTGACGACCACGAAGTTGGGGTTGTTGGGCTCCTCCTCGAAGGGAACACCCAGCTCTGTCAGGAAAGCGTCTGCGGGACGACGGAGGACCATGGCGGAGAAGAGTTGACCTCCGAGCCAAGCACCACCACCTAGTTGAAGCTGTTAGTCACTGTAGACATGCCAGTGGGGAGGACAGTGGAGCTCAAACGTACCAGGAGACACAGAGGCCTCAACAATGGCAATCTTCAGGTCTGGGCGAGCCTTGGCAAGGACGTAGGCACTGCTCAGACCGCAGGAACCAGCACCGACGATGACAACATCGCTCTCGGCGTAGTTGTCCAGATCCTGGAAGTAGCGGCGAGTCATGGCACGGGAGACCTGGCTCTCGCGGATAGGGGCGAACTTGAACTCATCCCACTTGCCGCCAAACTGATCAAGGAGCTTGCTCTGGCCCTGGCCGGTCAGGGTGGTAGTAGCCGTCTCGGGGACGACAACCTTGCCCTTGATGCCGGTGGGCACAGTGGTGGGCTCGAAGATAGCAGCGGGGGGAGACATTGTGGGTTAGAGGGATCAAGTCGTGGGATTGACTTGGGCCTTTTGTTAGTTTAGACTCCAACGCAGATGGGGGAATGGAGGGGGAAAGCATGATCCTTTCGCTGGTATTATCCAGATCAAGTTATCGCCGTATAATCTCAGGACGAACCCATGTTGATGGGGAGACTTCTCGACAGATGTAAACAAATGAAGAAAAGTCATCCATCAACATGAGAACGAACACCGGCCCACGCCCAGAAGTTACCTGGTATACCTTGATCCCAAAGAGATAATGTGCCCAGCCAAAGCATGTTCATGGCTTCCCTAGAGGGAGGGCTAAATGTACTTGGTAACTGGCTGGAGGAAGGTTAGTGGTGGAACCAATGGTATAGGGGTTAATAGTTACTTGTAGATTGGTAGCTGATTGCTGGTAAAGGAGTTGGGAGAAGTGAAGAAGAGAAGAAAAGAAAAGTTGAAGATGGAGGGGCAGTAGCAACCTTAAATGGGCGGATCTCCAAGGATGCCCCGCCTTCGCAAATCCTGAGTTGTCATTACCTCCGACTCTCTCCGGTGAACAGAGAGGGAAATGCTGATCTCAATCTAATCATGACGTTTCTGATTTGCCTGATCTTACCTATTGTACTCCTTGGCGATCCTGGTCTAGCCGTTGATCCGTAATGGGTAATCGGTCAACCCGTAGCCATCTCGGCCATCACAATACCAGAACTTATCCCATGCGATATCCCAGCAATGTTCAATCACCCAAATATACTGACTCGATATAAAATTATCTAGGTATTTCCAAACCCCTTTTCATCCAAATTGAACAATTGCCCCCAAAAATTATCACTTTTCTCGGTTTGCCTCGGAGATCCCAGCTCCACCAAAGACCCTCCGCGCGGACCTCAGTTCTCCGGTCTCCCCTCCACGACTGCCCACTTCCCAATACGAGGGAATTAGGGTTTAAAAGATGACTTGGATTTCGAACATGCATCTCAATACGCGCAGCTTGTCATATTTCTTCGCGTACTGATCGCACAATCAAGCTAATATTTTCCGAACAGTGACATCATACCCTGTCATCCTCATGCACAACTCATAGCGATGCGGGGCTGCAACAAGTAACTACGATTGAAACAAACACTTTGGAGAGCTATTAAAAGTTCAAGGTGTGTCGGAAATTCCGATGACGAGGTTTTCTGACGGCAGAGAGCGACGACTTTGAATTTCCAGGGCCGCGTAGATATCACACTCCCGTCTCATAGGAAAATTAGCAGTTGACGCGCGCACCTTGAGAAAATACTGCAAGAACTTGACTCAACAAATCTTGACCGGCAGAGCACACTGGATTGAGTCCGGCTCCACCAGAATGTCTTCGTTGATTGTAATCATAGCCCTCTGTGGTTCTTTAGCTGGGGTAGTTCACGCTAACCATGAAAACCTTGAAGCGCAACAGAGTGCGTAATTCAATCTTGCGGTAGTTTCGGTCCAAGGGCGCACCTTGACTAGCGGACTTTCTCATGGAGAGAGTGTCAGGGGGACGGTTCTCGCAATACCCATTTCTGGTAACATCGGATATCCCACAGGCGCGGCCATATAAACACATGATGTGGATATTAGACTTACCGGTAGACATTTTGCCGGCTTCGTAACAAGCCTGTCTTGAAGAGATGGGTGCATTGCTGAAGAAAGTCCAAGTTAGCATGACAATTGAGAGAAGACGGTTGTCAGCAATACATACCAGTAGTATGTACCATGACTAATAATAGTTAGTAGTTCCAACGCAGTCACCGAACGTTGACACCATATCAGCAAACTCAAACAGCTTTCGTTTCACTCTCAAGATATTACGGAGCATATCTAGATTACGGGCAACAAGGGCTTGCAATGGAGAAAGGTGTCTAGGGACCTCAATACAGTGAAAGTGCTTCTCGCCAATGCAGGCATGTATTCACATCAGGCTCTGCTATAGCAGTAGACAAGCGAGGTATATGTCAAGACTAATATCCACACTTATAGCACATACCTAAAGCTCGCGCCATAGTTATCCTCCGACAAACCAGCATCAGGCTTAGTGGGATCAGCTTCCACCTTCGGACCATACTTCTTATCGAGCTGTTTATTCTCCCACATCAAAAGCGTACGGAGACACAGCGCCAGCAAGGAAGTGAAGAACATAAACGCCGCACAAACCGACATGCCTTTAATATAACGCGGAGCCGAGGTATCGGGAAACATATTCGTTCCCAGGAAAGGACCGCATTGGCCAATAACATTGAGCAAGATGATACCGCCACCACGACGGGTATCGGAGCCCTGGTTATCTGAGAACAGGATTTGTTAGCTGAGGAATTCAAAATTGAAACTCGAAGATATGCGTTTGCACTCACTCAAAACCCAAGGCAAAATGTTCGCGATCGACGGAAAGACTCCACAAGCCGCGAGAAATACGCCGAAGTAACGCACGCCGACGGAGCTGCAGGCCACGCATAGGATGTACCCCACACCGCCGATCATCGACAGGACTGCGATCATCAGTCCACGTTGCTGAATCCGATCCGCCACATAAGTGGTTGCGATCGTTGCGATGAAGGAGGCGAAAAAGGGCGGTGCGGTGAGGCCTTGGGCGTTGACGGCTGTGAAGCCCATTTCCTTCAGGATCGTAGGTAGGAAGACAGGCAGCGAGGAGAAGCTGACATTGCAGCTGAAATACATGAACTGGGGGATAGTCAGCGAGGAGGACCTTTTTTCACATAATCGTGTTTCTTTTTTCTTCGTTCATTTCCCCCAGTCGTCCGCAGGCGTGGTAACTACTTACTGCTGTGAACCAAGCTTTCGCGTCGAGCAGGGTCATGGCCAATTCCTTCCATTGCACCTTTCCCTCTCGTTCCGCGTCACCGGCTTGTTGTATTCCACGAGCTCTTGCGACCTCTTTCTCTTCCTCGGTCAGAAATTTGGCCGTCGCTGGAGAATCCGGCACGAAGAACCAGGCCAAGAGGGCAGCCACGCAAACCGGCAGACCCTCAACGAGGAACAAAAGTCGCCAATTAGCGATCGCCGCATGGCCGGAGGTAATCCCGTATGCAAGGGCGCCAGCGAAAGTATTCGCGAGCGGGGCAGCCGATAAGAAGAGACCACATCGGAGGCCGAGCTCATGGCGTCGGTAGAAGAAGGAGAGTAGGTAGGGTACGCCGGGCCCAAAGCCAGCTTCGAAGGCGCCCATCAAGAATCGCAGGGCCATCATGCCTTGCCAGTTTTTTGTGGCCGCTTGGCATGTGGACACCAGACCCCTGGATGTTGCATCAGTATACATGTAACAAACGACACCTTTGCTTGCAATGGAATCATACCAAGAAAAGACGACAAAGGCTGCCCATTGATGTGGCTTGACGATCTTCCACATCAAAGCCTGGAATTCAAAGAGCGTGTATGAGATGTAGAATATCGTCAGCAGCCATGAGTATCGGCCACTGTCCAGCTCGAGGTCCTCCTCCATCCCGGCGATCTTGGCATTGCTATCTGGCGGTCAGTTTTGTTTCAAAATTTCATGCTGTGCGATCGTGGACACACCCGATGTTACTTCGGTCGAGAAAGGCAAGGAGATCTAAGGAGATGGGGGTATCAGTAAAAAATATCAAGATGGCAATGATACCCTCGCAAGAGAACATACAGAAAAACCCCATCAAAGTCGGAACTCGCAAATCCAGTTTCCTCAACACTCTCCGCTCCAGCTCTGGATCAATTGGCGCAGGCGCAGCTACCAGCTGGTTAGGTTGACTGGGTGTCTCTTCATGCGATGGAACACGCTTCTCGATATCCGGATCTGGCGGTGCCCGCTGGATCTGATCCTCAGGGTAATCCGCCTTTCCAAAGAACCCCATAGCTGCCAGTGCCGGAGTTTCTTGTCAATCGTGGGGTAGGAAGAAAGAGAAGCGGGCTTTTTCCGGGGAGGGGGAGAAGTCCGGGGGGGGGGGGCGCTGGGATCTTCTTATGCGTGGGGAGGCACCGAGAAGCGAGAGTGTTGATCGGCGACATTGCGACCCGCGTATGGAGTAGAAGCCCCCGCGGATTTGGAGTATCCTCGGTATGGGAGCATCTGTGGCGGAAGTGATTGGCACCCTACGATGTTCCCCGCTGAATTGTGGTGGAGCTAGTGGTCTTTGACTCTTTGGGGATGGCAAACTCAGCGGGGTCAGCCAATCCCGTCGTGGGGTTCTTTGTGGAGGGAGTGTGCGTTGAAGCTTGAGTGGAGCCACAAAGCTTGCGACTGTAACCCTCGGCTTGCTAATTGCCGTGCAAAATCAGAGGTCACAATGATGTGGGGGTACCCATTCTCATATTTTCATATTCTCAAGGGAATACCAAACTCCATAGTAAATCTCGGGCAGTCTGATCCTCGGCCCGATTTTCGGGATGACATTCGGAAGAGCTTTGGCGCCATCAGAGTGAACACAAACTTGCGGTGCCCGATCCGCAAATGATAATTGATCTAAGTTCTTTTTCCAAGCTTTTTTCATACGATCGAGTCAAACTAACTTTATGTATACATAAAATGAAACTCTCATCAATGGCATAAACTCACAGTGGGGTCTAATTCGCGAGGAATCTTAGTTACACAAGTACTACTAGTACGTACAGTGGAGCGCATCTTGTCAACCCAAGATTGATTTCTCGGGTTCCTATCAAGTTGGAAATCCGACTTTTTTTTTTATCCAATCCCCCGTCCAAAAAAAAGGTCCCGTAGCTCGAGGGAGTTGCTCCCATGGTTATTTCGAAGCAATATCCGCGGCGAGAAAGGGGGCCCTTGGCTCAGTGAACAGGATTAGGTCCTTTGTTCAGAAGAAAAAAGGTTTTTTTTTTGGTGGCCGTAATGAACTTCTAGTACTATTCGAGAAATTGAAGGCCAAACAATCCGTTTTGTCTGCATTATCCCTGCTTGCTCAACCTTTATTGTGGCCTCACACAGTAGGGAGCTTGAAAGCGAATAGGATTCCCCGGAAGATTATTCAATGTCGTCCCATCTTCCGTGGAACTCCATACGAGTATCTATATTTTCCTTTCATGAGATCTATCACGACTTTTGGTGCACTTGGGACGATTCTCCAAGGAAGGAAGGTTGATGCGGATACGAGGCTGCAACTCTTGTCTTGGGCTCTTCGTGTTTCAATGTGAGTCAGATTGGCGGGCCCCCCGGATTGAAATAGCCTATTTAAATCGGGCAAACTTCCCAGCCTCTTTTATTTTGTCTTTGCAACTTTGATCAAGTCATTTAGATCTAGTTGAAGTTTCATTCTGTTCGAAATCTCAACCTCAGAATGACCAGCCTTCAAAACGCACGAGCGAAGCATTTCAAGGACTTGCATCAACCCCGCACCCCGATCATCCTAGCAAATGTATATGATGGCGCCTCTGCCAAACTAATCGCCTCATTGCCACAATCGAAGGCGATTGCGACCGCCAGTTTCGCAGTCGCAGAGGCTGCGGGCATGAGTGACGACATGCTTACTAGGGAGGAACTCTTACGGGCGACAAGAAACATTGCCAATTCGATTCGGCCCTTTGATAAGCCTTTGACGGTCGATGCGCGGGACGGCTATGGAGCCCAACTTGTTTCAACTGTGAAAGAGCTGATCGAAATCGGAGCTGTCGGTATAAATCTGGAAGACTTTGATAACGACACTAAGAGGTTGTATACTCAGTCCGACGCGGTGGATCGAATCAAGCAGGCACTCCAAGCTGCCGAAGAGTCTGGGGTGCCTGAATTTGTGATCAATGCTAGATGCGATGCATTGCTTCATGGTGGAACCCTCGACGAGGTGATCACCCGCGGCCGGGCCTATCTTGCCGCTGGTGCGACGACCGTATTTGTTTGGGGTGGTAGGGCTCGAGGAGGTATCACTAGAGAAGAAGTGGTTTCGCTTGTTGAGGCATTCGATGGTCGACTCAATGTGTCTAAGACTAAAACCGGTCTTACACCGGCAGCGTTAGCAGAGATTGGGGTTGCAAGAATCAGTATCGGGCCTGGTCTTCAGTGGGCGGCATTGGAGAAGATGAAGGAAATGGCGGAAGACCTCTTCGTGTCGTGAGGGTCATTCCAGATATTTAGCAATTGAATACAAAAACACTTTCAGGCACTGGCAACCTGAATTTTGCGCTCACTTCGACGGTAGACAATTATTGAATCATGTCGATAACAGATATTTTCCATCTAAAATATATATAATTGATTTCATTTCTTCAATATCTTCAAATTGCTGAATTCTCCCACCCGCACTGTCAAGAGTATAGATATATTGCTGCCTCAGGTGTCCTGCGCAGTTGGTCACTGTGCCTCACCCCACCGCATCAAAAATCTCCCGCGTCGCGTTTGCCAGGAGCTCCATCATCAGCCCTGACCACGCCGACCCGCTCTTTCTCGCCTCCCCATCATCAGAGAGAACCGTCTCATTTAACCCGGACAGCCCATTTAACCCCCCTGTGCGACTCAATTGAGCCCATCTTACACCCTTCTAGGGTTCTAGCCAAGATGGATGACCCGGCATCCCGTATCCCGGGGCAGCTGGTACGATGACCCCAACGCGCCGTCTCACGCTCCCCGCAAGTTCCTTCGCTCAAAGTTCCAAAGCTGACTCTGTCGCAATGACTTTAGCTCCCCCATATGCACTTGGTCTCCCGGAATCGCTACCCGAACATGCACATGATGCCCCCAGAGACCGCCGTCGAGTACCTGGCTAGCGCACCCAGGGTTTGCCAGTCACAACCTATGCATTGGACCTTTCTGGATGGACCTGGCGACGGTACTGTCATGCTGACATGGCAACCTCTCGCGCACATGGGCAACAACTTTGCCAGTGACGGTTATGTTTGGGCCGATGCCGAGCAGGGACATGTACTAGAGGTCCGAGGTTATGTATGTTTGATCAATCTCCCAGATTGAGCCTAAGAAGCTCCCTCTCGCAAGGTGATCTTTCAAAAAGCTAATTCGCCTCCTCCTAGACCGTTGAAGTATTCGTTCACCGCAGCGGTTACCACCCCCCGAATGAGAACGTGGCTACCCACAGTCGCAAGCGTTATCGCATCGTTTCTACCAAGATTCCCAATACCGCCCAACCGGACCCTTCCCTGTGGATTGTCCACTACTCGCGCGCGCCTCAGAATGACCAGATTCCTGCCAACCGCATCCCGCCTACCCCGCAAGTACAGCAATCAATGAGCCAACGACGATTCCTCCAAAGCCAAGGCCAACTTGCCCGCAAGGAATTCCTCCTGCACGACCGGAACAACTGGCCCACTATCAACTTCCCGCAACAGGTGGGCCAACAGGGGTTCGCCCAACCCCAACCAGCTTTTCAGGGCACCCCACAGTCACGACCGGGCTACTACCCGCCTCAGGGCCACCCTGCTGCGCCTGCCCCGGTTCCTCCTCAGCCCAAGGTCGCTCGCCCCCATCGTGCTTCTTCCGCTGCGATCGCGGCCGCAGCCGGCGAATTTGCCCTCGAGGATGAGGATGTGTCTAGCGGTGATGTCTTGGACGCCCTCACACCCCGCGAAGTTAGCAAGATGCGATACGTCCAGCACCACGAATGGATGGAGGAGATCTTCGCCTCGCCATACTCCATCTCACAGATCACACCCGTTTCCCTCGGTTTAGGGCGGAAGGGAGAGCTCCAAACGTTGACGGATGGGTTCTTCGACGCACCTGACGCAGAGGGTCAGGGTGAAGAAAATGTCCCCGACGCGACCAAATTAGAACCGGCCAAGGCGGAGGAGTTTGCCGATCGTGTCACTAAGAAGGTAGCCGATATGACGGCCGAGATTGAAAATTTGAAGAAGCAGCACGCACAACGCATGGAACGCTTTCACCGCAGCTCGCTCTTCAAGGACGCTGAACTGCGTCTCCGTGAATCCGCTGCGAACCCGGCAGAGTCGGGACCGGAGGTCTGGCGACTTGAGGGTCGGATCGTCGTTCCCTCCGAGGAAGATGCTACACCCCAGCTGGATTTCGTGGAGGAGGAGAAGGCCAAGTACAAGGTCGATGATGTTGTGCGCGAGGTGGAGACCAACTGGAAGAAGCAAATCATGCCCGAACCCAAGGTTTCATGCGTTGAGAAGGGCGGTCTGTTAGAGAAGATTGAACCAGAGCAGCCTGAGCCCGAATCATTCGCCAATGATATGGTTCTGGATGACACTCACCTCGACAACCAATTCGTTACCTCTGCCCCCGGTACCACCGAGCAGCCTGTCCCTGGCGGAATTCCCGGTGACGTTGAAATGGATCTTGGCGATCAACTTGCCGGTGGACCGGGCGAGAACAGCGAATGGGTGATGGTGAACAACGAGAAACAGGAGGCTCCTGCAGGCGGTGATGCCGGCATCGAGAGCGGATTCGATTTCACCAACATCGACAGCGCCGGTGATGCCTTGGCCGCGTACACGGAGCAGAATGATGATCTTGATCTGCCCGATTTGGACAATTCGGCATTTGGCGATGCTTTCCATGCGTCGGATAACGAGCACTCTCACCACCCGGACGCGGATGACATTTCGTAGCCTTTGGGTCCCAATTGAAATTTATGAAAGGCGTTTCTCCTCTTGATGGGTCCATTCTGCGTTCTAGCATGCTGCACTTTCTATGCAGTCTGCTTTGGGTGTTGGTCGGTGTGTGGGTATGGAGGTTTTGGATCTGATCTGATGCACGATTTCCTGTTTCTAGTTGTTTCATTTCTTTTATGCTGTATAATAAACAGGCAGAGAATATCACACCGAGGCATGAGCTATGGTTGATTCAGATGTATTAATGTATTCGTATGCTATAGATATCACAGATGGAGTATCCCATACCCTACACGGGCTGAGGGTCCACCTAGGACTGGGGGAGGTGGAGAATGACGATCGGTTGCTCGCGAGGCATGCATGAACCAAACTCAGATAGCAGGCTTGTCCAGTGAAATCACGACTTGATGAGAAGACTGCAACCATCTGCCCTACTGGATTAACTCTGGACTTCAACTGGAGTGTTGCTGCCACTTCCGCCCTTCCCCGTCGTGACGTCAGGCAGCCACTTGCAGCAAAAAAGAGTGGGAAACAGCGTCATCTATAGTTCGCACTACCACTAGTTGCTACTTTTATGTTCGATTAGCAGGGAAGGTGCTCTGCTCTGCTATAAACCAGCTCGTTCGTCACTGATTTACACCTTCTGCTCTACTACACTGCACTACACCACACCCATACCCACATATCCACCTTGACCTCGCCAATATGCCGATGGCCATGTAAAGTCCTACTCATAACCACGACCTGCCTCTACTACATCACTGACACTTCACTTTACTTCAAGGAACCGCGCACTCTCCATCCGGTCGCGCCGAGACCGCGAAAGCACGAGCGGCCGCCACCGCTTCAGCATCTCGACCTTCCGCGGAATCCAAGCGCCCGAACTAAGCCGCCGCCTAAGCCGCCTGATCAAGAGCGAGAACAATGCGATCGGCGCCTACGAAGCTGCCGGCCGTGAGCGCAGCTCCATCGCCGCCCAACTCTCCGACTGGGGCGAGTCTACCGAGGACGATGCCATCTCCGACATCTCCGACAAGCTGGGCGTCATGTTGGCCGAGATTGGCGAGCAGGAAGACCTCTATGCGCAGAATCTGGAAGACTCACGTGGCGTCTTGAAGCATATTCGGAATATGGAGGCGTCGGTTCAGCCGTCGCGGGACCAGCGCCAGAAGGTCACGGATGAGATTGCTAAGCTCAAGTACAAGGATCCTAATAGTACTCGCATTACCACTTTGGAGCATGAGCTTGTTCGTGCCGAGGCGCAGAATTTGGTTGCTGAGGCGCAGTTATCGAATACTGTATGTTGAAAGATTGAGATTGAGATTGAGAGCTTCTTTCTTCTGCCTATTATCCGGGCTGGTGGTTATTTATACCACATTTCTTGCACGACTGACGGCTAACTGATATCTTTCCTCTCCAACAGACTCGGACAAAGCTCAAGGAAGCATATGACATCCAGTTGGCTGCGACAATTGAGCGCGCGGAGAAGCAAATCATCCTTGCTCGTCACGCCCGCCGACTGCTCAACTACATCGACGACAGCCCCGTCGTGCCTGGTGATGCTCGTCCCGGCTACGAACATGAACAGGAAGCACGTCAAGTCCTCGAGGATGCGGAGACCGATCTCCGTGCATGGGAACCGAGTGTCGAGCCTATTACTTCTGCAGCCCGTGGCGCCAGCCTGTCGGAGCAAGGAGAAGCTGCCAGCGTGACCAACGGTGACTCCATGGTCAATGATCTGCCATCGGCCGCGAAGCAGATGGAGGAGCCCCAGTCGGCCAAGACCGAGGCCGAACCCGTCCCTTATTAGTGTGACATATCTGTAACTAGCTATATTGTGGTTTGCTGTGTAAAGTGGTGAATCGGGGAAACCAGGGAAATTAGGCAATCGGGTCGCGTTTAATATGGCAGGGTGTCAGGCAGTGCAAATTGATGGGAAGAGGTGAAACCTGTATTTTATTTTATTCAATTCAATTCGAGGATCGTGGATAGTTCCAATAATTGTATTCGTCGAATGACTGCAGATGTTGTGTGAAGTTGTAGTTGTAGTTATAGAAGCTGTGCACTGTGATGAGTCCACGTGACCACAGGCGGCCGAGTGACGACGCGGAACTCCCAAAGCTCGGAGCTTCCATCGCCGCCCATCATCAACTCCCTCCAACTCCCTCACTCCTCTCACATTACCGCCCATTCGCCTCGTTCCTCCCCCTTCATATACGCACATCATGGACAAGCTAGTCGCCCAGTACTCGCGTTCCGCCCACCAGAATGAGTTCTACTCCGAGCAAGAGCAACAGGACCTCAACGAGAGCCTCCCTCCGCTCTCTCTCAAGTTCAGCATGCCCCCTATCGACAACGTGAGTTGCTGCCCAGATACAACAAGGCGAGGGTTCATATTCTTGCCCGATGACAATGCGACCGAGATATCTTGTCCGGCCCATTGTCATCCCAATCCCCATAGCTTCAGCGATGCGGCAAAGGAAGCTAGCTCGAAGCAATCAGCAATACCAGCCGCCCATCTACAATCATGAATTTGAAGCTAATTAAATTCTCTCCCTCTGATACAGTCTGCTTCTTTCCTTCGCGCTATGACCGATGACCACGCCAACCCCAGCTGTCCCATCAAGATCGCCCACGGCACAACAACCCTGGCTTTCCGATTCCAGGGCGGTATCGTACGCTCACCCCGAAACGAAACACAGTCCTTGATAAGCGGAGATGATGAACTAACGGATCTTTTGCACAGATTGTCTGCACCGACTCTCGAGCAACGGCCGGAAACTGGATCGCTAGTCAGACTGTCAAGAAGGTTATCCCGGTGTCACGGTTGAGCCGTGGTGAGGACAAGCCTAGTAATGAGCCTACGCCAGGTCTGCTGGGTACTATGGCTGGTGGTGCAGCTGTGAGTTTCATTCTTCTATTGATGCGAATGATGGCATCGTCCATGTGACGATAGCCAGCGACAATTGTGTAGATCTGTGCTAATCTATCTCTTCACAACAGGATTGCCAATATTGGCTGCGTTATTTGAGTCAACAGTGCACTCTTCATGGTGAGTTTACCATATCCCAGGATGACGGAATTCCCCCTCGAAAACGAGCAGAGCTAACCGCATCATTGCGCAGAGATCCGACACAAGCGCCGAATCACCGTTGCCGCCGCTTCCAAAATCCTCGCCAACCTGACCTACGCTTACAAGGGCTACGGTCTCAGCATGGGAACCATGCTTGCTGGTGTACGTTCTATATCTCCCTCAAACATCCCAACACCCCCCCTTGTCCAACCACCTGCACCACGCCAAATCTCCATTCCTCCTACTAACACTCCGCCCAGGTGACCCCGCAAGAAGGACCCGCCCTTTACTACATCGACTCAGACGGCACCCGCCTCCCCGGCAACCTATTCTGTGTCGGATCAGGACAAACATTCGCCTATGGTGTCCTAGACGCCAACTACAAGTACGAACTGACAGAGCAAGAGGCGCTGGATCTGGGCCGCCGCGCCATTCTCGCCGCCATGCACCGTGACGCTTACTCGGGTGGTTTCATTAACCTTTACCACGTCAAGGAGGAAGGATGGGTACACCACGGCTTCGACGATATGAACCCCATCTTCTGGAAGACTAAGCTTGATAATGGCGAGTTCTCCAATGTCACGTCTGAGTTGTAGGGTTGTGGCGTGCTGTTATGAGGATAGGATAGAATCTTGTATTATTGATTGCAATTGAGATTCTCTTTCTGTTAATGGAATTATAATGTTCACCTGAGTTGCGGTTTTATATCAAGTTTCTTGCGTCATTGTGTCATTTTAGTCATCTCTTTTCAAACGTAGATTTCGTACTGTGCTGATAGTTTAGAATAATTCGGAGGTCTACTTTCGGTATCTGTTGAATGCCCAGGTGCATTCCAAGGTTCCCTCCTACTGGTCATTTCATACTGTATCTCCGGAAAATCTGATCTTGCTTTTCCCTGCAGTAGACATATCTTAGCATCAGCTGATTAAATACTTTGGTATAAGTGCCGGGGTTCCATAAGGTGAGTCTGAATTCTAAGCTCTGCCCAGATGGCTTTCAACAAGCAATATATATAACCGTGCTCTTCTTTCGGCCTGAAGCGTTAGGCCGTGGGACCAAGGGCTGGCAGTTTCAAAGACTGAATGTCCATCATAGTGCATCGTGGGCAATTCAGTCAGTAAACGCACTGGAGTCATTTGTACCTAGGTATTAGTTCAAGCGTAGTAGAGATATCGCTTGTCATACGCTGCTCGGAAGTAGTGCCGCTGTTTGGCTCCGATAAGATGGAGTCGTAAGACTGGAAGATGATCAGAATGAAGTTGAAGCAAAGAGAGACAATGGGAAGTGAAGTATAGAGGGACCGGTGAACTTACAAGCCCTAACCTGACCCAGCGCTCGTGGACCGTGTCCACGGAAGTCCCTGCCATGCACCTCTGAAGTTCTCCAGCTCCGAGTTTTGGCACATGCCCAGGTGTACTATATACCATCACGCAAGAAAGTAAAAGGTACTGTGCTCTTTTTTTCTTTATGATTAAATCAATACACGTAGTGACCATTGCCACCGCTGTTCTGGTTCTGGATCCCCGTGTGAAATAGCACCTTCTCATCTATGAATTGGATCATAAGGACACTGTCATCAATGGGGAGATTCTGCAATCACTCCGTGATGACCTTCACAGTAAATATCCAGACTAGTCAGAACCATTCAACATGACAATCCCCCCAAATTGCAACCCTAAAAGACAAATAGTAGGAAGCCGGACGTTGAAAAGGCTCCAGCCCCAAGACAAGCCTCCAGTATGTGACATTGATCGGTATTTTGATGATTCTCGGATTGATGCTAGTGATATAGAAGATCCAGATTGCCGCTAATTATGTGACTGGCGGAGGGATCATAGTCAAAAGGACTTTTCTAGGATGGATGCTGCTGCTACCTACCTAGATAGGGATTACATACTAGTAGTAGCAATTCCAGCCTCTGAATCAAAATGTCTATTGGGCCAGCTATGCAAATTGAGCCTCCCGAGCAACGGCTCAAATTGGACGCTGTTCTAGATGCAATCGATAAGGAGATTCAAGAGTCACCAGAGCCATGAAATGTACTTGAACTTGCTGTATTGGAAAGAAATAGTTTGATCTAATCTAGAGTTCACGTCCGGAGGCCGGGGACACACGCCAGAGCATTAACTAGTTGGTATCCTGATATACAGGCATAGTCAGTCCAAACTTCTATACTAGTTAGTATCTAGGTCCTTTGAACTCAGATAGTTCAAGTTCCTCATCCATAAAACAAGTATATTAAGGTTCCCTCTACACTTACCTCTCTCCTATGTATTGTGACGAATCCAAAGAAGCAAAACAGACCTCAATTTAGCGGTTATACTTCATTGGGTGTTTCATCCAGGGGTTAATAGTACTATGGTAAATGACGCTTGCCAATGATGAGCGTGATGGAGTCCGTCTGGCCGCGAATCTGAATTTGAACTCATCAACTCAATACTTCAAGTTCCTAAACTTGAACAAGAAAGAGATAGGACTCAACGAGAATTTGAAATCAGACGTAAAATCATCATTTTATGAAATCTAGTAGTAGAGCTGGTTCCTCCGGTCTATCACTTGTATAGAAGCAATATGTGCTTTCAGAAATATCATCCTCCTCTTCCTCTCCCGTACTACCTCACATATCAAGCAACTCTATTAATCGTATTCCCAACAAACCACTCCTCAACCGTCCTCTTAACACCAGCCTGCAAATTCTCCAACGTCCTCTCCGCAAACCAGGCAAGATGGGGACTAAGCACAAGATTCAATCCATCATTCTCGCCCTCCAACAACGCCGAATCCCCCCTCCCAACCGGCTCATTAGCAAAGACATCCAAACCAGCCCCCGAAATCTCACCCGCTCTCAAAGCCTCAACCAAAGCCCCCCTCATCCACAATGCCCCCCCCTCGCAACATTAATCAACAAAGCCCGCCGATCCATAATCCCAAACTCGGCCACCGAAATCATATTCGCCGTCTCCGCCGTCCGCGGACAACAAAGCACCAAAACAGTCGCTCTCCTCAACGCCTCCTCAAACAACACCCTCCCAGCCCTCGCCTCCAGAACCCCCCTTCTCTCAGCAACAATAACCTCCATCCCCAACCCACGCATCAAAACGCCAATCCTCGCCCCAAGAGCCCCATACCCAATAATACCAACAACCTCCTGAGAACAAAGCAGCGGCGCACCTCCATCTGCCATCTTCATCCCATCCTTCAACGAACCAGTCTTCTTCCACTCCTCCCCACCACGCACAACCCCACTTAACCCAACAACCTTCCTCCTCAGCGCAAAGTAAAGACCAACAGCATGCTCGCTAACGGAATCAATATTCGTGCCGGGACAATTGCAAACGGGGATCTTCCGCGCGCGCGCAGCATCCAGATCAACACAGTCCGTGCCCGAGGCTAGGATCACGATTAATTGGAGGCGGGGCGTTTTGGATGAACTGAGGATATCTGCGTTCAGGCGAGTTGTCGTCGTTATGATTATTGTTGCGTCTTTGACGCGGGAGGACAGTTCGGATGGGTTGGTCCAGTTGTGGACTGTTCTTTTGTGCGGGATGGCGAATGATGGGATTGGGCAGTGGATTGCTTCTACTGCGACGATGTGGTGGTTTGCCTCTGGTGATGGGGAGTTCAAGCTCATTGTTGTGGATGTGGGTATGGCTGTGCTGTGTGGTGTTATGATTTGAGATTCAGATTCCAGGGAGGATTGGGAGAGAGGAATTGAATTGATTGAATTGTTTGCGAGGTAAGGGGTTTGGTTGACTGTGGGTTTTGTTGATAAAATGAGTGGGATTTTGTGAGATTCCGCGGATAGCCGAGAAGAGCGTTTATCTGGGAGCTGATTTAGATTTAATTGGGTCAAGTTAGAAGGATGTTTCCATTTTGTTGTGAGTTGTGGACTATGGGATGTACTAGATGGATATAATTTTGCCCCCGCACGCCCTACCGGTGACAATCAGGCCGAGCGGGGAAAGTGGGGGGCACCGAGATAATCCATAGAAGAATCGTAGGAATCGAATGGAAAGGCGAGCTACTAGTAGCAATGAGGTTGATTTCTAATCTAGAAGAAATGTAAAAAGAGGTCTTTTACCACTCTGATAAATGCAGAGAACTCGTGGCATTCCGCTTGAAAGATGAGTACCAGTGCTACCGGCCAGGCGGGTATACCGCTGACAAATTGAAGCCTGGGAAACAGATCTGAGTAGGTATCCGGAGCTCATTTAATCCACCTGGGCAGCTTGTGGTCGACCGCGAGTTGGATTGAGATTTAATTTCCTCTACGTTAGTATGATTTTAGCCCTATCATGTTTTTAGATTATGTAGCCATAATTCTGATCCTTATTTCATCCAAGGCAGTTTGGCCGAGTGGTCTAAGGCGATTGACTAGAAATCAATTCTCTTCGGAGGCGGCGGTTCAAATCCGCCAGCTGTCGCACAAATTAACTTTTTTCTTTTTCTTGTAATCAAGATCATTTTTGGCAAAGTTTGAGAATAATGACGGTTTATCAGCAATATACGTGCACCGAGGTTAGGTTGTGTCAGTAATAATGCCCTAGACATCCTCTGCGACACTTCCCAACTCTAAATCAGCATACTATACTAGTATACCCTTCGAATCTTAATTTAATACTACTACCGTTGCAGACCCTTTGAGCATGCAAATGTTACATTTCCAGGGTGAAAAAGGTCTCGAAAGGACTTCAAAAATTGTAAGAAGACACCGTGACGCTGCAACTGCCTCCTACCCTGCGAGTCTGACAAACAACCGTAGGCTATTCGAGCAAGGCCACACGTACTAACCATGCGAGTCTCCCATGCGAGTCTAGACCGGCGGAAATGAATCAAACTCCGTTAACTAGTAGTAGTACCCGCCTGTCAAATCGCTTTGGCGTTACTAGTAGCAGAGCAACAAAACTCCGTGGCTAGACTACAGCCACAGGCCCACTAGTACACAATTGCACGATTACAAACTCGAAGACGAGGGGTAAATGAAAGACAAAAAATAGGCAGTCGTGCTAGGTATACAAGTTGACATTCTCGACTAAAATCCAGGCGTGAATCGATCATGCATGTACTATATTACAAAGTTTCCCCAACAGCCATACCAGGTAAGTCTCGAGACGAATGGTGCAATGACAGATTCCCAACACCACCCATTCCATCAGCATGGTAATTCCAGGCGAGCCGAGACAGCTCCGGACCGCGATCTGGGCGAGGGGTAATTTATTTCAATTTGATTCCACTATGGAGTACTATACTAGTAGGTCGATTCCGTCGGATCGGATGTGATATTGATTACGATGCAATGGGATGCTTCTTCCATGTTGTGGGCATGCGGTGTTCAAGTTGAAGAGTACACTTGTTGTCCAACCGGCGAAGAGTGGGGGTTACATCTGCGGATCTCATTTGGCGGTACCGAGTACTCTGTACGTACTAGTACTCTGTAGGCTCTAGCTCGGATGAAGAGAGAAGGGATTTTGATCCGGTCGGGCAATATCTGAGGTGAGCGATCTTGCTTGTATGCAGATGCAGATATAGATGTAGATGTAGATGTAGATGTAGATGTACAGTACGGCACGACTATTGAATCATGGGGAGTAATAGATTGATAATATGACGAATTTCCATGTATATGTGAGTATTAATACTAGCATGATAGATGGAGGCCAAATAATTAATAATCAGACTGTTATGTACAATAGTCTTGGCTTATCGAGTTAGGGTCGATGGGTTGCCGATCGCGGAGAGGCGCTGATTGGTCGAGGAAGCGATCTCCAGTCACTCTGCAACAATTCAGATCAAATTGTCGTGTGAGCCGGGTCTAACTTGGGGTTTGATCGGCAGGGTTCGGTGATCTCATTGAAGAAGAAAAAAAATGACAGCTGACGAGGCCGTAGCCACCAGGACCAGAAAATTGTCTGTCATGGCTGCCAGTGTGAGCGAATCGCCGGGATCGGGCGCGGTCAACAGCCGAGGATACAAAAATTTGCAGGTGATAACCAGGGAACAGTCGGCGGCCCCTTTGCCTCACCCGGGTCAACCAATGAAGAGATGTGTAAGGATATTCTGGTGTGCTCCCCGAGTCCCCGACCATGTGGATCTGACGTAGGTGCAAAGGGCAGTGTTTGCACCTACTGTATTCTCAGAGCAAATCACTGGCAGTACTCCGTACTCCTCTGCACTCCGTACTTTTTACTCCGTCGGCAAAGTACAGTTGGGCCCGCCACTCTAAATGGTAGCCGTACCCCATGGTACCGAGTACATTTTCAGTACTCTGTACGCAGTGCTAGCAGTGTTTCCACTGCTAGCTGAGACAGTGCACAGGTCCGATCCAGTCGGAGACAGTACAGTGAAAGTGCGGTGCGACCGGGCGATTCTCTCTAAGGTTCTCACCGAGTGCTGCGCTGCCGTGCGACCTGTCAAGAGGGAGAGGAGGGGATACTCTGAGAAGCGATTCGGACCGACGATGCATCAACAATCGGATAGCTGGGCTAGTACTAGGATGGGCTAGTAAAAACTGTTATAGTGGGTTAGTGGAGCGGCGACATCATTCCTAAGAGAGTAGGTGTCCACTGTAGTCTAGACCTCATGATCGGCAGCAGATGTATCGAGAGTTTGATCGATATAGTGAATGTGAATATGAATGATAAAAGTTAAAGATGAAAGAGAGAAAGACATAAAGAGGTGAAAGAGAAGTTCAACATCAAGGATGAAAGAGTAGCTCGATAGTATAAGTGCATACAGTATGTGTAAGTCTTGTGTAGCCGTTGGGGTTAGCCAAAGAGGGGAAGCCTTCCAGACTGTTCTCTTTTGCCTCTGGGTTCTTACTAACCCTGAAGAAGTAAGAGTTATACCCAATTTAGTTAGATTTAGATCAACAACCATGGAAACTAAAGACTGTCAACCACCGGAACCCAACGGAGAACCAAAAATCCCCAAACAAAGAAGTGACTAACGCTTTTAAGATAGCCTTTTGTCTTTGGCTCTTTTGACTCTTGGTGTATCGTGACCTCAGCCTATTCTTCTTTCCCTTCTCCACTACTTTATCACTTCCACTTCCACTTCTACTTCACACACCTCACACCTCACCTCCATCACCCCTCCATCACCCCCCCCATCACCCTCCGTCACACAACGGGGATCCCCTGTTGGGCACCGGCCCGTTTTCCGATTGCGCACGAACGGCTCTTTTCTGCCCAGCCAGCCTGTCTACCAGACTGCTCAGTCCGTGTTTGGCCCACCACTCGTGCGCTGGCCTTGTTTCTTTTGCCTCTCCCATTTCCTTCCCTTCCCATCACACCGCCACCTCGTGGTGACTCAACATTTGATAAGAGTCCCGTTGCCTGCTCCCCATGCTGGTCGTCACCACGCCTCTTCTCCATTCCCAATCCCCGCGACGCCCGCAGGCCTCGCTCCTTGCGCCATGCCTAAATCTACCCATACCGATCCGCGACACTCGCTCGACGCCCTGGACTCTCCTGTCCTCTCAAGCCCGCTTTCTCCGTTAAGCCTCAATACCTCCGCTCCCGCCTCACCCGCCATCTCCCTCTTCTCCGCTGCCGCCCACGGCCACAACCGCGTCTCCAGCTCCGTTTCCTCTCTCGTCTCATCTACTGGTCTGGGAAACTCCATCGACAACCCGAGTCGGAGTCACCTCACTGGTGTTAAAGAGGAGGAGTCTCTACGCGTGACTCGCTGGAAGATAGCTATTTCCGTACGTCCTCTTCACTTCTGCCTCAAATCACATATGACTCAAACTAACCCCAACCCATCTAGAGCACTTTGATTGCAACATGTCAACCCCCGCCGACGAGGCCTATTTCCCAATGGACCGACCGGACAGCTATGATCTTACAGATAGTGGCGTGGGCATGGACCTGCAATTGCGAGAGAAGCGTGGGTCAGATACCCCATCGATGAAGGGTGTCTCGCGCATCGGCTCCCACATCTCGACCATGTCAACTCGTTGGAAATCCAAACGAACTTCTGGAAGCCCAGAACGCGATGTTTTTCCAGACGATCTCCGCTCGCGCGCCAACTCAGCCGCTTCATCCGCTTTTGCTAGCCCAGTCGTTATTCCCATCAGTCGAATCGACTCAATCCCGCCATCGCCCGCTCGGACGATCTTTGAGGAGCGCCTCAGCGAATCAGGCGCTCGACCAATCGACATCGCCCACGCCAATAGCAATGGCCTTGGCCAGGACGACAACGACACGCAGCAAGCCACCACCCCACTGCTTCCCCCCTTCATGGGTGACGACCCTACGAGCGTTGTCGCCTCACGCGTCCAGTCCCCGCTCCAGTCCCCTTCCGTCGCAGACGTGAGCGACAGCAGTCTTCGCTGCAGCGTGACCTCCAACTTCCGCATCGCAGGAATGGGAGTTCCATCACCCCCACTCTCCTCAAAACCATCTCTCGCCTCAATGAGCCGCCCCCGCGCTAGCACATTGCGCACTGTCTCCGGCGACGCCAGTCCAGCCCCATTCACCCTCTCGTCGCCAACCGACGAGTGGGCCAATAAACTCGGCCACGCGAACTTCACCATCGTCCCGGAACCATACGTCCCCGAGATGAGAGACATAGATTCCTTCCACCAGCTACGCGCAGATTGGGACACGGCACGCTGCAATTTCGCAAAGCACCTCGTTCGCACGGGCGAGCATTACGGCGTTACTTCGAATATCCACAAACTCACCGTCTCGAAATGGGATTCCATCAACCTAGCCTGGAAATCCGAGCACGAGGCTCTCCTCGCTGATCTCGACGCTGAAGATCGCGTCGCCCTTACGCTTACCCAGAACCCCAGCCCCGTTGAATCAGTCCGCATTCCCCGACTCCACGATAACGACAAGTTCCCCGAAATGGGCGACGAGGATATTGTGGGTCCGATGAGTGTCGCACCGGCTGGACCTTGCGGACCCAAGTCCATCAAGAAGAATTTCTTTCGCTTTTTCTCAGACCTCGTTTCGAGGACTTGATGCTCCGCTTCGTTCGCATCACTCTTCATTTTCCTCACTTCATATCGTCTCATCAATACCCCACATTTCCACGCCAAATAATGACTATAGACACGGCGCAAAGAAAAAAAAACACAGACCAAAGAACCAGAAAACCAAACGCCGCTTACGATTAATGCCTCATACGACTCACGACTTACGATTCGGGTACCACATACCTTAGCGACTACTTACTCGCGCCCGATCATGCCTTTCCTTAAGATGTCCCGAGTCTCGTGACTTCCGCACTTCATTCCACTTCATTCATTCCTTATATTACCCATCATTGGTTTCACTATTGCAGGACTATCGTCCGTCCATTCCTTTTTACCATATACCCATCCATGTATCCCATAGAACATAGCTGCAGCTGGAGAGCTGGGCTGAGCGAGCCTTATTGATTAACTTCCATCCGTGGAGGACGTCGTGTATATATTACTTGCATCATTCTACTACTCATACCCAGTGTATGAATTAGATATTGCATTCTGATTTCTTCAACAAACGCACAACTAGTAGGATCCCAAGGTAATTTCAAAAGTACCCATGGACCTAGTAGGTACAAAGTGACTCATCAACCTTCGAATGTGAAGGTGAAGTCCCATTAAATGCTTGGGTAGGTATACATCAAGCTAAACCCACTCTAGTCCCAAACAAGCAAGAATCAGCACACAAAACTTCAAGTTGAACAACGAGCATAAACCACAGCCAATAAACCAAGTACATTCTCATCAACCTCGGTAGGTCAATCATAAATTAAGCTTGGAAACTTAGCTCGAACTCAGGCTTCCATCCGTACCGAACCACGTGGACCGCCAACTCACTGACCCCTTCGTCCCTTACAGTCCCGCCACGAACTCCAGTCCACTCCAGGCACACCTTTGCGATTGGATCCAGCGCAGCAAGGTACCCACACCACACAACAGCGGTAAAAGAGATGTCGGGCTTGGTGGGGGATTCTTGCCGAGTCACGGAGGACAGTACCCAGGGTGGATGTTTCGTGAACAAGTGAATGTCTCCGACAATGCGCTTGTGTGCTTCGTGTCTGCATCGCTATGCCGAGAGTTTGGTTTACATTGCGATGATTCAGACGTGCCAAGTTCAAGTTAGGTCCTTTCTATAGATAGCTGCCTGAGATTCCGAATGTACCTAGTGTCTGGGTCGCAATTATGTATAGTCTTTTGTTCTCGGGCTGGGATGATGGGAAGGTATAAGCCTGAGTACTGAGAGGTACTTTTTTCCTGGCACCGATCTGACGAATGAGGTAGAGGTTGTCTTAGAAGGTTCCTGGATTATGTGTCATTTTCGATATTCATTAGGTATGTAATCTTTGAGGAGAGGGTTCTGCAGGGCGCCTGAGACGGGTTCATGGTATGGCTCGTGTGGCTTGAAAGTACTCTTGAGCAGAATATTCGATCTAGACTCGTCTCGGATAGATTTCAGAATGCCTGATGCTAATATCATACGATATAATGATGTTTCACTTTATTGATGACCCAAGGCGAGGTACACGAAGTATTACTACAGCAGGAGAGTATAATGAAGATTACATGCATATTAACAGACGGAAATATAGCTATATTCAACAACTATAGCAAATACTATTAATAGTAGCAAGGAGCAGTCACAGTACCTATCAGCACCGCCTAGGCACCACGGCAAATACCCATTATTGCTTTTTGCTAAGAGCAGGCATCAAAGCCCCCGCGGGAGGCTCATTCTTCTTCTTGAACTCATCACACATTTGTTCCATTGTCACCCACTCTACACCCTCATGCTTGTTGATGTACTCGATGATCCTGCACAGTATCAGTCAGCAAATTATATCAAAATTTGAATGTTTCAGCCAGTGCCAAGACCCGAGTCGGCTGTCTCTGCCTCCGTCTCTGTCTGTCTCACCTTTCATGCATAAGGAGCACATGAGGTCTCCCCAAAACATCCGGATGAATCGTCATAGGAAAGACAAACTCATCATACTCACGATAAAAATAGTCAAAGTGATCCTATCATCCAATCAGCCAACAAAACACCAAAAGGCCTCAAAGATAATGGCAGAAATTCCAATTAGAACCATCCAGTCCCAACACGATACCCCTCCAACAACCCCAAACTGGATCCCTCCCCTCCAAAAAAAGAATTGAAGAAAAAAGAACTTGCAAAGAACTGCAACTAAACTCACCTTCCAAATATCCTCCACATCACGCGGATTAACCCACCCATGACTATTTGCCGAATTCTTGATAAACATCATCGGCGGCAAATCATCAATATACCAACTCCCCGGAATCTCCACCAACCCAGTCATCTGGCCCCTCACCAGTGGCTTCATCCACGTCTCCGCCTTCTGGCTATAATCAATCTTAGTCCACGAGTCACCCGTTCGTAACCAGTACATCTGACAGTCCTCATGAGACATCGAATGATCGTACTCGATCCCGTACGCAAGTAACTGCTCCACCATCTCGGCACTAGCCTCCCACCACGGCGCAACCACACCACGCGGCGGCTTGCCGCAAAACTCGGTCAGCATGTTGTAGGTTTTGTCTCAGGATATCGCGCTGCTGTTCTTCGCTCATGGCGGCGGGATTCTCGTGCGAGTACCCGTGTAGTCCGATTTCGTGGCCTGCGTCGCGGACGGCGGCGCATTCGGTCGGGAATGTTTCGAGGGAGTGGCCTGGTATGAACCAGGTTGCTTTTATGTTGTATTTTTCGAAGAGTTTTAGCAGGCGCGGGGTGCCGATGTGGCCGGCCCAGAGTCCTGGATTTTGTTCACGTTAGTTGTTGGGTTGACGGGGGTCGGAAGGGGAGCGCGACTTACCTCGACTTATGTCGCTGACGCTATCTTCGCCGCCGTATGAGCCGAGCCAACCGGCGACGGCGTCGATGTCGACGCCGTAGCTGACTAGGACGCGCTTCTTGCCCATTTTTGCTATTTGTGGTGAGTGGGATTTGGGAGGGCTGTGGAGGGTTGCGGCGGGAATTTATAGACTGTGAAAGAGGGATGAAGAGCTGTGTTCGAATTGGATTTTTGGAATTATGGGTGGTTCCTGGATATCTAGTTTTATTAGAATATTTTAGAGATAGCGTGAGGAGGAATTGAGGGGAAGCTGCTACGGTAATGTTATCGAGAGTACTATCCCCCATCATTGTAGTACAGCAAAAGTGGGGGTCGTTCCACTCTGGCAGATCCCACTGCCGAGCGGACTACGTTGGATGAGGGCATTCGTTGACTGCCGCGGAGACAAGGAGAAGAATGGCGGCATTGGCTGGTGCAGACAGTCTGTTTTCTAGATTGTCAAATACCATGAAGCAACTTGTAATGGAAGAACCCTCAGAGAGCAATTTTTCTTTTTGAGTTTGGATATTGTTCGACGCTGTAAATGCTACTACATAAATCTTCGAAGATAGCTATGGTTTAAATTTGGGCAGATGCACAGGTACAGTGGCTTGGAAAGGGACTCGACCATCACCTACTTAGCCTACTATCTGAAATGAGTCCGCAGATTTCGAGAGCACTCGACCCAAACCTTGGTGAACCTCTACTTGAAAGGCTTCGAATGGATACCTTTCACCATCAACACTGATATCTCCATCTGGTTTCCAGGGCGTCAAACGATAGGCGGAAACCTTCCTCATTTCGACATCTTGGAGGTCATTGCATTTTCCCTGCGGAAGCTTCATAATTGCTTCTAGGGAGGCCGCCCATCCAATTGTATCGTCTATCATCATGATATCCAAAAAGCCATCATTTGGCTCTGCGTCGGGGAAGAAATTCGTATCCTTGGCGACTATCTTCATATTGCCGGTGTAGAAGCTGGCCAATCGCTCCCGGGGCATAATCTCCCAATCGTCAGGAACATCGTCTAAAACGGTACCATATTGAAGAGGAAGACTGGTGGGATAGTTCTGAGGTTTCGCCGAAATCTTCTTCTCAGCATTCTTGCTCGCCTCTCCACCCGTCGGCTTAAAAGCAAGTTGGCAAGAATACTTAGTATTCTTAGCAATTGTAGCAAAAACCCCATAAATGAACCGAGTATCCCCCATCCACCGCAAATGCTCAGTCTTCAAATCACAATCAGCCAGAACACCCAGCGCCTGAGACAGAAACGAAACACTATGCCGCGTCCCCTGCGTAATAGAAACCAGATCCAAGGGCATCTCCACCCCCTTCACAATTCCCAGCGCAGCCAGCGAAGGATCATCCGTACCATAGAGATTCCAAGCCATCGCATTCCCCGAGCCGCAGGGTATCATAGCAACAGCCATATTCGACAGCGCCTCGACAGCATCAGACCGTCTTGCCAGCCCATTGAAAACCTCATACGGCAACCCGTCGCCGGAACAACATACAATAGCATCATATGCATCAAGAGCGATATTCTCAGCTATCTCGCCCGCGTGGCCTCGATACCGCGTCTCCTCAACGTCGATCTCACAGTGTGCAGCTCCAAAGATCGGCGCGGCAAATTTGCGGAGTTTCGTCAGTGCTGAGGCGCAGAATGGGTTGACGAGGACTTTTAGCCTCTTGCTTCGCTGTGCTTGGCCGTATGCGTGCGAGAGAAGATTTTCTGTCCAGAGGGTGACTTGCTCTTTTTGTCCTGCAGTGATTGGATAGTGCAGGGCATTTATTGGTGCTGTTGAGTTCAATGACGGACTTTCTCTGTCGAGGTAGGTTATTGTGAGACCATCTTGGGCGATATAGGCGTTCAAGATGGAGTGGAAATCTATAGTCTTGGGCCCAGGCACTACGAGAGAATGTGAATAAGCATGTTCAAGTTTTTATGGGGCTGGGAGTGAGATTATTGCCATCGATGGAATGAAGGAATATCTTGGATTGAGTGAGTTGAATACCTTTTTTTGAAAGTAATCCGCAGCAATATCGCGTCGTTCTCTCCTTGTCGGCGACGTCATCTGCGATGGCACCCATGTTAAGCTAGCCCCAGATTTACAGGAATCCGTAATATAGCACCCCGGGTATGACATACTGGTTATCTTGAGCGAAGTCTTGTTAAGCGTGAGAGATATAGACTCATCAACGCTGAATGTTTTGGAAGGGTGAAGCGGGTCCATGATGTCAACGAATTAAAACTGGCGCGCCTGCGACAAGCTGCTGCGAGCTGGTTAGATGATTCAGAGCGAAGGCGCTGCTCTTGTGTCAATGTATCGATTTTCCTACCCAACTCGTTGGAACTAAGGCAATAAACACGCGGGCCGTGATGCAGTCAGGAGAGCGAAGAAGCCGGGGAAGCATGGGGCCGATTCCTATTGGACACGCAATCGTTGGAATTTGTGGCCTCAGGCAGAAGTATCTTGTCACGTGACTAATAGCTAACATTTAGCCTGATTCAAATATCGGGAGGAAGATGGATAATCGAGGGAAAAGCAAGGATAAATAATATCCATTTGACTTCTAAGTTTCTGATTTCTTTAACTCAATGTACTCTGCAATTTATGAGGAAATTGAAAAATACATGACGCCCGGCGCACCTGAGTGTCAACTACTTATACTTCGGAACGATTTTCTTGTCTCAGTAATCGTTGCATGATGTATTTATTATCTTACTTGGATTTGTGGCCAACAGAAATATCGGAGAAGTTTTTTAAACACGTTTAAGTTACTGCTGGTTACTAGTATCTACTAGTCACGATTTGATTGGCAAGGTGAATTCATCGACATGAAATAGATTCTACCAAGTCCTCGTTGCTCTCGCTTCCTCGCGCACAAACATAACACCATATGCAGATGATCCCATGATTCTATCACATACTTCCATGTATATACCGTCTCCGAAAATTCTCGTAAGATACAGTCCACATTCAGCCACGCAGCTATTCACAACGCACCGTGTCCATGTGTTTCAAAAGGCAATGCAATACTCAATCCACCGACCACCACCCAAAGAGCGGCACTCACATAGATCGGAGCACTACTGAAGCCCGTCTGTGATGAAATCAGGCTTGCCACCAGTCCGCCCAAGCGGAGAAGTGCAGCGGCGGTACCGTAGCCAGTACCACGATGAGGCGCAGGGAATGATTCCGGAGTAAAGGCGTACATCACAGCATACTCTGTTTTGTGTTAGTCCCGGGCGCTATCTTTCATCGGGAATTTCTACTTACCAAAATTTGCTAGTAGACTGGTGACACAAGAGAAGGCCAGGCTGGAGGTAGGGGTGTTGACGCCCACATAGGCGAAGAGAAACACACCCGTGACTGCGGCCGAGATTCCCATCATCCATCGACGACCGAGCCTTGTGTTCACACCAACAGCGGCGGACAGCGGTCCCACAATCCCAACAGCTGACACGATACAATAGTTGCGGTAGGTTAGACTGAGGGAAGAGTCCTGAGTAAACTTGGTGGCGAGGTATGAGGGAAGAAAATTGAAGTAAAGTGGATAAGCAATACCTGATCAGCTTTTATTAGAATTTGCAGAGCCATTTATTCAATTTTACTTACCAACTGTGAGCCAGATTGCCCAGATGATGAGAGTCTGCTGCGAAAGCTTTCGAGTTGCGAAGAGTGCCCTGAAGTGTTCACCTTTAAAGGCTTGCATAGTCTCTGCGAGAATCTCTTTCTTTGATAGTTTCGCTGCTTCGCCACCGTTCTCAGATAAATTGCCTAACCGGGCATCGATTTCTTGCATCATTCCAATTGTTAGAGGCTCGGGCTTTCCATTTTGCCTCGCGACGTAATTAACGGCTTCCACTGCTTCTTCATCTCTTCCTTGGGATAGTAAGTATCTTGGGGTTTCGGGAAGCTTGAATATGAAGAGTCGAATGAAAGTAAAGCACAGTGCCAGACCACCAAGAACAATCAGTGTATATCGCCTGTTAGACACATTGTCAGATCCGCAGATTCATCTAGGGGTTGCCACGTACCATCCCATATTATCTTGACGGCGACAAGTCTCAGGAGTTGCGTCGGTCGGACAGCTAAAGTTAGCCAGGAACACCCAGGCTATCAGCGATACCACTAGCTGGCTCATATTCCACCAAGCCGAAAGAGCCGTGAGAAGATATTGATGACTACAATGGTTAGAGGAGCATAGAATTTCTCGAGTGGAAAGAACTCACCTTCCAGGGACAAATTCTAAGAAAATCATGCAATCCACAGGCACATTACCCCCTGCGGCTGTACCAACAACAGCCCATAGACCACTGAATGCGATGAAGTTCATGGACCCCGCCGCAGCACAAAGAAAGGTTCCCGCAATGAGCAGTGTGAAGTTGAAAGCAGGTCGCCGACCGATTAGATCACTGGATGTGCCCCAGAATGATGCGCCCAGGATGAGACCAACGTAATATGCAACCGAACTATAGCTCACTTGAACGATGCCAGAAAATTCTTGTCGGATTGGAGGTTGAACACTGCCGATCCCTTGAGATGCAAACTGAGAAAGAGAGAGAGTAATTAGTACTGGATATAACGTTGGACAAGTGCTGAGAACCGACATTGTCAACTACCCATCCAAATCCAGTCACAACCCAAAGCTTCCACTGAAACCTTCAAGTTCAGAGGTTAGTATGTGCGAGCCATGATTGAATACACAATATGTACCTTCCCATCCCGATCTCCTCCATACACTGCCCAACCAACTCAGACTTGAGTCTGTAGGCCTGGGTGGTAGAGGAGCCATAGAATTGCTCAACTTCTCCATTGTCAAGAGGGATGACCTTCCCAGAATCCTCGTCTGCAGAAGAGCTAGCTTGCTGAGTATCTTTCTCTGTTGATCGAATATCGTCCATAATGCTAAGACTGATGATCGGCTTCGAAATATTGACCATCTCCCTGATCATCCCATCGTTTCATATACTCCTCTCTAGGGCTTGAACTTTTGCTTACGGGTGATGCCAGCCAATAATAGCTGACTAGTTAGAGTATCCTTAGCCGATAGCAAAGGTGGGTTGACTTTGATACGAATCTAACGTCGACCAAAAACCCCCACTCTTGAATAATACAGTGGTAGAGAGTTCAATGACGTTGACACTTTTGTGCCTCGGAAAGGGGATGAGCTTGAATTATACAAGGGGAAGAAAGACATTTGAAATCAAAAATATGTGATAGTTTCAAGTTTTACGAAATGAGTAGTACGAGATAACGAGACATTGTCCAATAATGCAAATTGTTAAACAGTGCGTGGCATCATTCCATCCATCCATCTCTTGCATTCTGGTGGACCATTATGCGCCAACTGCAGTTACAGCTGGACCCACATCCACGTTCTTCGCTTGAAGTTCTTTCTTGTACTTCTCAGCGCGACCATAGCTATCCTTGTAAGCAGAGGTAACCATGTCTTGAACCGTGATCGGGGGGTATTTAGCGGATTCGCCCGGCTCTCGACAGTTTGGTAGGCACTCGCAGAGATAGTCTGGATTTCCACTAAAAAAGAATGGAATCGAGTATCTCTCCTTGCCAGACTTATTTATAACGCGGTGTGTGTTTGACTTGTACTTGTCGTTGGCCATGCGCATGAATAGGTCACCGAGATTAATCACGTATGCTCCAGGGGTAGGTTTGACCTATGTTATCATTCAGAAATTAGCCCAATCCCTAAAATCTGCAATTGATGAGGTACAAACATCGAGCCATTGTCCAGATGGAGCATCCAAGACTTGCAAACCATCAATTTCGTCCTGTAGTAGGAGAGTAACGCAGCCGAAATCTGTGTGCGCTCCGATTCCACGGTTCAGTTTCTCGTCCTCGTCTTTGGGCTGCGCAGGATAGTGCAGATATCGCATGGTCGCGACAGCACCTTCAGTAAGTGGCTCGAAGAAGCTTGACTCGACTCCCAGGGTAAGGGCCACGACACCGAGCACATCCTTCGCCAACTCAAACACAGCGTGGTAGTATTCCATGGTTGTTTTCTGGAACTCCTCCTTGTCGGAAACAGTCTGCGGCCATTGATTCGGACCACTATTCAACTTCTTTTGTAGGAAGTATGGATGGTCTTCTGGAATCTCTTCCCCAATGTATAGGCCTTCCTTGAGTTCAGGGCCGGTGCCCGCTTCGAGCATCTGTGATCGGAGGAGTTCGTAGCCGCGGTTGAAATTATTGTGATCTGCAGAGTCAGCGCGCTTCTAATCGGAGGCGGACCGATTTAGTTCTCACTTTTATTGATCTGTAGCTTTTCCTCCAGAGGTAGGTTAAAGAAGCGCTTCGAGCATTGCATCACGCGTCGCTGCAACTCCAATGGCACGCGGTGGCCAGTAATTTGGAAGAATCCATTATAGTGGCAGCACTTCCGCACTTCCTCCACTAGCTTTGCCTTGGCCTCGCTGTCATTACCATAGAAAGGAGAAAAGTCCAGAATTGGGGGTGCAGCTGAAGTGGTCATTTTGTCTGTTCGAAAGTCTCAAGGCGATGTTATTTCGGGAGAATTGGATTTGAGCTGCTCAAGTCCGCATCGCGCCCGAATATATGATCAAGAACCGCAAAAAAATGTCATCATCTCCAATTCTGATCGGACAGAATGCCGAAGGGCTGCCCAGGCGCGACATGATCAAATGCCAGGTGATTTGGAGTTGACATCCGAGTCATAAATGAGGGTGGGGGTCCCGTCAAAGATGGGGGAAATTCTATCCAGCCCGTTTTCAGATAAGACGATCTGCGGGGAAGATTGTGGCGCGACAGGGGTTGTTATCTAGACTGTAATTAAAGAGGCCTTTGCTGTAGCAAAATACCAGTCTCAAACAAAGTAGCGTATTTTTGAAGCCTGAAGATACCCATGAATGGGGTGAGAGAGTCAGGTTGTACATACTGCGAGGTCCATGCAAGGGGGCTTTATAAGCATCCAAACGGTCCACGGATGGGTGCATTTTGTGCCCCTGACCAACAAACATCGTATTTTACCCCGAAAATGTCCACAGAAATGAAACAGACCCTGGCGAGTAAGCCGGCGGATGGTGAAGCCGGAGTAGGGCAAACTTCAGGATATGCAGACCTTGAAGCCGACAAGACATATCGTAAGAAAGTGGACTTCTGGGTTCTGCCGTTGTTGTGCTTGGTAATGCAGTTCTGCCATTCGTGTTGAAGTAAGAGACTAACTTATTGCAGATGTACTTTTTTGATTGCATGGACCGGGTATGTTGTTACTTGCTCAGCCGTGATGCTATACGATACTTACAAAATCAGAGCAATCTAGCAAATGCAAAAACGGACGGCATCGATGTTGACTTGAACTTCAAAGGAAATGATTACTCCCTCATTATCCTGATATTCTATATTCCATTTGGTCTTTTTAATTTACCATGGAATTTATTGATCAAACGCTATTCTGGGCGCTGGACGCTCTCCACCAGTGGGTCCATTTTATAACCTTACTCCACCGAAACAAAACTGACGGTTACTCTAAAAGTGTCCGTGGTATGGGGAATACTTGCATTGTGCCAGTGTGCAGCTAAAGACTTCGGGTCTCTTCTTGCGATAAGAGTCATTCTAGGCATATTTGAAGCGGGATTCTTTGCTGGGGCAACCTATTATTTAACGACGTTCTATACGCGCGGGGAGATGGGATTTCGACTGGCTATCATACAGTCATTTGCAGTGCTTGCCTCCGCGTTTAGTGGTCTAATATCATTTGGTGTATTCCAAATCAACAGTCCTACCGTCCACGGCTGGCAATGGCTTTTTATTATTGAAGGCTCAATGACACTGCTCACGGGCCTTGTGGGATTCGCCATCCTGCCAGACTCACCACAAACTGCATGGTTCTTGAATGACCGCGAGAAAGAGGCCGCGAGGGCTCGGCTACTACGTGACTCCTCATCAGAGATAGACACGGGCTTTAATCTCAAAGATTGCTTTCGATCGTGGAACGACTGGAAATTTCCGATTTGGTGCATTATTACCTTCACCTATCCTGTTGCCTATGCTACTGCGATGAATTTCTTCCCATTGGTAAGTCGCACCTATTCAAATGTTCTCGGCTTGCCTAATCCGTTTAGATCGTTCAACGCCTGGGATTTTCTGTCATAAAGACCAACCTTTGGACTGTAGCACCTAACCTTGTCGGCACGGTAGTTTTACTGTGTGTTGCGAAATCTTCTGATTATTTTCGCGAACGAACGTTTCATATTGTCTTCTCGCTGTCTTTGTCCCTGATTGGAATGATTATGCTCGCTGCTATTGATGTTCTGGAAAACAAAGCGGTCGCTTATTTTGCATGCTTTCTGATGGCAGCAGGTGCATACATCCCATCTTCTTTGGTTCATGCGTGGCACAACAACAACAATGTCCACGAAAACTCTCGCGCAGCTAATACGGGGTTCTTTGTGGGCTTGGGTAACCTAGCAGGAATTTTGAGCGCAGCCACATTTCGAACTGAATATGCACCAAAGTGAGATCTTCGCCTCTAGTTTTATGCAAATGGTTGCTAACAATATGACAGGTACATTCCTACTCTGGTCGCAACTTGTTGTTGTAATGCTGTATGTATCGTGTTTGTGACAGGACTCGGTCTCTGGATGCGCATTCAAAATCGACGACGAGATCGGGAACAGGGATCCAGATTGAGGGAGGGTCAGTTAGACACCAGTCAATTCAAGGAAGGCGAGGAAAGCCCCGAATGGCGATATTTCCTTTAGTTCAATTCAATTCTATTCGTACGATGGTATAGTTACCTGTTGGTATCTCGTTCACAAGGCATTGGTAATAATTAAACTCTCACTCCGCACTCCAATATTGTCTCGTCATTGAATCATCGCCATTGGCCGCTTAAGCTGCAACGACCCGATAAACAGGATGCACTAAGTTCAGAATCCTTGTAAGAAAGCACCAATCATGGAGTCTTCTCACAGGCGTTCCCCCGCATTCTTATCAGTGGAAAGTCGGTCTTTACTCCGGCCACTGCATTTATTGCGAAGCTCCCCAAATATCTGAGGGTTCGAATATATTTCGTTATTGGAGCGTTTCTGTATACTAATTATGAAGAATCATGCTTGCGACTACACTGGGTGTACCAAAAGCTTCACCCGCGCCGAACATCTTCGTCGCCATGCTCTAAATCATGACCAACCACGCAATGGGTTCACATGTGAGCGCTGTTCCGTACATTTCCAGCGCCCTGATCTTCTAGGTATGCTAGAGCATAGGCTATCCTGAAAAGTGTTGGTATTGACAACTCTAGCTCGACATATGGAGCGCCACACAAAACGAGACGCCGAAGCAGGTGGGCCTGGACTTGGGGTATTGAAGACTCGGAAAAGGACTCGCAGGGCTGGGGACGGAACGATAATTGTACGACCATCACAACGGGAAATGCGGTCGGCAGGACGTTCTACAATCTCTACTACAAGTTCCTCCGACCGTGGAATAATCGAAGATGATGATTCCTTTCTGCATGAGGCACCTCTGTCGCCACCGGGTTCTGGTACGGATCCAACATCTCTAGATATTGATGATATCGATGATATCGATCATTCCGATCCTTTCCTTGCCCCAATGATGCCCGGGGGGCCATTTGAGCCATATGTGGAACCGATCCCAGGGCAATTTGACGCTGCTGATGGATCATTCAACATCGGACTAAACGAGATGGGTGATTTCTTCGGCACCGACACCGGTATTTATTCCTATGGTTCTATTTCTCATCTGGCTTTTGCTAATAAATTTAGCAACGGACTTCAATCTACCCTTCGCTGCGACGGACAATTATAATTGGTTATTTGACGTCGCTTCCCTCGACGACGCTTTTCATCATTTTGACTTTCCACTGGGATTTGACGCTGGGCCATTCCCAGATATCATGGACACTGAATATAGTCAAGTCATTGACAAATATGATGGCCCTTCGGCATTGCTTGAGGTTGCCTCTATGATAAACAAGACACAAACATCGCCACAGCGCCCAATTTCTCCCGATGGCCCAGATATGATTGGCATGGACTGGCTCTCTGGGTCTTCGTATTTGGGCCCGAATCCCTCTCCAAGACTACCACAACTCTCAGACAATGCCTGTCAACGAGTTCTCGCTCTGGTGCAACAGACGCGTCCTATGGGTCTTGATAGTCAACCGATGGCTCTTGACTCACACTTACTTTCACTCCCTGCATTGCAAAGCTACAGTGACTTTTTCTTTTCACGGTTCAATGTGACATATCCACTTGTGCACCAGTCAACTTTCAATCCCGATCTTGTTGATCCAGTATTTCTCGCTGCTGTATTGTTCATGGGTGCTACCTATAGCACACGAGAAGCTCATCAGCTAGCTGTTGAAATCCATGACAACTTGCGAAATCAACTCCTTTGCCATCAAGACTTTTCTCCACAGCCAGACCTCTGGGTTCTCCAGACAATGCTTCTTATCGACTGTTTCGGAAAAATGAGGGCTGGACCAAAGCAAAGAGAACGCGCTCAACTCTTCCACTGCGTTTTAATAAAGCTGATCCGTCGAAGCACCTGCTGCAATATTCACGACTCCCCAACTTTACCACGGTCGGATGATTTGGATTATGCATGGCGATATGCAATGGTTGAAGAGCAGCGGAAACGCCTAGCAATGCTTTGCTTTATGTGGGATACGCAGCATGCCGTACTCTTTTCTCAGTCTCTTTGCATGTCCGCATTCGAGATAAGGTCCTCATTACCATGCAGTGCCGCTATCTGGGAAGCAACAACGGCTCAAGAATGGGCACATCTAGCTGCTCGTGAGACAAACCGCCCTTTCCTAGCAGTGCTCAAGGGATATATTACTCCTAGCGCAGTCTCCAGACCCCGCGACTTGAATGTTTTCGCCCGCACAGTTATCCTCCACGGATTAATGTCGGTCTCTGCTGATCTCAAACGTCGTGACCAAACAACCCTCCGGTCAGAAACGCCCGAAAAGGTTGGGGCCTGGACTCCACGTATGAGCCGGTCGTACGACTTATGGAAAGTGGACTTTGATGCAGACTGCTTAAGTATGAAGCTCGCTCAAACGGCAGATCCGCAGAGGTTCACAGGCTTGAAAATGGCCGCCCATGCCCTCTATCATGCTTCTTGTCTTGCTTTGAACGTGGAAATTCTGGACTTGCAAATTGTTGCCGGTGCCAAACAGATTCTAGGGAGGAATATTACCCCAGCTGATCAATCACGATCCCAGCGAAAGATTTACCAGTGGCTGCATGAAGATTCCAGCGCATCGTCTATTGCTGCCCGACATGCATCATTCCTCTTACAAGATGCAGTCTTAAGTCTACACGACTGGGACCATACTGATGCGTTCCATTTCCCATGGTGCTTATATCTTGCTACACTGGCCTGTTGGGTCTTCCATCGAGGAATGGATATTTCTTCCTCGGAGAACCGAACTCATACGGACCTCTCGTCTCTGATTGTGATGATGACGAACTGCCCAAGTGCTACTGAGCTAGCTGCTTTGTCCGGAAAGTATGACCCCAAGCCCCTAGCGTCGGCAATGGCACAACAGCTTGCCACTGTTCGGTGGGCTGTGGTACATGATGCCATGAAAGTACTAGTTGGGTTATCTTGATAAATTGAATTTCAATGTTGCATTCTATGCCACTAGATTGTTGAAATGCACTTTGGCCATACTGGTCCTATGGTCAAATCGCACAATACGCAGATAGATATTCATGATAGTTATGTGATCCTTACATTTGACGATTGTGTACCATGACAATTCCTCTTCAATACCTCTTATTTACTGTAAAAAGCGTAGTCCGTGTATCCCTTCTCCGCCGGGTCAGCCCCGTAGAAAGTTGTTCGATCGTACGGATTCAAGGGCAGTCCCTCCTTGAGACGTCGCGGTAGATCGGGATTGGCAATGAACCAGCGACCGAATACCACTGCATCTGCACCATCAGTCACAAGCTTAGGGCCAGCATTTTCGGCGTTGAAGTTTCCAGCCGCCAAGAATGCGATGCCCCCCTTCTTCAAAGTCGGTCGGAACACATCCAATGAGGGCTTGTCAGTCGCCAGGGATCCGATCTTTGCATCCTCATCAAGGACTTCATCGAAGCGAGGCTCAACCATGTGCACATATGATGGCCGAGACTGATCCGGCAGACTAGCGATCAGCGAGCAGAGTGCAAGCCAATGAGCATTGGGGTTGGAGTCCTTTGTATCTTGGAAATAATTGTAAGGCGACAGGCGGATTCCCACGCGATCGGCACCAATAGCACCAGAAACCGACTTGAGTACCTCGAGAACAATGCGAGATCGGTTCTCGATAGAGCCGCCGTAGTCATCGGTCCGCTTGTTGACATTGTCGTGGAGAAATTGATCGAGGAGGTATCCGTTGGCCCCTGTTTGTATGAACTTAGTTAGTGTCTTCCATTCTTCTGGCTGTTTTAGAAACACGATACTAACCGTGAACTTCGACTCCATCAAACCCGGCCTCAATAGCTCGCTTTGCTGCTGCTGCATATTCTTCAACCAACTCCTGAATCTCATCGACGGTGATTGGTCGCGGTGGCAGAGCTGCGTACTCTGTGCCATCCAAGCCATTTCCACTGATCGGTATGTCGCTGGAACTGACAGCCTGCTTTCCATCAATGAAAGAAGGAACAGTTGCACGACCGACATGCCACAGCTGACAGTAGATGTAGGCACCCTTCGCGTGTACTGCGTCGGTGACCTTCTTCCAACCCGCGATCTGCGATTTGGTGAAAATTCCGGGAACCCCTGGATATCCAGCCGCCTAGAAGATCAGTAGGAAATCTTTTTTGGGATGTAAGCGAACATACATATCTGCTAATAGGCGTCGCCTCTGTCAACATGAAGCCTCCAGCCGAAGCACGCTGAGAGTAATATTCGACGTTGAGATCGTTTGGAACAAAGACGCCCTCCGATTCCTTAGTCGATCGCATACGCGTGCAAGGTGCCTGGACCACTCGATGGCTGAGTGACAGAGCGCCCAGGTGCAGAGGCTGGAAAAGAGGACCGACGATATCAACTGAGCCCATTGTGCATGTAATCGGCAATTTGAGTTATTTACTCATTTTTCTTCGAGCATTGACTCAACTCTTAAATAGCCCTTCATGGTAGGGAGCTCCCATCATTGACCAACACGAAAGTGGGATAATGGTGGGATGAGCTCATTTCGATTGCACTTTTGATGTGCATTTTTGGACCGCGGTACATAACCCCCACTAATAATCAACTGCAGGCCTCGTCCTTGCTGTCCACCCCCCCCACCCTCGCGTGCATGACAGACCGCTAAACGTCGCGATGAGTGGCTGGTTACATGTCCAGTCTCAAGATGATATCATTTATTTTGATGTTTTTAAAGGATGGTTTGTAATACATATGACATTTTGAAAGAACGAATTCAAAATTGATAGGTTGAAAGCATACAAAGAAATTGCCAGTTCATTTGTGTAAATCTATACTGCTATCGAAATCCAGAAAAACTAAGACATGAATTTAAAGTATTCCTCCAGCCATTTACCAGCCTCTAGGCCTGCAGTCAAGTCCCATGTCTCAATTCCGCCGATATATCCGTCTGGTCGCACAATTGTAACCCCAACTGTCTCCCGGCGCAAATCCCCAAACCATTTTTCAGTACAGCTTGTAGGACCTGCATCGTCAAGATATAGTGTCCATCTACTATCTTGTAGTATTTGCGGCAAATCCGCAATTTCAAATTCAGATTTAGCAGATTGCGTGACCATCGCATATGTAAATGCAGTTGAGACGGCTGTATATCGCTGGGGCTGGACAAACTCGTCTGATGGCGCATATCCCCGGGCCCGCTTCTCGTACGACTGATTTGCCCTGTCTGAAATATTCCCCAGAGACGAATCGAGTAACTCGTTGCTCAGGACGTGCAAGAATTCTAAAGAGCTGGGAATATCTGGAACAAAAAGGTAGATGCGAAACTGGCTCAACAGCGGAATGTCCAGCTGGATATCCACAGGGTTGGCATCGATGTATCTTGTCACTTTTGCTGGTATCTGGAGGCTTCCGGCTTGGAGTTTAGCAGAGGTGATGTTCTTCCGATGGCTCAGTATGCCACCCTGGTATTCAGCACCAATGCCAGAAATAAACCGGATGTTTTCATTGAAGTTCTTAGCAAGTGCTGCTTCGCCCTGTGAGAATGCTTTGCAATGCTCAACATCAAAATTGATGAGATCATTTGCAATCTTCCGGCGTTCTTCCTCGTATGTAGATAATAGGGACGGCTTTGAGAGTCCACGAATAACAAGATTGAGCTTCCACGCGAGGTTGAAACTGTCATGCATACTGGTATTAGCTCCTTGTGCGGCGAGAGCGGAGTGACAATGCCCAGCCTATCGAGAATTAGTACACACACAATTTGAAATGAGGACCTCGGGATTTGAGCACATACATCGCCAGCAATGAAGATTCTGGCATCTGAATCCATGAAATGCCTTGCCACGCGCTGGCCGACCACGTAATTTCCAAACCATTCTCTTGTCTTCCATTCGAGACGGAATGGATGCATGGCTTCCCGAGCTTTGTTTATAACGTATTCAGGTGTTGCCTTGGCCCGATCAACACGTTCCCCATCCGTCGCACTCAGTTCAACATACAATCGAGTCATGTTGCGCTCGCGTGGAATCCAAAGAATTGACCCGGCGTTATGCGAACGCACAGCCACCTTGCTCCATAGATCGGGGAAGTCGGTATCAATGACGCCTAGCAATCTATTAGAATCCTCATTCACTGATGAATATTTCCAATTCAACTCACCATCCAAAACACCCCAAGACGCATTTGTGATTTCCCCCTCTAGCTCTGCATCCGGGATGAAGTCTCGAACTTTCGATCTCGCGCCATCGCACCCAACTAAGTAATCGGTTCGGATTGTTTTGATTGTGTTTGTCGACACATCTTCATATGAAACGTCCAATTGCATCGTTCCTGATACGCGAGAGCAGGTTTTAAACCGACTATTCCTAGTCACAAAGAGACCTCTCGATTCCATATCATCAATCAACACTTCTTCCACCATTCCTTGGTGTGCGAGGAGGATATAGGGATCAGATGCGCCAACGAGGTGCTCAGGGTAGTGGGTTTGACGACCGGTTCGATGAAGTTCCTTCTCTGCTGTCGATTGCTGGACGCTGTTAGGATGGAAAATGCTGAAGCGATAGAAAAACATACCCAGAAGGAAATATCATGCACCCGAGCTGCATTTTTGAGAAGAGGCTCCGCTAATCTCATCTGCTTGAACGTCTCAATAGTTTTTGGTTGCATGCCATCTGCTTTGCCGGTTGACGTCTTGTCGGGGCGATCATCGAGGATCACAACATCAATTCCGTAGCGAGCCAGATTACACCTGAGTCCAAGTTAATAGCGATTTGACAAGAATTGTATGAACATAGCTCACGCAAGCATTAATCCTGACGGACCTGCCCCCACCACGACAACTGTTGTGGTAGCGTCATCGCCACCCATACTGTATCCTTCGTTGTTTGCACTGGGAGCCATTATTTGCACTTCAAGGTGTTACTGAGTTTACAGCCTTTTTTTGCCGAGAGCGACAGGCAGCACGTTATAAAAAAGTGATATTCTTCCAAGGTTGGTGGTGCGGAGAAGCAACCCCCACCCTTGATTTATCTCCACTAACTACCATCTGGTCACTCCCCCATCCACGATCACATCCTGCCCCGTCATGTACGAACTGGCATCACTAGCTAGAAAGACGCAAGCCCCCATTATATCCTCTGGCTCGGCAATTCGGCCATTCATGGCTTCCGACTTCCAGCTTTCGAGAAGATGGGGGAACTAACAATTAGCACCGTTTTCTACAGGATCAAGGGGGTGTCACACTCACTGCTGCGGTCATCTCCGTTCGCACATATCCAGGTGAGATCGAATTGACTCGAATTCCCTGTTTATGGTTAGCTTTACCCATTACGGCGTATTTCCATATGCTCACATATTCTGCCATCTCCTTTGCGATTGCAGGACACATCGATCGAACCGCGCCTTTGGTGCCACAGTATGCGCTGCATAGCTGGCTTCGTACTGCGATATGGCTGGCCATACTAGCAACCAAAACAATACTTCCGTGCTTCGTACCATTTGCGATCATCTGCTTTGCTGCTAATTGGGCAGTGAAATAAAGACCGAGTACATTGATCGCAAGCAGATCACTGTGGTCTTTGTAGGTGAACTCGAGAAAAGGCAGATGCCGGTTTATCCCAGCACACGGGACACAGATGTCAAGGGCATTGTCGAAATCCTTTTGGAACTGAGAGAAGCCGTTTTGTAGAGAGTCTTCCGAGGAGACATCCACTCTGTCCGAGTCAAAATCCGATCGCCAGATTACGAGAGACCACTTACTTATAGTAAGCCGTTCGAACCCCCAGATTCTTCTCGATCGTAAAAAAGTCTGGCTCCGGATCAACTACGTCGAAGATAGCTATGTTTGCCCCTGCTTCCGCCAGACCAAGAGCAAATGCTAAACCGCATCCGCGAGCGCCTCCCGTCACTAGTGCAGTTCGACCTTGAAGAGAAAACTGGAGGGTTAGCCCGAGCAAGATATGGCAAAAGGGACGCCTACCTTAGACATGGTTGTAAATTCTGACAGAATCCAAAGTAATAGTGTCTGAAATCTCACTGCATTCACACCCACTCAAGATTCCCAAGCCCCAAATATAGTCAATTTGAAGATACCGGGAATCGGCATTTTGACAGTAGGTGGAGGAGGGGGTGACCCCCATCTTTGGAGACGCCAATCCTCGCATTGAACGAAGCTATGATAAATACCCCGAATGCCATTGACTTATCCAGGAGCATCATCAAATCGATAACAGCGACTTACGAAATTAAATTGTCGGCGTTTATTCGAAATGGCACCTCCTATCCACATTAAGCAGCAGCAGACTCGCAACAAGTCATGCCAGCTAGATATACTGGTAATTGGCGCGGGTCTTGCTGGTCTCGGAAGCGCAATCAGCTGTGCTCTTGCCGGCCATAAAGTCAGCATCCTTGAAGCGGCTGCTGAGATAAAGGAGGTAGGCGCCGGTATTCAGGTCCTTCCAAACAGCTCTCGCGTCTTGCAACACTGGGGTCTTGAGAAGGCCTTGACACCCTACATGACATTCCCGAGTTTGTGCAACTTCATTGGTTGGAAAGGAAACAAGATTTCTCACCTTGATTTCCACGATTCCGAAAAGAGATATCCCGGCACTTGGTATCGAGATTTCCACCGCGCCGATCTTCAGCGGTGCCTAGTTGAGAGGGCTCTAGAGCTGGGAGTGCGCGTGATCTGCAATGCGCGCATTGACGATGTGCGTGTATGTGGAAACGGAATAACAGCGAAGGTCTTCGCTGCAGATGGAAGAGAATGGGAAGGCGACCTCGTTATCGGGGCTGACGGGGTGTTTGGAAAACTGACCGAGGGCTTGCTGGGTCGCAGTGATCCACCGGTCAAGACGGGCGATCTCGCATATCGTCTACTTTTGTCAACTGAAGAGATGCGCAAGGACCCTGAGCTGGCGCCTTTTGTGGATGAGCCTCAAGTGAATTATTGGCTGGGACCAGATGCTCACGCTGGTATGTCGCTCTCCTTAGTCATCTTTAAAGCTAAGGTTTCTTGCTAACGTAACCAGTTAACTACGTTCTTAGAGGAGGGGATCTGTTCAACATGGTTCTACTTGTCCCAGACGACATTCCCGAAGATTCACTAGCGTCGACGATAGAGGGGAATGTAGAGGAGATGTGTGCCTTGTTTGAGGGTTGGGATCCACGGTAAGCATCTCTTGTTTCGGAAAGCTCCAACGCCAACCTAACAAACTTAGCATTCAAAAACTTCTCAAACTATGTCAATCTGTGCAAAAATGGCGATTGTGCATCCGCTTCGGAGATTTCGATTGGACTCATCCGTCAGGAGCCTGGGTCATGGTCGGGGATGCTGTCCATGCAACCTTGCCGTATTTAGCTTCAGGGTACGTTTATGTGCTGATTCGAGACCCCCAGTTACTAACTTACTCCCTAGAGCTGGTATGGCCTTCGAAGATGGTGCTGTTCTCGGCGAGTGTCTATCGCGTCTTCCCGATAATCCTGAAATTTCCAAGGACTCGCCCGCATTCGTGGAGATGAAGAAGCATGCCCTTTCTGTTTTCCAGGAATGTCGAAAGCAGCGTACCAAGATGGTCGTCGAGCGAGGGAACGTGCAGCAGTATCTATACCATCTTCATGACGGAGCAGAGCAACAGGAAAGAGATCGCAAGATGCAGATGGTTCCCACCCCGGAAGGGGAGGCTCTGGCTTGGAGAGATCCAGGATTGGCTCCAAAACTCCTCGGATATGATCATATTGCTGATGTACGTTTCTTTTCTACTCTCAATAACCACAGCTAACTTGTTGCCTCCAGGTAAACCGATGCTGGGGAAATTTGCATGGAAGTGAGATGGTGGAGTCCAGGTTGTGACCAGTTTATTTGAAATTATCTTGTAGTCATTAGAACGTACTCAGCGTCACGGCAAATTTGCTTAAAGACAAACCCATATCTTCTCTATCCCGAGTCGCCGAGTACCCCCCCATTTTTGGAACCTTAAGGAAATGATTTCGGACCCAATTCCATATCTACGACGGATGATGCTTATCAAGTTGGAGTAGTTTCCCCGCCCCGCGGGGTTCTCGCCCGCTCATCGCACGACCCCATTCTTGCTGTTGTCGTTATTATGGATTTCCCCGCTTAAGCTATCGGTTATATAGGTGCTGCTGGTAGCCTACAGAGAACGATCCGATAACTCCAAGTAAGATATCAAGTGGAAAAAAAATTATTTAAATAATTATCTCATCTTACCCAGAATGTGGCGCCTACTCGGATGGTCTTCTAACTCCACAGAGAAAGAGCACCCACGAGGTATTCCGGCATCATGGTACCGCTCCGAAGCTATGTACCAGCTTGAGCGACGTGCCATTTTCTCTAAACGCTGGTTACTCCTCACCCACTCCTCTCGATTCGCCAAGAACGGCGACTACCTATCTTTCACCATCGCGAACCTATCCTTCTTCCTAGTTCGAGACCGTGACGGAAATATCAATGGCTTTCATAATGTCTGCCGACACCGCGCGTTCCCAGTTGTACAATCTCGCTCGGGCTCAGCTTCAATTCTCACCTGCAGATATCACGGCTGGTCATACGGGTTGAAAGGAAATCTTTCAAAGGCCCCTCGATTCGAGACCGTTCCCGATTTCGACAAAACTCAACAAGGACTGCTTCCTATCCACGTCCACATTGATAAGGCCGGATTTGTCTGGGTTAATCTTCAAGCTGGTGACCCTGAAGTCAAATGGGACGAGGAATATCAGAAGATTGATCAACAGCCGAGGATGCAAGATTTCGATTTTGCCGGTGAATACACATTCGATCATTACTGGGAGATGAACGTCGATGCCAATTGGAAGGGGCTGATTGAGAACTACAATGAGTGCTACCATTGCGCCACCTCTCACCCGCTTATCAATGGAGTATCTGATCTTCCCAAGTATAAAGTGGAGCCAAATGCTGCATATATGGAACATCATATTTTCAACAAAGAACAGGCCGACAGCCAGTTCCGTCGAGCCATTACTTACTTCTTCCCGACGACATCAGTCACCGTCACGTATGTACATTCTTAACCTGATTTTGGAACAAATACTGACGAATTAGTGATAAATTCTTTTACATTCAACGTATGATCCCCGTCACAGCGACCACAAGCAAAGTCGAGAATGAAGTATACCGACATAAAAACGCCACCGACAAGGAGTTCGAGGATATCAATGCCTTTTATCGGCAAGTCTTGGATGAAGATAGGGAACTTTGTGTTGGGGCTCAAGAAAACTTGATGGCGGGCGTCTTTGTCAATGGCGAGCTTCACCCGAGCAAGGAAAAGGTATGTCTTGAATCAGTCGCTCTATTTAAACATTTACTTACAGTGTTCCAGGGCCCAATTTATTTCCAAGAAAGCGTGAAGAAGATACTTATAGAGCACAGGAAGAAGGAAGATCAGCAAGGTGGAAAAGAAATTTGGCCAGCTCTTCCGAAGCTGCCCAGCTCTACTTCTGAGAAACTACTAGAAGAAGAAAGTTTCTGCTCACAGCTAGAAGCGGCCAGTTGTATGAGCAAACCAGATCTGGCATGGTGAATAATGTATAAGAATTATCTAACTGGTACCTGTCACAATAACTCAGATCTCATTATATCACAAGCGCATATCTTACTTCGTTAGAACTTCCACTGCTCCAACCAGTTCTGCATGAGAGTTGGAGAAATCGGTCCCAGAGCTTCCATCGTCGGGCTTGCCTGCTTTGCCTTCTTCACATCAAGCGGAACTGACATTGAAGCATTCTCCTCGTCAACAAGACCACGGTAGAAACTGAGTAGTTTGAGAGCAGGCTTATCGGCAATTTCGGCGCTTGTGGGGTTTTTTATGCTTTCCAAGTCTGCAACCCATTCCTTAAACTCAACTGGTTTCACATTGTACTTCTCTTGAATAGCAGGGAGCAGTGTAGACCAGTCTGTTGTTTCAGCATTGGTTAAATGAAAGACGGCTGAAGCTGACTGGCTTGTGTGTCGGGCGTGGACAATTTCAGACATAATCGAGGAAAGCGTATCCTAATAATACATTAGCGAGCCATTTAAGAAGGGATAATCAGATACGAAAACCTACCACAGGCACCCAATCCACTGCCATCGACCCTAGTCTGTTAGGAATTTTCCCCATTGATTTGGATGTGGAGATGATAGTCGGAAGCCATTCATGCGGATTCCATTGTCCACTTGCTGTAGTTGGGCCAGCGATTTGTCCCACGCGGTAGACTGTTGTCGGCACATGGCTCTTTGTGGATGCCTCCAAGCAAATCCTTTCTGAAACATGCTTCGACTCGCCATAGCCCTGTGGAAGAACCACAGAACTATCTTCCATCGGTAGTTCTGGCACTAAGGGCCCCATTCGGGGGCTCCATCCACCGACCGTACTAATCGATGAAACGAAATGAATGTGAGCATTGTAGCGACTTGCCAGGCTGAAATCCACGAATCGACGCATGCCTCTGATGTGAGTTTCTTCGAAAGACTCGACAGAATGGTTGAAGTCAACTTTCCAAGCGTTGTGGATAATTGTATCGACCGACTGAAGCATCTCTTGATACTTAACCTCCTTCAGGCCAAACCGCGGCTCTCCAAAGGATGCTTGGAGAAATTCAACTTTATTTTTCCAGGCATCATCATCGAATGATAGACCCTTTTCTTCAAGGCCCTTTTTCTGGCGAGTCTCGGCGTCAGATCGGTTGAGACAATAGATCTTTGAGGTGGTTGGCTTGTTAAGAAGATCATGGAGAAGATAGGTACCCAGAGATCCGGTGGAGCCCGTCAATATCACACTGGAAGGTGAAATTGGGCGATTTGAAGCAACTACCCGATCGGAGGGAAGGTCATGTGTATACTTCTCCACTAGATTTTGAATCTTCTGACTCCTGGGGATAACATCGATGGACTTCCCCTCAAGGGTGTTGATGATAAATTCAACCAGCTGCTCCACTGTGGGGTTGGCATAAAGTGTTTGCGAGGTTATTAACCCCTCCTTTGCTTTGGGCCGACTTTCCTGGATACCCTTTTGCAAAGCCTTCGCAATCTGGATTGTCATCAAAGAGTCGAGTCCGAGACTATAGAGATCCTGGTTGATAGGGATATCGGGCTTTTCTAGAACACGACAAATTATTCGGCAAACGTAATCCGAAACACTGGCAGTATCAAGAGTCGCTGGGAGACAACCCTGGAGATCATCATCCAAGCCAGCTTCATAAATTTGGTCGATCTCTTTCTCGTAGTCTCTAACCACGGCACGTCTCTGTGTAGTTCCTTTCGGTGTTATCTTGAATGGCTTGGCCTTGGATGCAAAGCCAATGTTGCCTTTCATCACTCTTCCATGGGCTGCGATTGTCTGGTTCGCAGCTTGAACAGTCGGCCATATTTTCTCGATGAAAAGCTTTGCATCCATTTCCGGTGCGGTGGGATGAGGCTCTATCAACAAACCAGCCTGGAATTTAGACTGTCCAATGACGAGAGCCCGTGATACCAGCGGGTGCGTCTCAATAATCAGTTCCATGGAGACAGGATTGAACTTTTCACCATTGCTTAACACAATCACGTCATCCTTTCTACCATGATATTTCCACAGGTTTGATTTTGTTGGGTGTTGTGTGTAGAGGTCGTTGGTATGATAGACATCAAGATCCGGGAAAGTATGAAAAACGCCTTGGAAATCGCGATGGCCCTCGTGGCGCTTGATGACCATTTCATATACATGGTCTCCATTATCTTGCATCTGGATGCCGTATTCCGGATTCCATTCGAAATAGGTCCAGTCCTTCTCGTCTTCCGGAATGACTGCCAATATCCAGCCAATTTCGCTGGCTCCAATAACGCTAACAAGTCTCGTGTACTTGCGCAGCTTTTCGCCTCTTTCGTGGGCTAGCGGTGCGCCTCCAAAGTAAACAGACTTCAGCCGCCGTAAACTTTCAAGCGCTTTGTCGGAATAGCACATGTCCTCTAAAAGTGATGGAGGCAAAAGTGCGCCTGTAGGTCGCGCCGTTTCGAAGAGTTCAACCAGGTAGTCCACAGAGAGTGGCTTGTCGGGACCGATCAGCACGGGAACAGAATGAAAGATAGACATCGCAAAAGGAAAGAAGCCCATGAGGTGGAAAAGTGGTGTCGTCGCCAATATGAGCTCCTGGGATGACAGATGCCAGAACGAAGCCGACTCACGCCCTTCGGGCCATGAGATCCGGTCCATCATGTCGAGTGTCGCAAGAAATCCGTTCGTGAGATAAACTGGCTTGGGCATTCCTAAAAAAAAAACGTGATTAGCTCCCCTTTTCGAAAGGCATGAAAAAGATAGACGCTCACCAGTAGTTCCTGAGCTGTGTATGATGAAGGCTGTGTTGTTCTCAACTTCAATATAGGTCTTTGTGAAAGGATAATGGCGAGACCCAGTTTCGTCGGAGAGAAGTTTCTTCAAACTTGGTATATTAAAGCTTTCAAGACCAGGGTGGACAGCGTGGATTTCAGAGACTCGAACGCTCCTTTCTTCACTGAGGAAGAACTTGGAGCATTCCGTCGCTTTGAGAAGATAAGCGAATGCCTCAGCTGAGTTTCTCGTAGAAGGAAAGAAGGCCTATTTAAAATGTCAATATTTCCAACGAAACCCTGCGTAGATAGATTGTTGGTACCTGATGGCCTGTCTTCTGGCATGCCAAAAGGAAAATCACGTAGCGAACATCATTGCTAGCCATATAAGCCAGCGTCTCACGAGGCTTTCCCTCTCCGATAACACTTTCAATCCACCAGGCCATACAATTGACGGCTCTGGCCAACTCCTTCATGGACATATTCATGAATCCATCCGACAACTCCAACCCTTTCGGAATTACAGCGAAGCGTCTATCAGGTTCATTCTCGGCGGCATCGTCCACGGATGTCAGCAACAACCGTTTGCTCTTTTCGCCCATATTGGCTTCTTTTCGATTGACTCTGAGAGGTAAAAACAAAACACTCCGTATATTCAAATTGCAGGCTTGGATGGAAAATGTCTGATGGATCGAACTTGAGGCAGGGGACCCGAGCCCAATTTATATGACCTGTCCCGTAGTAGCATTAATGATCCGGACCAGGTTTCGATCCGCACCTGATTTCTTATGGGGCAATTCAGCCCACCATGATAACCTGCCGATCGTTCCTGGTTCAGTCGCCCTTTTCCAGGCGGGTCCTGGAAAGCGGGCGCCATTGGCTTCGATTTGTCGTCATAAAATCTGCACTAGCATGGTCTCACGAACTCAAGGCTTATTCCGTTTTACGTAGTAGTTTGATGTAGTAGTTTTTCCTGTAGAACATCCGTAGTTGGGACTTTGGACGTGACAGGTGATGGCTGTTCTGTTGACAAGGCTATGCGACTAGGTTCATGGCCAACCTCGCAGTACCTAGGTAGTAGGGTACTTGGCCAAATGTGTAGTCTCTGTGTACCTGTGATATAATCATCACCGCTGTCAGTGTTGAACCAGTGTGTACAGAATTATTGTGAATGCTGGTGATGGCAAAAATTAGGTCCACTTGATAACGGTAGTTATGTGCTCCTGATATCCGATGACGCTGCCTAAAAGTTTGAAATTGCGGGATTTACACGATATCCGGTTACGACGGAAGGCGCACGGGTACTCAATGCTTAATCTTTGGGTGTATAAATACATCCAGGGATAGTGAAGATGCTGGCGCATGCAGATCTCCACCGCGCCACGTCGCTTTCTAATCTTGCGCTAATGTCCGCTCATATCCCGCTCCGGCTCCACCGCATCCAAAGTTAGGGTTCTCGGGATTGAAATCGTGGATTACATAGTTCTTCTACATTCCGACGAACTAGTAGATACCCAGAGACTAAAGCTTATCTCGGTCTTTCTGTGTTTGTCTAACTACAAATAGTAGTACTAGTACTTTTCTACCGGTGAACCGCGGCCAATCTGCCACGCCATAGCAATTATCAACGTCAACTTTTACCATCACGATATCTAACATGGCCTAAACTGACAATTTGCGTTAATTGATGGCAGCTGCCTGAAAAGTAGTGTTCATTTGGTAAAAGAAGCCAAATTCAGCTAGGTTACCCAGGTATTGCGTTCAACTTTTGAAATTTTGCCTCGGGATTTGGTGAGCTATCGCGGATATATTTTAGTGGTACTTATTATTCGACAGTACCACAACTTTTAGCTCCGGGCCAAGACCGCCCAGGATTGATAAATTTCTAAGGCTAGTAAGTATACTACTTTCGCCATTTTTATGAATCGCATAAACATCAAAAAATTCAACTTACACAACTTTTCCGATTCAAAATTCGCCTTGTTTGTGTTTCCCGATTTTAATTCCCCGACATCCCACGTGACTCATCGGATCGACAGCCGACAACCCGATGGGAAATGGACATGCACCATCCCAGCTACTTCCTTGCTGCAAACCAGCACAAGATAGGGATACGCCGCAGGGAACATCGTCCTGAATCACCTAATTCAGCTTCTCGTGTTCTAATTCCGCCGCAATGAAGCCCGCCTGGTATCTGGCAGCCGCAGCGGCCATCACCGCAGCCACTGCTTCTCCGCACCCCGCATATCAGCAACAACCGCTCGGCAATTCGCCCTCGCCCGCCGAGGAAGTCAGCCAGAGCTACGAGGAATCCAGCATAGATTCCATCATAGCCAATGACCCGCTGCTGTCATTCCACCGAGACCTAGTCGAGATCGAATCGATCTCCGGCAACGAGCACAACATCGGCATCTTCGTCGCAGAGTATCTCGAATCAAAGAACTTCACCGTAATCAAGCAAGAAGTCGAACCAGTGAAGAAAGACAACGACAATGACGACGACGACAACGACCCCCCCAAAGAAAAGATACAACATCTACGCCTACCCCTCAGGCTACACATCACCACCCACCATCCTAGTAACCAGTCACATCGACACCGTCCCCCCCTTCATCCCATACTCAGTCCACTCCCCCTCCCGGGCCAATGACCCCTCCACCCTCCAAATCGCCGGCCGCGGCTCCGTCGACGCAAAAGCCTCCGTCGCATCCCAAGTCTTCGCCGTCCTAGAAACCCTCTCCGAAACCCCCGCAAACATAGCCCTCCTCTTCGTCGTCGGCGAAGAAATCGGCGGCGACGGCATGAAAACATTCTCCGACTCCGCGCTAAACAAACAAAGCGCCTATCACACCGTAATCTTCGGCGAACCAACCGAGGCCTCCCTCGTCTCGGGCCACAAGGGAATGCTAGGCTTCAAAGTCTTCGCGCACGGGCAGGCCGCTCACTCCGGTTACCCGTGGCTCGGCAAGAGCGCTGTCTCATCGATTCTCCCCGCCCTCCTCCGCGTCGACAAGTTAGGCCAAATCCCCGTCAGCGAAGGAGGACTCCCGTCTTCACCCAAATACGGGCCCACGACGCTGAATGTCGGTGTTGTTCGCGCTGGCGTTGCGACGAATGTCGTTCCTGCTGAGGCGATGGCTGATGTCTCTGTTCGACTGGCAGCCGGTACGCCCGAAGAAGCGCGGGAAATCATTCAAAATGCCGTTGCTGATGCTGTGGCTGAGGCTGGTGTTGAGGCGGAGGTTGTTGTTGACTTTAAGAGTCATCGGGAGTCGTATCCGCCGCAGGATCTGGATACGGATGTCGATGGGTTTAAGGTTATTCCTGTGAATTATGGGACTGACGTTCCTAACCTCGCGGTTCGGGATGGTGTTAAGAGATATCTTTATGGGCCTGGTAGTATCTTTGTTGCGCATGGTGATAATGAGGCACTTACTGTGCGGGATCTGAAGGATGCAGTTACTGGGTTCAAGGTTTTGATTCGCGCTGCTTTGGATAGAGAGTGAATGTTTCAAGGATTGGGTTTGGGCGATGTATAATGATTGAAAAATATTGTCTTCCCACTGGATTCATACATTGACTCTACATACAATTTCGGGCTTTGATTACATTTCGGATAGATGTCTTGAAAGACTCCTATTGGTTCGGGCGCGATATAACTACTAGTACTTCATGAAGAAAAGCTTTCAAGAAATTTTGTGAATTTACAATGTATAGCGAGATGCGACTCAAGCCTTTGATGGCCGAACTAGTATCACAAGAAAATTCCCCAACACCAGCCAATCCTAGTAGATCAAGAGAAAAAAAAGCAAAAGGGCTTCAAAAATACGCCTGGATGCTATTGCTCAGCCTTGCGAGAAGACTTCCTCTGCCAACCAGTCTTCAAATCGCCGCTGGGCTTGAATCGAGGGAACGGGTGCGCCTCCGTATTGAAGACGTGCTCCTCGAGCGAGATGAAATCGCGATCCGAGAACAAAAGATAGAAATACTTGAGAGTCTCAGCCATCCAGAAACTCTCCATGTTATCACGAGTAACCGGGGGGAGGATATCCGCGTTGGAAAGAGAGGTGAATCCTTTTACTCGCCACGTCGTGCCAGCACTTCCGGGACGGGGATTGCAGGGGGTTTCTCCTCCAGCACAGCGGTGTGCTTGATGAAAGATTTGAACATTTCCCAGCCCCATTCGCGGTACATGTCATCTCCAGTGACGCGATACATGTAAAATAGAGACTCAACCGTCTCTGGTCGTTGGAGGTTGTGACGGTCATTACTCTTGATGGTGACATCCTTGCGCCAAGGCTCTGAGCCATCCGGCAAAGCCGCCAGGGGTTGGGAGATACTGCTCATCTCAAAGGTCGATCCTGACTTGGATGGCTCTGGGTATGTATCTTCCATCATGACAGGCTCGTCGCCAAGGACAAAGTGGGTAATTTCGGGTGCCAACCCAGTCTTCGTGTTCAAGTAAGTTGCCCAGCAGGTCTTCATCAGCTCGCGAGAAATGAACATTTCTTCCTCTCGCTGTTGGTTCCAGCTGGCGGACTTTCTTGCCACGGATAGGGGCAGGCCACTAGTAGCACCAAGAGCAATGGTTCCCGGCATGAAACAGACAAGGTGGTCCATCTTAGGAGACAAACGCTTTTTCAGACCGGCTGGTCGTTCACCGAGGACCATCAATTTTGCGTCTTTGGTGAAGGCAATTAGATGCTTGCGAATGCCTCGCAGAGATTCATCCCACATAGATTTGTACATAGGCTCTTCCTGAGACGTTTGGAGATATTGCTTGATGAGGTATTCTAAGAGGGAGAATATGATTAGCTTTGTTGAGATCCCTAGCACAAATTGAGACTAAAGTAGAACAAACCATAATAAGAGTCACCGCGACTACCAAGGCGGATGTTATCTCCTTTGAATTCACCACTGTCAGGATGGATGTAGATGGGAACAAGGCCATCTTCAGCCTCTTGTTCGTCAACAACCTCCATTACTCGCTCTGCAGCTTTCCAATACTCGGCTTCGCCGGTGAGTTTGGCCATATACTTAAATTCAAGCTGTATTGATGTTGCCTCAGCAGTGGAAGATGCACCGCCATCACTGTGCGACTTGATACCCTGAGATGTATTCAGGTTCACGCTCGCATACGGGATTCCCGAGTGTGTCTCGAATGCCCCCCATGAGTCGATCTGCTAGATCCGTGGCTTTCTCAATATACAAATCCTCACCAGCAGCACCAACATCATCTTCCTTGATAGCTGCAAGATTGGGGTACTGCGTTGACAAATAATGGGCCGACAAGAGTCCCCCGAGCATGCGAATCGTTGTCTCAAAGGTACTGACGTCGTGGTCTTGGTCATATTGCAGCGAAGTAGAGATCCATTGCCGCGCATGTCGAACTTCAGAGGTGAGATTCATGAGGATCATAGTGTCCAGGGAATCGACAATGATCCAGCCCATGCCGCCCTCCACCATGTTTTTGTTCCTGCCCGATACGGGGTTGTATTCGTCGTACCCTATACAATAGGCATAATGTCAGTGATATGGAGAGGGAAATGTGTCTCGAAAATGCGCCTTACCCCATGCTTCTTTCTCGTATCCTTCCCAACTAACCTGGAACGCCTCGCGGACTTTCTCACGGCGCGCATTCCAATCAACATGTTTCTCAGACACAGCCGAATCATCAAGCGTCTGCATCCAATTCCACAGCGCAGCACCTTTATCATACCCACCGGATCTCTGCCATGTCGGAATATTTGGCTGATTATAAAAGAAATAGGCGAGTATAGACAGCCCCAGCAAAGCCAATAACGGTCTCCACTTCTTCCTCGGAGCCGTGCGCCGCGGGGCGAAATGCGGCTTATCTTTGTACATGGGGAGAGGGCGATCTTGTTCAAAGAAGGTGCCCAGTTTGTTGGGGAGTACTGCCGAAGTCGAGGAAAGGCCAAGGCCAGCTAGACTGCTCCTGGAATTGTAACCGGCAGGGGAGAGGCGACCGGGGGGGTGGTCGTGGCGAGGGGCTGAGAGAGGAGGGAGGAGGGTAGGGTGCCTGGAACGACATGGTTATTCGGTTTGTCCCCCTCTTGAATATGTATTTCCAATATAATATATGTCGGACCTTTTATGGCAGCATGGGTTCGCTTGAGTGGTGGTAGATCGGTCTTGTTGAGAACTTGAGCTCCGAGGCTGCGGTCGAGTGCGACGGGATGGGGGGAGGAGAGTGTTGCGTAGGGTCCAATGTGGCGTCGTGTCGTATTGCGGTCAGTTGTTGGTATATTGTATTCAAAATGGTGGTCGCAAGAGAAAGGTGCCCTGTCAGGTTGTTCCTTGCTCACGGATTGTAGATTACGCGTATCACGCGAGGTGAAAGAGTTGAGGACCAATCCGAAACATGCCAGCGTGTGCTTAGGACAATTTCTCCGATGGCGCGTCACCGGCGAATCTTGACTCCGAGAGATATAAGGATAATCTCGATCCCCTGAGGGCCCTGGAGCTTTCCAATGAAACGAATGAGAACAGAAAGATAAAAGAATGAAGTGTTTGTTGATAGTTTTTGGAGGATCCTCAGGGTTGTTGGAAACCGGGGAAGTGGAGAAGTCCGCGGGACTTTCAAGAGGGGCCGCGTCACATGGCCCGCACCGTTGACTACTTTTAAGCACTTTGATATTGGTCAATACATCCACCATGTGAGCCATTGGCGAATTCAGAGAGTATAAAAACGAAGTGGAAACCAAGCTTTTAGTATATCGGGAATAGTTTCGTATTTGGTTAGACAGAAAGAAAACTGGGGGCTGTTGGCCCCGGGGGCCAACAGGGGCCAGGATCTTGCCCAAGTAGGCAAAGCTTGAAGACATTATCTTGACGACAGGATTCCAGGGTGACTTGAGTATTTATTAGTATCAATCGGGTCATCTTTCGTTCAGGTTTCTGGCTTGTGTGCTAAGCAATCAAATACATGTTGCCTGTTGTTGTTTTATGCCTCAGGCATCAATCTGCAATTCTCTCCCCGCTTCTGGATTCCAAGATTTCCATCAGACCAATTTTCATAAGTCAAATGATTCAAAGACCTCGAGATGCAGTACGAAAAACATTTTATTCCTCTAGAGTCTGACCCTCAAATCTTCACAAGTCTGATGCACGACTTGGGTGTTACTCAATCTTTCAAGTTTGTTGATATTTGGTCCCTTGATGCAGACGAGTTGTCCAATATTCGTAACGAGACCCAACACCCCCTCCAAGCTTTGGTTCTTGTTATACCAGATTGTCCGGCATATACGGAGCAAAAAAGTCCAGAAACAGTTTGCCATGATGATTTGATATGGCTCAAGCAAACTATCAATAATGCTTGTGGTCTCTATGCCATTCTGCACTCCGTTTGCAACTCACTCAGCCCTTCAGATATCGGTAGATGACTCTCCCTTGTTTGTTTTGGGGTATAGAATAGCTAACACGGTTAGAGAGTGACTCTTTCCTCGATAATTTCATGAGGGTGGCACCGACTGACCGAGCCAAGTATCTGCTAGAGTCACCCGACTTGGATTCAATTTACAGCAAGGCTGCGTTGGAAGGCTCTTCAGAGCCCCCCCCCGCTGATATAGATGTCGAGTACCACTACATTTGTCTTGTGAATCATTTTGGTTATCTCTTTGAGTTAGATGGTGACAGGAATGGTCCAATATGCAGGGCCCACTTGGAAAAGGACGAAGACGTGCTGTCAAGCCAAGGTCGCAGTATCCTGAAAATGTATATCGACAGTTGTCCTGAAGGGAACTTCAGCCTTTTAGCCTTGATGAAGTCTACTTAGAACTAGTAGGTACTATTATATTATAAACCCCTTCAATGGGTGCCCCATCATTCACCGACATGTTATCGTTCAAGTTAGTTACAACATCCCCACTCCAAACCAGAACGACTGGAAATTCACAGAGTCCCCAAGACGCTGAAATATACAGTGGTGCTAATCTATCACAACCCTTAAAATTGATCTCAGCTCGCGCCTCGAGAGCTGTGCCTTTGGCCCCCGCAACTGCCAGGTGCAATGGTGTGAGATTGCTGCTGGAGGCAATTTGGGTCAGCACCGAACCCCAGTAGAGCCCTTGCTGCATCTGACCAGGCAAACTCCACTGCCCATATGTTATGTTGAAGCTGGCAGTCGGTTGATATCTCATATGGCTCAGAAATACCTGGCCCCAGATGCCATCTGTTCGTCTCTCATTATGCAAGAGAAAGAGTTGGTAGCATTAGAAAGTTTTCGACAACGAGATCGTATTGTTTCAGTTCCTAGGCGCATTGCCCTTGCATAAATTCAGTATTGGAACCTTTTCGCTCTCTCCGATACCGTATTTGCGAAGAAAAGGTGTATTGACTCTATGATATGTCCAGATTTGGACGTGCCTTTGGGAGCTTTATTGGCTGAGGCTTTTCTCGATCACTTTCACAACTTCATTCATCTTGAATGTTCTGGCACAGTCAAAAGCTGTATGGCCCTTTGCGTCTGCGATGTTCGTGTCTATACCTTTCTGGAGGAGGAAATATGCCACATCAGCTTGTCCAAGCTCAGCCGCCTTGTGTAGCACAGTACCGAGGCCCATAAACGAGTATAGTCTCCAAGAAGCGTAATTATTTTGATACATCGTCATTTTCATCGGAGCACCTTCGCCAAGAAGATTCTCCAGCACTTCGAATTTTCTTGATTCACGGTCAATGGCGTGGAAAAGGACTTGTTCCAATAAAAGGCAACGGATATCGTAATTCCCTGGCCACGATGACCATATAAGTACACATGTCTCGTTTCCACATATGGGGTCGCGCTCCTCCTGTGCATTCCAGTGGGGCGAGGAGTCCTCCTTCTTGCTCTCCATGAGAAATCGCTTCAATATCTGTTCATGTCCGTTCAAAGCGGCTAGACACAGCGGAAGAATGCGGGAATCGGGGTCTACCTTATGAGACCAAAAATATTGGAAGGCCGAACGCTGCCAAAATAAATTGAACCATACCAGAAACGTTTGGCTGGAGGTGTCATAAAGCTGACAGATGAGATCCTCAATGGGAATGTATCGATCAGTTGACATATGCCGCACATGGCGAGCCCAGTGCTCTGCTGAGTAGTCCAAGAAAGTATAGACCCCATGAACTGGATGTACAGGGCAATCCTGTAACTTGGAATCGTTGCCACGCCATAGCTCAAATCGATATTCCGACCCACGGAAATCGTCCATGAGCAGGTAGCGAACACATATTTCAGCAAGAATTGATTCGGTATCTGTGCGTCTGAGAGGGTACAAAGAGTTCAGATCATCAAAACCTGCAAAAGAGTTATCTCTAATCAGAAATTCTTTAGCTGTCTGGTGTAGTAGATGAATTCGTCCATCGATGATGATGACAAAAAGACCGCACAGGCTTCGGATGCGAGAGCTTAGCCGGGTTGGATCTAGCTGAACACTGTGAATGTTCGATGATTCCGGCTTCAGGGCTATTCCTAACGCTATGGCCATTTCCTGTACAGTCAATGGCCTACGTGCTCCGCAAATGATGAGAAGAATTTTTTTCACAGTTGCAAATTGATCCGCCTGAACTCTGGCCAGGATATTTGCGTATGCTGCATCCACAGTGGGGGGGTATAGGTCTGATTGACTCGGCATCTGGCTGAAGGCTATTATTAAGAGTCGTACGGATGTCATCGAGTGCTAGGTGTAGCCAAAGATAGGTTCGACTCTCCATTTCCAGAAGTTGAGTCTCGAATCTCTTCTGTACTTCTGACGAAAGTGCTGCTTCCCGGGCCAGCTGTTGCATTTTTATCGCAATGACTATGTCGATTTCTTTCTTGATTTGATCGTTCTCTTCTTCTCCTCTGAGTTGGATCTGTGGCCATGTAGTTGTGAGGGAAGAGAAAAGTGTTTGGATCTCGAGATAAGGACGGCTTGTAACGAAGAATTTGAGACGTGCCTTCCCTTCAAAATTGCCGCCCATCTGTTTATCTTCGAAAGTTACGCACAGATTCTGAATGAGAGTCTCCACATCTTTAGAAGTGCATTCATCAAGAGCATCAAGAACACAAATGATCCGAGGCGCCTTTGACTCCGAGGCGACCTCAAGCAAAATGTTCCACAGCGCGGAAGTCTCATGCTGAATACTGTCTCCGGTCCTTCGGAATAAATCCATTGCGTAAGAGATTAGTGCCGGCTCCTGGGTGAATATCTGATGAAGAAGAGCACATAGAGCGACGTTCAACTGATTCTGCTGCTCTTTGTCCTTGAAAAAGAAGTAACAAACCAATGTTCCTGGCTCCAACTCTTTGAACTCGATGTCTATCAATGACTTGGACAAGACCGATTTCCCGCAACCTGGGTCGGCAGATACCCACAGAAGACCGCTTGACGAGTCATCGCGCCATTTGAGATATATTTGGTTTCCTAAGACCCATTGGCAAGTCCCTGGAGTCCGCGATGGATTGATATCCTTGAAACTCTCATAGTTCGACGTTTTGAGAGCTTTATGACAGCTGTGATACTCTCCAACGAAAGCTGTCGCCTTTTGTTCATTGAACTGCTCCGCCTGCTGATCAAAAACCCTGTCTAGCCGTTCATTGGTGCCGCGAACAGTTTCATTCAAATTTTCTATGGACTCTTTTCGTGGGGTGAGCAAAACTGCATATCTATTTGGGAGCAGGTCACTCACGACAAACATTAGCTGCCAGCTGCTCTTGGATCACTTGGTTGTGAGGCAAATTCCCCAGCAATTCCTTAGCATAAGAGGCCGCTACCAACGCAGCATATCCTTGCCATTGCTTGTTCTTGTGAGTATCGGAGTAATCGCAGATTCCCCGAATGACGATGCACGGAAAATCTAACATCAACCCTGCAGCCTTCATCTCAAAGCACAGTGCGCCGATTTCTGCACCAAGTTTCTCACGGGCTCTCCCATCCTTGATCGCTGAATTTCCAGATGCAATCAGCCCGTAATGAGTGCGGGGAAGATCATCATCCCGAGCTTCGCGTCTGACTTCCCACTCATATGGACAAACATCGCAAGAGCTTTCATTAGCGGGATGGTCATGCTCAGCTTTGAAAAGTCGATCACACTTAGGGCCAGGGGAGTGAAACAAGTTCTTCGTACGATTTGTTCTCTCTGTCGCAGATTTGATATATTCGAAAAATTCAGGATCATCGGTGAGCTCATGAGCTCTGAGGCGGCTGACTGCTGTCAACAGCGACCTAGGCGGGCTATTGAGAGACCCAGTTCTGGAAAATTCACCACCGGCGACATGTTTTCCCATATCATATTGAACAACGCCACCATAAGTGCCAACCGGGCAGCTGATAACGACATCGCCGAGGCGAACATCATTTTCTGAGGATGGGATGCCGCCTCCCACTCCAACCAACAAACCAACCCGCAGTGACTTGGAAAAGGTGCGCGTCAAGTGGTTCGCAACTGTCGTCGCCGAAGAAGTGCCATGCTGGCCAGTTGGTAGACATGCAATGACAATTTTATGCTTGCCAATTCTGCCCAAGATGTACGCATTAGGATCTGTGGCATCCTGCTCATCTAGAGGCTCAAACTCTTCGTCAAGCATCTCTTTAGCCGCCGCGGTCTCGACTGCTAGAGCGCAAATCCAGCCAATCTGGAACTCATTCCGAGATGGGCTAGACATGTTGACCTCGGGATTTGGCGGTATTCCGATCAGAGATGGAATAGCTCGTACCACCTTCGCAGTAGACTTCGAGGCGTTTTTACCCGATATAATACTATTGAAGCATACTTTAGTCCGAGCAAAATATCTCTGACAGGTATGGCCCCGATTATGACACCCCGCAGCACAGTGCGCTGGAAATGGGGCTGAAATGTGGATACGAGTGTACGTACATCCACTCCCATTGGATACGTTCATGGGATGTGTTGCTTCAAGCGGCATGAAATGATCGAGGGATGCTAATTGGACCACCTTTTTTGCTACTTGGACCATGGTCTTGCCTTAATCCAGATTAGTATGTATTTTCTATACAACCTGGGAAATTTGGATACATTGACGCCACGGCCAAGGTACCCCGAATGCTGCCTCGCTGGTAAAACCTCTCATCCGAAACGGAGTATACTCTCTGATGATTGAGCACTGATAACTACTACTATTGTTGTTACTCTGTACTGTCTTATTAACTCTCGTGAATGCTGTAAGCTTCTAATCCTTATACCTAGGTACCAACTATTTTATCGTTTGATCTTATTTTCCTTCTCTCCAGACTTAGTAATATATGAAATAGACTTAGAGCACAAAACTACACCAGGCATCAGGGGGTACATTAGATATGAGTATAGCAGCAATGTATCTACAACTTGTATGACATATACATACTAGTACTACCTAGTATTACGTATCGGGAAAGACCATGGTCCAAATAAGCCAGGGGGGATGGTCTAACTAGCAAAAAGGGTGGTCCAATTAGCACCCCCGGGGGCCTTCAAATGATCGGCACAGCCTCAATATGCCATCTAAAGCGTATAATGGCTCACTTTGTACCTTGAGTCTATTGATTTCTAGAGTGATCGGAGAGATACCTTATATGAGACAAAAGACCTGAAATTTTTGGTGAATGTAACTTTCAACTCAACCCTTACTCAGGAGGGTACAGGCAGGAGTCATGCCCAGATAGATGAACCCTTGGGCCTCCGGAACCACTGTATTAGTAGTTTAACATAATCATTTTCATATCCCTGTAAGCTTTAACAAGTAAATTTCCCTGGTGGCTTCGATGTAATACCATGATTTGGAATTCTCATCGCCAATTGTACATCAAACAAAAATCAGAAAGATCGCAAGCTCTCCGTATGACACAAAAAGACAGAAACAAAAGAGACAAGGAAAAAGAAACCTTGGAAGCAAAGCCAAGCAGGATCGCTACGCGCAGGCGGTTAGCTCTCCAGGACCTCGGGATTAGCTACTCGTATCGAGGCAACCCCATACAGGGGTAGAGACGAGTCAGGGTAGATTGCAGGGCCTTCAGCAAGCGAATGGCTTTCCTCGTTCAAGTCGTCAATAGAGATCTTTGGCAGTTTGGACCCCAGGGGTATGGGACAGAGCATTACCATCTGCCCAGGTGTATATATGACCCAAGTGTTGGCCAGATTCCCTGCATTCTCTCTATTACCTCCAGCACTTTTCGTGAAGGACTCGGGGCTTCCATATCCTTCCTCAAGCACAATATATAAGCAATAATGAATCGCAGATGGAGGCATGGACATCTTCTTGCCGGTCTGTAGTCTCCCAGGAATGTCAACTCCATATCAAGCTGTCGGATCTGAGCCCTAGTATTGTTTGCCCCGACAGTATCTTCAAAGTGATAGCTGTGACTTGAATATCTTGTACCATGTTATTCATCCAGTTGCTTTGACCAAGTCGAGGTGGACTTACTCGCCATTACAACGTTGGAAGTTGTATTGCTTGCGCAAGAGGAAGGATTCTAACCCCGAAGAAAAAATACGTATATTGCCATCCTTTTACTCATCGACCAAGATACATTTCGATTTTGAAAGTGGCATGCTGGCTGACTGTTGAATTGCCGCCATGATAGTGATACTCGAATCCGAATGCAGCTCCAAGTTCTCGTTTTGGATCTGAGCTATGGTTCTCAAATATTAACAGGAATCATTCCACAGTCAGGACGGGTACCCAACCGTTCAGTGGGACCTTTGTCACCAGATATTGACAACCAAGTAGATAAGAAGTTTAGGGGTCACCGAGGCTTTTGGATATGATGAGCCGTCTGGATATAGTCCTTCTTGATGCAGTTGGAAATGTAGCAACGACCTGTTTCATTCTTGAGGATCTTGGTCACTTTCTCTCGTCGAGTCGGACGCAAGAAATGCCTCGAGTTGGACGCAAGAAACTCTTCAGCGCGTCTCGCTGGATGAAGTAATTTCTTTTGGCGACTGTTGCTAGTGTGGTTGATGTAGATGTTTGTTGTTGTCTGGAGCGAGGCTCTGTAAAGGTCAGGTAGGTAGCGATTTGGCTGAAGCGCTCCTCATTTGAACTTGAAGGTCCCTTTCCAGGCCCTGCGGAGGGTGCTCCAGTACTACTGGTACTCGTAGTACTAGTATCCATGGATGGCGATATACTATGGAATTGATTACGTTTCTTGGATCTACTCTGTCATAAACACGCAATATTCGTAACCGAAGCTCAGTCGGCATGTAGGATTCTAACGGACGACCTGCCCATAGGTAGTTACAATTACAGCTTCTGGTATTCAAGCTTGCCCTCGAGCTTCTTCGACTCAGCAACCTTCCGCACCGCCTTGTTGAAGTCGTCCTGGTTAACGGCATCACGGTAATCCTTGATGGTGAATAGACCCCTATAGATCATCAGTTAGAGCACACTCATGCCAAAAGCAATGCAGAAATCAGAGTCAAAACTTACGCTTCAGTCACCACGTTACGCAGATCAGCACCATTCAACCCATCACTCATCTTAACCACGCTCTCAAAATCGATATCACCCTCTATGACGACGGAGCTTGTGTGAATCTTCAGAATCTCCAGACGGCCAACCTCATTAGGCAGAGGGATCTCGATCTTGCGGTCCAGACGACCGGCACGCAGTAGAGCCGGGTCCAGGGTATCGGGTCGGTTGGTAGCCATGATGATCTTCGTCTTGCCGAGGTAGTCGAAACCATCCAATTGGTTGAGCAGTTCCATCAGTGTTCGCTGAATTTCTCGATCTGCCGATGTTCCTTCGGAGAAACGGCGACCTCCGATAGCGTCGATTTCGTCCATGAAGATGATGCAGGGTTCGTGTTCCTTGGCGTAGCCGAACATTTCTCGGATCAGACGGGCGGATTCACCAATGTACTTGTCGACAATCGCGGATGAGACAACTAGGCAGAGAAAGAAGGCATTAGCAGGGGGAAACAACGGTAGAACAAGGGATAATGATAACTCATGCACACCTTTCAGGAAGTTTGTTTCTATGGAGCTCGCCACGGCTCGGGCAAGCAGTGTTTTACCGGTACCCGGAGGACCGTAGAGAAGGACACCCTTGGGGGGCTTTATTCCTACTCGCAGGAAGAGTTCTGGGTTCTTCAACGGCAACTCGATAACCTCTCGCAGCTCTCGAATCTGGTCATTCAAACCACCAATTCCAGCAAAGTTGATTGAACCGGGGTCCTCCAAAGACATGTTGTAGACGAGAGGATCGACCTCGCGCGGCAGCATTCGCATAATGGTAAGCGTCGTCATATCCAGGGCTACACGGGTGCCCTGCTTCATCTTGGCCTTGTCAACCTTTGAACGGCAGCCGACAACGTAACGGGGGCCCGATGAGGCCTTGACAATAACTGTGAAAAGATTAGCTACCGCTATCTTCAAGCTTCGATCTCGATTCGGGACACCCGATGGAATGCAGTGGGGACATACATCGCTCTTCATCAAGCTGTTTCAACACCTCGCCGATGATCTGACCAACACTCTGTAGCGCCTTGATGTTCTCCTCGGAAACATCAAACTCTCGTTGGAGATCCTTGATGCCCATCCGCAGTGATTTTAGCTTAGCTTCCCATTCTCGTAGCTCCAACAAGCTCCTTTTATAATCATCAAGCGCGTGGTCCCGCTCGGGGTCGCTAGCGCCGCTCATGATGGACGGCGAACGGGAATCGAAGGGGCAAAATGCGAAAGGAAGGCGATGAGTGTCGGGTTTGTTGATGGGGGTATTGATGGATGCAATGTCCCCGTGGGTAGATGATCGGATGGACGGATTGGTAGGAAGGGCAGTGGACTTCAACTTGGAGCTTCCAGCACCGCCCGTCGAGGAGCTTCCAGGTTAGTCACCTGACGGTGTGTATACACACGTGACTTGCATCATCTGAGTCAGCGGGCACTGAGGCACTAAGGCAGAAGGGCGGTAAGGAATTACAATGGTCACGTGATACGACCCAAGGCAATAAGGCCTTAAGGTGTCGAGGCTCTCAGGCATCGAATTTCGTCATGCATCCAGCGTTTCCCAACTTGTACCCAGCCTGTGCCCATCCCCAGTCGCCGATGCGACGTCAGAGGAGTCGACCAATGGTCCTTCAATGCTGGTCCTCTTGCGGAAGCTTTACGCAGTCTAACATTACGCCAAAAAAAAACTCTGCAGTCGATGCAGTACTACGCAAGACTCCTCCGTCATGACTAGAGCTACACGACGGATAGCTGCTACCAATAGCTACTGAGCAATAGCAATAGCAAACACATCGTACGTAAATATCGGGAAATCAACAGGACAAACAAGACCCGAGCCGAGAATGGCCCATCTCCTCCCGAGGGACGGGGGATCTCGCAGGTAGAAAAGTCCGCAGACGGTCGGATCAGCCAGCAAACACTGGAGGAGACCGTGGAGGGCCCCACCACCGCATTGGAAAGAATCGGAGGACTAGTTGTGACCTTTCCCGGTGTCTTTAGTATTTAAAGAATCGGGTGTTTCCGTAGCTGTATGCTTTTTTGAATTGTAATTGTTTATTCCTCTTACTCTCTCCCCATATATTCCCCCAGGTAAGTTGGTTGGATCATATCTACCCCGCCATAGCTGCCCCTCCTTATACACATCACTTCACCTCACCACACTTCACCACATCACCTCCCCATCACACATCTTCACCTGAACCAAGAAGGGATAGCACAATATACTAGTAGTCTCCCCTACACATTCAGACCTTCGGTGACCACTGCCCCAACCAATTGCCCCAATCAACACTCCGCTCAAGCAAACCCCCCCTATCCTTCCACCGGACCTGTCATTTTGGGTCATCGGTGAACCTCTGTCCCCCGCCGCCTTGAGTCACGAGTTTACACTCATTAACCCCTCCTCCCCATCTTTCTTCTTTTTCTTTCTTGCAACTGACAGATTTTCCCCCATCTTTCAGACACATTTCCAAAATGCCTATCGCCAAGGTTCACGCTCGTTCCGTGTACGACTCTCGCGGCAACCCCACCGTTGAGGTGGATGTTGTCACTGAGACCGGTCTGCACCGCGCCATTGTCCCCTCCGGTGCTTCCACTGGTATGTCATTGATGTTTTCAATTCCCCAGAGCTACTCGAGAGAACCATTAAACTAACAGTTTCTAGGCCAGCACGAGGCTGTTGAGCTCCGTGATGGTGACAAGTCCAAGTGGCTCGGCAAGGGTAAGTGCTGCTATTGCACCTCATTGCAATCAACGCCTCTTCTAAATCAATTGCTAACCTTTCTCGTATCTAGGTGTCCTCAAGGCCGTCTCCAACGTCAACGACATCATTGGCCCCGCTCTCATCAAGGAGAACATTGATGTCAAGGACCAGGCTAAGGTCGATGACTTCCTGAACAAGCTCGACGGCACTGCCAACAAGGGCAAGCTCGGTGCCAACGCCATTCTCGGTGTCTCCCTGGCCATTGCCAAGGCTGCTGCCGCTGAGAAGGGTGTCCCTCTCTACGCTCACATCTCCGACCTTGCCGGTACCAAGAAGCCCTACGTCCTCCCCGTTCCCTTCCAGAACGTCCTGAACGGTGGCTCCCACGCCGGTGGCCGTCTGGCCTTCCAGGAGTTCATGATCGTCCCTGAGTAAGTTCCCACCCAATCGTACGTTCAATTGGTGAAATAGAGATGCTAACCTATGTCTTTTCAGCACTGCTTCCTCTTTCTCCGAGGGTCTCCGCCAGGGTGCTGAGGTCTACCACAAGCTCAAGGCTCTCGCCAAGAAGAAGTACGGCCAGTCCGCTGGTAACGTCGGTGACGAGGGTGGTGTCGCTCCCGATATTCAGACCGCCGAGGAGGCTCTTGACCTGATCACCGAGTCCATCGAGCAGGCCGGCTACACTGGCAAGATCTCCATCGCCATGGACGTTGCCTCCAGCGAATTCTACAAGGAGGACGCCAAGAAGTACGATCTCGACTTCAAGAACCCCGACTCCGACCCCACCAAGTGGCTCACCTACGAGCAGCTGGCCGACCTCTACAAGTCCCTGGCTGCCAAGTACCCCATCGTCTCCATCGAGGACCCCTTCGCTGAGGACGACTGGGAGGCCTGGAGCTACTTCTACAAGACCTCCGACTTCCAGATTGTCGGTGATGACCTGACTGTCACCAACCCCCTCCGCATCAAGAAGGCCATTGAGCTCAAGTCTTGCAACGCCCTTCTGCTGAAGGTCAACCAGATCGGTACCCTGACCGAGTCTATCCAGGCCGCCAAGGACTCCTACGCCGACGGCTGGGGTGTCATGGTCTCCCACCGTTCCGGTGAGACCGAGGACGTCACCATTGCTGACATCTCTGTCGGTCTCCGTTCCGGCCAGATCAAGACCGGTGCCCCTGCCCGTTCCGAGCGTCTGGCTAAGCTGAACCAGATCCTCCGCATTGAGGAGGAGCTCGGCGAGAACGCCATCTACGCTGGCAAGAACTTCCGCACTGCGGTTAACCTGTAAATGCAGCTTACCGTGATGGAAGCTTGCACCTTTGAATCGGGTGGAAACGAGCGAGAAAAAAAATCGATGACTCGCCATCTTTTATGATTATGAATTTAATAAGATCTCTTGAATGAAGACAATTCACTATATGGAGTGGAGTAATCATAAGTAGTCAGTATGCTAGTAGACCAGGATTCTAGGCTGTTGCCTCAACATATGTTACATATCAGCCTGAACAGTGTAATTACTATCACTTCTTATAAATACTCAAACTCCTACTGATCCTACTAATAATAATACTACTACTGCTGATACTGCTGATACTACTGTTCTATAGATCACGCTGGTCGGGCACCAAGTGCCCCGAGATCACGTGCCATCCCACGGCGATAAGTGGCCCACATAAAATTTGTCTTGCCCCTCCAACCTTTTGTTGGTGCAGGTATCGCGGACTCGATCTTTGTCCTCCATTACGTCTTGCGTCGCATTCCCCCCCCTCCTTCTTTTTCTTCTTTTTTTCTTACCTCGTTCACCGAACGTCTCTCATTTTCCAAAATGCCGCCTTCGAAGTGGGGTAAGTTCTTATCCTGCGACTATCAGCCGCCCTCGTTAGGGCTGCCGCCGTGGCAACTCGATGCGACTTGGGCAACTGTTACCTACCGCTCTGATACATACTTCCGGGATGCTAATTGTATATTCTCTATCCGATAGACGAAGAGGAGGACAGCGACTCTCCTCCCGTTATCGCCGCTCCCCGCCGCCGATTCGACGATGAGGAGGAAGACGAAGTAAGGCCAATCCAGCGATCTCGCCATTACAGTTCTCTCCCATTCAGGATACGGCACTGATCCACCACTTTTCAAAAAACAACAGGTTCTCGACTCTTGGGACGCAGCCGAAGACTCGGAAGTAGAGCGCGAGAAGGCCAAAAAGGCCGCAGAAGCCGAAGCCGCGAAAAAAGCCGCCGCCCTCGCCAACAAGAAAACCAAAGCCCAGCGCATAGAAGAGCACCGCGAGCAGCGCCGCGCCGACGAAGCCAACTCGGGCGACTTCGACGCAGACGAGACGGAAGCCGAGCGCCGCGAACGCGTGCGCCAACAGGAGCAGGACGCCGACCTCCAGCACGCGGCGGATCTGTTCTCAGACGTCGACCTTAAGCGCAACCGCGGCGCACCCAAGGCCATCGTCGTGACTGACTCGGCTGACCCCACCAACTCAATCGATCTCTCTTCGATGGCCCTCTTCAAGCCCACGACCAAGGACCAGTTCGCCCGGCTGTCCGATATCCTGATCCCGCTCATCACGCCGCACTCCAAGAAGCCGCAGTACTCGCTCTGGGCGCAGGACTTCACCCGACGACTGGTGAAGGAGCTGCCCAGTGCGGAGATCAAGAAGATGGCCAGTGCGCTGACGACGGCTGGTAACGAGAAGCAGCGCGAGGAGCGCGCGGCTGATAAGGGAAACAAGAAGAGCAAGGCTGCTAAGACTAAGGTCTCGCTTGTTTCGAACCGGGATAACCAGATCGATAACAATGCCTATGATGGTGATGATGGTCTTGCTGATGATGACTTCATGTAATCATGATGAGGATGAATGCTTTCTTTTCTCTTTTTCCTTTCAGCACGAATGCCAATGTGTATATCCCGCCATCTCTGACTATCATCTAGCATGAGCAAATAGATCCATTCAAATATGCCCTTTGCTTTTTTCTTCTTTCTAGAAGTCGTACTCCATTTTTCATATACATCAATGCCAACCTGATATAAAATGACTTCCCCCCCACCAAGTACTAGTACGACCCTCATTCCGACTTGAAGAATCCATCGCTTGCATTGCACCGAGACAAAAATATAAACATGACAACCTAGAATTTGGACTGTCTCCCAGAAATGAAGGCGGCAAACTCCACGAGCTCCTGTGTTGGAATAACGGTATCCCTTTCTCGATGTGATGTTTGGCCTTGGCATCGAATGGCTTTTGAAACTTTGAAGTGAAGTGATAGAAGTGACCTCTCCCGATCGGTTGTACATAATTGAGGAAAGGCCACAAGGTTGAGGTTAACACACTTCAGGATATCCCAGAGTGCTCCGATATCAGTCAAGGATATTTGGATGTTGGACAGAGGACTTTCGCTCGGATATAGATACTAGACGACCAATCTGGAAGATAGCCTGGATTGGGATATTCTCTTACTGGAGGCTTTCAATTGCCGAGACCA